GTCCATCCTGGCACTAAAATACCACCAGTATAACTCAGGAAATGGTGCTAGTTAACTTCAGTCTCCACCCACAACTCCTATAACCCCTGCAATGTATATGGGGTCTCCCCACACTGTACCCCAGAAACCCTTGAGTGGATTTATTTATTATTATTTTCTTTATTAATTTTTAGAGAGAGAGGAAGGGAGAGGGAGAGATAGAATTGATGAGAGAGAACATCGATTGGCTACCTTCTGCGTGCCCCACACCGGGGATTTGGCCCACAACCTGGGCATGTGCTCTGACTGGGATTTGAACTGGAGACCTCTTGGTGCATGGGTTGATGCTCAACCACTGAGCCACACTGGCTGGGCCCTTGAATGGATTTAAAGAAAAAAAATTATGGAGTATCTGTTTGAATGGATGCAAAACTCTTAGCTGCCTGGGACACCCTGTTGTTGGCCTGGTCCTGCAGACACGTCAGAGCTCGATTCCCAGCCCTGCCGCTTCCATAGCTGTGTGCTCTTGGGAAAGCTGTTAATGCTCCAATGGTCTCGATTTCCTTGTGTGGTGATAGTCATGTCTGCTTTACAGGGCTTTTGTGACCATTAAACCTAATCACAGTAAGCAGTGGTGACGTCAGATTCATAACTAGCAATGCAACCAGGGCAAACAGAGCAACCTGTACTCTGACACCTTCACGAGGTTGGGGAAAGGGTGTCCCTGCGCGGCCACAGGGTCTCCAAGAACAGACAGCTCTGTCCTCCATCCACTTCCAGCTACCAGTGATGTTAGTGGATTTGGTTCTGGGCTTTCAAAGGATAGAGGGAGCCTAAACATTTGTACAATTAAAAAATCATTTTTAACAATTTTGGTTCACCTGAATTTTAATGTCCAGGGTCAAAACCTTGGCCGTGCCATTTTATTTTTATTTATTTTTATTTTTCTATCACCACTTATTTCCCCTATACCCTCTTCTACCTCCACCCACCCCATTCCCCTCCACAATCACTCAAGTACTGGTTGACTTGATGTTATCTCACAAATACCTTTCCAGTTTGGACTTTTCTTTTTACAGATGAGGTAAGGTGTCTCATTTAGTTGAGGATTATCAACCTGGAGTCAAAACAAAATGTGTATAGTTCACACACAGTTTATGTACACAGACATGTAGACTTCGGCTTGGGTTCCACAGAGTTCAAGGCAAAGGTAAATTTAAACATTAGATGGATGGGTTTGTCATGAGACAAAGTCCGGATCTTTGTTATGAAAGCACTTGGCATTGGGCCTTTGTTGAGATTCGTTCTGCAACATCTCATGTCTCTGGTCTGTGTTTACTTTTGAAGCAATGAGAGGGACCCCAAATGTTAGAGAAGGAATGAACTTAGCTATCACCTAGTCCAACGCTTTGGTTTTGGAGTCGTGGAAGCTGAAGCCAGGAGAGGTTAAATGAGAGACGCAAGGTCCTGCTATTGGTGGCAGAGCTTGGACTGAGACCTACAGCCCCGCTCTGACACCAGGGCTGGTTTGTCTACAAATTGCCCTGCTGTGGAAGTAGCACCCATTTTTCTGTGAGGTAACACAGTAATCACTCTTTCATTCCAAGGTGGTAGTAACATACCTTGCCACCAAAATGCAGATGCAACATATTATTTATTTATTTATTTTTAATCCTCATCCGAGGACATTTTTCCATTTTTTGTACAGACAGAGTAGGAGGGAGAGAGAGGAAGAGAGAGAGAGGGAAACATCGATGTGAAAGGGACACATCGAGTGGCTGCCACCCGCACGACCAACCAGGGCCGGGGACAATCTGCATCCGAGGTACGTGCCCTTAGCGGAAACCGAACCCGGGTCTTTCCGGACCGCAGGTGGACGCTCTAACTGCTGAGCCAAACAGGCCAGGGCTGCAACATATTATTAAATGTGTAAATTATATATTCGATGTTGGACATCGAATTGGTTTCTGGCCATCCTCCTTACCCCCCCATCCGTTGGTGCTTGCTCATGCAATGCAAAACAATTTGAATGTGACTCTTAAAAGAAAATAATCCAGTTTGCCTCTTGCCTTCTTAACCCCCCTCTGCCCTCCCTCTCCAAGAGTCCGAGACCTTCCACAGGCCAGCAGGATAAGCCACTTCCAGACAGCGAGTCATCTGACTGCTTGTTGCTGCTGTTTCCTAGCAGCCAGAAAGCTGCAGGTTTAAGTTTATGGACTGACAATGCACTGATCTGATGACTAAATATTTGTTTGACATTATTGACTTTTTGTGGTGGGAAAAAAAAGTCCCTCATGATACCAGTATACTTTGGTATAAGGCACTGCTCACTGAGGCTGATCAACACTGGCTTTCATGCACATGCTGGTGGGGTTTACTTTACATCCTTTTGTCATTAGACAGACAGTCAGTGTATGTAAGAACATCTTCAGTGCTTACCATGCTTTTTAATGTAGCTCTGAAAACATTTCCTTTAAAGACACATTGATATTTTGTTTTGTATACATAAATTGCTTTAGAAGTATTTTTTCTCTGTCATATTTAATCAAAAATAGAAAAATGAGTGTTCTGTTTTGGGGACCAATCTCTCCTTTTCTTTACCAGAATATATATAGTTTTCCTTTGCAATCTTATAAAATTAGGTCTTAGAGTAATGTATTGCCATGGCAGAATCTTAGTTAAGGTTTTATATTCTTTGGAAGACTTCAATTGCTTTACATCCTGACTGTACTGGCTCCCCACTTTCTAAATTTCTTTTTGGCCACCCAGCATTTGCCACATTGTTGTTTTGCTGCTCAGTTCCTGGCTCCCTGGTTGCCCACTGTGCTCTTAAGCTGCTGAAGACATTTAGTACAAACTCAGAGAGATCTCTTTGAGAAAAGCTCTTTATTCCTCCCTCATAGGAAGGCAGAAAATGGTCAGAACAACAGGACATTGACCTGGTTTATGCCACATTTGAAAAGAGATTTCAATTTACTTCTATTTGAAGTTTATGGAATGTCTGCTTTGTGTCAGGACTTGGGTTAGTTTCTTTTTAGAGAAATGGCAAGAAAACAGATATATCGTTTGGCTTTTTTAAAAACCTTACCCTTCCCCCTCAACTTCTCCCAAGGAGTCCTTTGGTCTCAGAAAAATGAAATCCCCAACTTTATTCTTTACTTTTTCTAAACTTTTTTTGGATCTTTAATTGGTATTCCTTGACTCTAAATTCCCCTCTGTCTGCTAGTACTTCATATGACTTGTCATTAGGAAGCAGAACAATCAGTGTATGTAAGATCATTTTCAGTGCTTAACATGCTTTTTAATATAGCTCTGAAAACATTTCCTTTATAGTTGAGTTTCTAGAAAGAGTAATTTATATTCAGAGCTTGATTATTTCTCTTTTCCCAGTCATCCTTTTCTCAAGTTTATATTCATTTTCTTTCTATCCAACCAACAAAGTTATTCTGACAAGGATTACTTTGTTATTTACTGCTGCTTAATAAACCACATCAGAACTTAACAGCTTAAAGCTCAACAACTATCTGTTAATTTTCTTGATTCCATGGGTGACTGGACTCAGCTGGACTCTTCTTCTGTTTCATGTGACATGGTTGAGTTGCAGCCATCTGTAGGCTTGACTAGGTTGGCATGTCTAAGACAGCTTGAAAGTTGCTTCTGGGATGGTAGCTAGGAGGTTGACTGGAACTGTTGATCAGAATACTTTGGTTATTCTCCACGTGTCTTCCTCATGTAGCTTGGACTTCTCACTGCATGGTGGTTGGTTCCAAGAGCATTTCCAAGGGCAAAGGCAGAAGCTGATGATTTCCTAAGGTCTTAGCCAGAGAAGTCTTACAGTCTCACTTCTCCCCACATTCTTTTGGTAAAAACTGGTCACAGGACAAGCCAAATTCAGTAGGAGGATAAATAGAGTCCATCTCTTGATAGGTTAGTGGGATTGATGGTCACATTGCAAAAGAGATATGGGATGCTATAGCCACCTTGTAAACACAGTTACTAGGGAGAGCCTAAATGACCCAAACATCTTCTATAGCTGTGAAACTACTGACCACTCTCTCCATGGATTATTGGTGATGCTGCCTCCTGGTTTCCTTTCCATCTACCTTCCCATACTCATTCCTACCTTCTCCATTTGTTCTTCTTTCCCTCCTTGGCCCCGGCATATTGGTGTTCCCCAAGGTTCTTCACCTTCTTGTCTTTTCACTCTCTATTTATTTCTTGGAAAATAATATCTGCACTCATGGCATTGAAGGTAATGTACTTAATAAAAAATGAATTGGAAGCTGAATGTCTACTAATGGCAAAATGAGTTAATTAGGGTACATCCATATTGTTGAATTTTTTGAGGCCATTCCACAGGTAGGAATAATCTGTATTAAACTAGAAAGGAGTCTGTGATGTATTATTAAGGGAAAATGCATGAAAAATTTTATAGTATAATGTAGAGACGTGTGCATACATTTGCATGTGTTTGTATGAGTATAGTACATATGGCAGATATGCTTCAACCTGCCAACATTGGTTATATACAATATGCCTTATTATAGTAATTAACAGTTTTAAAGTAATCAGTGGTATTCAGAAATTAATTTCAAGACCAGATATGAACCTGTAGACAATAAAGTAGATGGTAATGTAGACGAATATTTCTTTAATGGTTTAGGGAATGTTTACAAAAATAGGGATGTCTTTTGTGTGTATGTGTTGAATGCTTACATACACATAGAAATATGTCTGTAAAGATTTGGAAGAAAATGTTAACAGTAGTAATTTTGGGATGGCAGATGATTTTTATTTGTTTTGGCTTATCTGTATTATGCAATTTCAAAACAATGTTATTTTCATAATAGAAATAACATTATTTCTAAAAATAGAAGATAGCACATGAAACCGGTACCATTAAAATGCTTGTTATCTAAATACCCAAAACTTGAAAGGGTAACAACAGTATGAAATTATTGCAAAATGAATCCATTTGAGTATAGTAGTTGCCACATGACATTTTTGTTCCTTTCTTGTAGCAAAGACTGAAGGAAGAGAAGGAAGCCAAGCGAGCACTTTTGGATAGTAGGCACGACTACTTATGTGCGATCGTAGCTTCCTGTGTGGACTTGAATAAAGCTGAAGTGGAGGATGCCATTCTCGAGGGGAATCAGGTGCGATGCATTTGAATTCTCACGGACTTGTTTCTGAAGAGCACAGAGGGTCTGCTGACACAGTCTTTGGCAGGATCCTATGCTGGGTCTTAGCGGAACGTGCCTGTTTTAACATGGACAGGACTCCATTCTCATTCTGGACAGATGATGGCAGCGTGAGTTTAGGGCTCTCCAGGTTTTTCTGTTGAATGCGGTCCTTATAACTGCCATTTGAATTCCATGATTCTGACAGCACTGTCTGCATCTCTCTGAATCCAGTGAAGCTGGGCTCAGGTGCCATTTTGGAACCTGAATTTGGAGAACAGAATCTCCTCTCAGGGGCTGATTTATTTTATTTATATATATTTTTTGTATTTATCTCATTTTAACTTGGGAGATTGAATTGAGCTATACTGGAGGATATAATTTCCTGGGCAGTGACGAAGGTATATCAGGATCCCTGTGATGGTCCCTGGAGGTCTTTAAAAAAACTTTTAGAGGAGAGAGAAAGAGAGAGGAGAAGGAGGAGAGGGGAAGGGGAAGGAGAAGGGGAAGGAGAAAGAAAAGGAGAAGAAGGAGGAGGAGGAGGAGATGGAGGAGATGTTTAATAGTCAGCTTTGGGCAAGAGAATGGAGGGAAGCACTGGGTGTGAATGTTTGCTGATTTCTGTTGTGTAAATACTCTTGCATGGCTGATTCTAAACGACAACACAGTGTTACTAAATGTTAAGTTGTGAGCCCTTGGCTGTCATGAGCCAGTATGAGTGGGCACCAGCACTGCACCAGCTTGGTTCCTTCCTGCTGTGTTACTCAGTGGAGTTAATAGGAGTCAGTGGGACAGTTAAGAGAGGATAACACTGAAATGGTTTAACTATAGCATGAATCAATTAGGGGTTGAGGAAATACCCCTTTTCTACTCTTGGTCCGTCTCATTACAGCTAACATTTATTGGATATTTACCATGTGCTAGTCTCTCTTCTAAGGGATTTTTACCATTATCCCATTTAATCTTCATAATACCAGGATGTAGATAATATTATTTCCAAAAATAGAGGTGTAGGAGACAGTCACATAGCTGATTGGGTCTTGGCGAGAGAGAGTTTCCGATCGAATTGCTTAACTCTTCCCCGCTTCCCAGTTCAGATATCTGGGTTTGGGATAACGCAGGTGGGATAACTGAGTACTGAACTGCAGGCAGCCCAAGTGAAACTACGATGTCATATTCAGGACTCAGGAATATTAAAACCTGGAGGTTTGAAGAAAGGATCCTGGCTCAGGCTTATAAGCCAGGCTAGAAGGATGAGCATTTCAATACGACTATGATGGAAGAATTTCTTTCACTACATTCTTGGCTTGGAAGTGAATCTCATAGAATGCATCCTACCCATCCCCACAGCATCCTCGGGCAAGGAAACATAGCAAAGAAAACAGCAACCTGCTTTTCCTCATATTTAATGATTTTATCTATAACATGGTAGAAGTTGAAGGGGCCTCATTTTCACATTTAAATACTTAGGCTAGATTTTATCTTTAAAATTTTTTTATTTTAAATTGTGGTACAATACACATAAATAAAGCTTACCCTCTTAATTATTTTAAAGTGTGTGTACTGCCCTGGTCGGTTTGGCTCAGCGGTTGGAGCGTTGGCCTGCGGTACAGAGAGACCCAGGTTCGGTTCCTGCTAAGGGCACGTACCTTGGTTGCAGTTTGTCCCCGGCCCTGGTTGGTCATGCGGGTGGCAGCCACTCAATGTGTCCCTTCACATCGATGTTTCTCTCTCTCTCTCTCTCTCTCTTCCTCTCTCTCCCTCCTGCTCTATCTGAACAAAAAATGGAAAAATGTCCTCGGTTGAGGATTAAAAAAATAAAAAATAAAAAAATAAAGTGTGTGTACTACATTTTCTTTATCCATTCATCCATCAATGAACAGTTGGGTTGCTTTCACCTTTGGGCTACTGTGAATAATGCTGCTTTGAACAAACACCTCTGCAAGACTCTGCTTTCTATTCTTTGGCATGTATACTTAGAAGTAGAATTTTTGGCTAATATAGTAATTCTATTTTTAATATTTTGATGGATTTCCATACTGTTTTCCATAATGACATCTTATAGCCTCACCAATAGTGCACAAGGATTCCAGTTTCTCCCCTTCCTTGCCAACATTCGTTATTTTCTGTTTTTATTTATTTTTTGGTAGTAGCCACCCTAATGGGTGTGTAGATTTTATCCTTTTCTTCCATTTTGAATTCAAAACTATGCTATTGACTATTTAAAAAAAGTGCCTCCATTGGTAGTGGGCCAGTTGGGAGACCTCTGGGTGTACAGTGAACCTCATGGATGGGGTGGATGGGACTAGGTTCTCGGTTGCTATTGGCTGGACTGTTCCATGGTTATATGTGTTCTCATGGCATTTCTCAATGATTATAGTGATTATTGCAATTTAATATTAATAATTATCTCTAGTATTTTAGATTGGGTTAGAAAAGTTTGTTCTCTGATCTACAATTGAATGAAAATGAAAGTCATCTATGTTTGTATTTGCCTTCAACAGCTCAACACTTTAGGAAATTAGCAAAAATGGAGGGACAGTGTCTTCAAATGTATATATGTAACAAATATTTGTATGATTAATTGAATTACTGCTTTGAATTGAATCTTTACTGTGTGAGGCATTTATTCTTCGTGGTTTTGAAGTTGAAGTAAATAGATTCCGTGTGGCTTGCATCAGATGCAGTCCTCTCTGAATAAGAGAGATGATAGTAAATGCTGATTTAAATGCAATTTCTAATTTAGAACAAAGTTGTTAACTTGCCTTTCTTTTTCCCAGATTGAAAGAATTGATCAGCTTTTTGCTGTTGGAGGTCTTCGTCACCTCATGTTTTACTATCAGGATGTGGAGATAGCAGAAACAGGTATTCAAATTTTATGTGACATAACCCAGAAATGTGTTGTTAGATTTAATTGAGGATGGCCATTGTGAGGACTGAACAGATAGCAGTGAGGTGTCAGGGATGAGGCCTGGGTTCTATTTTTACCTTAAGGAAAGAGGACAGGTAATGAGGAGTATTTAGCCTGGTTGTTCTATCTTTGTTTGGGATGTTTTGTTTACTTTTTCAGGCTTTTCTGGTAATTAAGGAACAATAAAGTCGTTTACGTTTTGAGACTTCCTTTCCTTACATGCTAGTTCATTTCAGGCAATTATGCTCTAGAACGGCTAATGCGCATCTGTGTAGATAGAGAAGTCTACATAGGCACTATGTCTTTTTAATGTAGGAATTGTTGCCAATGAGCCTAACACGAATTTTCCAGTTAAATATCACATTTTGTTTATTTTCTACTGACTGTGATTCAAATGAGTAATATTGAATGATAAGTTGAGTCATTTTCGCTTAAGAAAAAATTGTAAATCTTTGTGTAGAGTCAACTGGCAAATCCCATTCTACTTTTATGTGGATTCATATAATTTTAAAGCCAAACTAGTGACATAAACAAATATATTATGATTATATTAAAATATCGTATGCATCCTTTTATTACCTTTTTGGAGAAAGGGAAAATAGTTATTGCTGTTGGTATATGGTATACCTATGCCTTTTTGTTTAACAGAGGGAATTATGCATGCATAATCTAAATGACCAGCATCTTAAAATTATCTGTCTGATGTTTTGTGATCAGAAAGTATATTATATTTTGAGTGAAAAGTCAAAATAATGCAGAAGTTTTTAATTCTACCCCAGATTGCGAAGCTCATGAAATGCTTGAGTTCATTCATGAACCCCGTACTGGGTGAAATAGCCTTTTTGTGTAAATCTTACATCAAGCAAGAAGGGTTTATGGGATGTGAACATAAATGCAAGTTTATTTTTGTTTCCACACTCCCTTTAAACCCTTTTCATGGATGTAGTTTGTTTTCTGGCCTTAGATTAAAATTCAGACAATCCTATGATTTTTCTGTATATTCTTAGATAAGAAAAATTCCTATGGTTGTTTCAAATTACAAACAAAATCTCAATTCAGAAATGAAAAATATTCAGTTGATAAAAAACTAGTTGATCTAAAGTTAAATCTTCTTCATTCTTGGCCCACCCTCTTCCTCCCACCCCTATCCCCAGCAGGGGTCTCTGAAGGTCAAGATTTGCATATGGTGCTTTGCTTCCTCCCTTATCCTACCCCTTGTCCACATTGTGTTAACCACAGGTTCTGGCTGTGTCAGGCTTGAAGTCGGGCAGAGGTAGGAGGTGACAGGAAAGCTTCTATTGGACTGGCACTGTTACTGGCTGCCTGACTTGGCATTCTTTGGTCTCTAGCTCTTGTGGCCTCTATGGTGAGGTCTCCAGAGACGGCCCCTGGGAGCACATCCCTCGGTGATGTGGTGTCCTCCTGGTGGCTGTTGCCTTCTGCCTCTGTATTTTGGTAGCATGCTTCACACTGACTGGCTCTGTTCTGTCATCCTCCCAGCACTACTCTTGAACGTGATTTAGATCGTTCCCAGCTCGCTCTCTCTTCAGGGGGACTCCCAACTGGTTCACTAGAAATATTTCCCTCCTGTTGTCCTTATCATTGATGCACACGTCACCAGCTCCCAGTTCAGCCCAGTTTCTCTCCATTTGCCCTGTTGCATGCTGTGGTCAGGTTTCTAAGGGAGGTATCATGTTATGCTCCAATTTGTCCCTAAACTCCAAGAGACACAAACCAGACGTTTTAGGTAGTTGAGCTGAAGAGTCTGTTTCTTGGCTATGGTGACCAATGACTCTGGTTTGCCCCAGACTTGCCCAGTTTTAGCATTGCAAGTCCCATGTCCTAGGAAGCCCTTCCATCCTGGGCAAACTGGGGGCGTTGCTCAGCTCCGTCCTGACCTGAGGTGGAAGTGGAAGCATGTCACACCCTTTCTCGGGTTACACTCTCCTGAGACTGGGATTCTGATGTGGATGAGATATTTAATCAGCTCTAGCACATTTAAAAGTTTCGGCAGGATATATTTTTGCCTTAAAACTCTCTTTGTTTCTGATATTTCTCATATCTTGGTGCCTTGTTGAAACTTCTAGTTTAACATCTTCCTCATGAGACCAGATGATATCAGTCAAAAATAGGACACAATTTTGAATGAACGATATCTTCTGGTTACCTTTCTTGGAGGGGTTCAATGTCAGCACCCCAGTCCAAGTCTCTAGCCCAGCATCACGAGGAAGAAGAGCCCCAGCAGACGATTCCTCTAAGAGGTTCTAATCCCAGGAGCTTCGGATTCAACTGCTAGTCCACTCCCCTCCCCAACTCCCTTGGTTAGCACTGATAGTCTTGGTCCTACCCCAATGGTCTTGTGTGAAATACCAGTTCATTTGTAGATCTAAAAGTGCTTTTGGCACATACGAGCACAATGGAATAACACAGAGCATACATAGTCTGTGTACTTAAATGATCCATTCATGAGCTCCATGCCTGGATGACCAAAAATGAATTATCTGATAATAATAATGATAATACTTAGTGAGATAATATATATATATATATATTTTTATCCTCACCCGAGGATATTTTTCCATTTTTTTGGACAGATAGAGTGGGAGGGAGAAAGAGGAAGGGAGAGAGAGAGAGAAACATCGACACGAAGGGACACATCGAGTGGCTGCCACCCGCACGACCAACCAGGGCCGGGGACACACTGCAACCGAAGTACGTGCCCTTAGCGGGAACCGAACCCGGGTCTCTCCAGACCGCAGGCCGACGCTCTAACCGCTGAGCCAAGCTGGCCAGGGCACTGAGATAATATTTTGATGTACTTTTATAAGGGCTTTACAGGTATTAACTTATTTAATCCTTACAACATTTCCAGGTGCAGGGTTTTAGAATTATTATTCCCATTGTTCAGGTGACAAAACTGAGGCACAGAAAGATTAAATAACTTACCCAAGGTCTCATGGCTAGCAGTACAGCCCAAGGTTGAAGCCCTGGGAGTCTGCCTTTAAGGGTCACACCATTCGCCATGATGCTGTCCTACTGTGGTCCTGATTCTAGCATTGTAGTGAAGGGCCAACCAGACTATGACAGAGAAGGGGCAGCAGGGGAGGGGAGGTCTAGAGTTTTGCAGTTAGAGCTGATTTTTGATCTTGGCTCTGCACCTGTTGGCTGTGTGACTTTGGACAGGTCACAGCTGCCTTTAGGGTGGTAGAGAGCTTTAATAATGTAGACAAAGTTCCAAGCAGAGGGCCTGACACACTGCACATGCCGGTAGATGCTGTTTCCTCCCTCACCCCCTCCCACTGCTCTTGTGAAGGCCCATTGCAACAGCGATGACTTTTATAGCTTCAGTTAGAATCTGCTCTGGACCAAACTTTCTTATTCCTGCTCCTCTCCTTTCTGTCTTTTTCTGGAGCAACAGTTTTGAAATGAAGCTGTGATCTGGAATTGAGCAGTTTCTTTTAGATTCCTTTAGGGCCCAGGCTAGAGATGGTCCAAGTGGTAGACCTTCTAGGGCACATGGATGAGCCAACATGACACTTTTTCACAAGGAAGCTTCACCTGGCATTCTTGTGGACTGCAGATAGCAGCTGTGAAACTGAAATTCTTTTGCATTTGTAGGACAGCATAGCTCTTCAGGAAGAGCAAATCCTAGTCCTGTAAAGATGAAGAAACCTAAAGTGTTCGTGACTGAGGGAAAAGATGTTGCTCTTACTGGAGTATGTGTGTTCTTCATCAGGCCTGACCCTTCCAGAGCCATCACCCCTGAGAATATCCACCGGGTAAGGGCAAGCGCAATCCTTCACCCCATTTACCAAAAATCACTTACACTCTGCAGCAGATATCCATTATTGATTAAATAGTCGTTAAATATCTAAAACTACCTTTGAAGAAGTGTTTTTAAAAGCATTTAAAGCAAGCAACTAAGGGGTCATTTTATTTAAATCTGTTAGGTAAGAGGATTAAGTATTCAATTTACTAACAAAAATTGATGTAACATTTTGTGTGTGTGTGTCATAGTGAGGTCTTCCCTTTTATTTATTTATTTATTATTATTATTTTTATTGTTAATCCTCATCCAAGGCTACTTTTCTTTTTTTTTTTTTTATCCTCACCCGAGGACATTTTTCCATTTTTTGTTTAGATAGAGCGGGAGGGAGAGAGAGGAAGAGAGAGAGAGAGAAACATCGATGTGAAGGGACACATTGAGAGGCTGCCACCCGCACGACCAACCAGGGCCGGGGAAAAACTGCAACCGAGGTACGTGCCCTTAGCGGGAACCGAACCCGGGTCTCTCTGTACCGCAGGCCGATGCTCCAACCGCTGAGCCAAACCAGCCAGGGCCAAGGCTACTTTTCTATTGATTTTAGATAGGGTAGAAGGGAGGAAGGAAGAGAGAGAGGGCGGAGAGAGGGAGGGAGGGAGGGAGGGAGAGAGAGAGAGAGAGAGAGAGAAAGAAACAGCAACATGAGAGAGACACATCGATTGGCTGCTTCCTGCATGACCCCAAACAGGGAAGGTTCAAATCCAAAACCCAGGTACATGCCCTTAACCAAGAATTGAACCTTTGACCCTTCAGTCCTCATGCTGACCCTCTAAACACTAAGCAAAACCAACCAGGGTGAGGTCTTTCCTTTTAAAAAGAATTTCTCATACATAACTTATTTTAGAGCAAATTCCATACTTTTAAAATAAGACTTTTTAAAGTGGACGTATAACTTTATTCTTTTTTGTGTAAAATAAAGTTCATCTGAACATGTCTCCCATGTCCTTAATAGCTGTACTATCTGCTTGGTTTAGGTAACCTGGCAAACATCTTATGTTCTATTTATTTCATTCTTTTATTGTGAATATTGCAGTTTAGAATAGTATAAAGCTTGTGTCTTAACCAGGGTGTGAAAATAATAACTTACTGGATGAAGAGACTGAATGGAAAAGCAGACAGTGGCCAGACCATATATAAAAATAGAACTTTGACCTACAACCCGAAGCAGCCTGCCCAAGAAAGCAACCCGCTGTCTACAATAAACAGCCCAGGTAGCCAGCCTGCTTGTCAGACTTTCAAGTAAGCCAGATAGGAAGCTAAATAATAAGTTGTTGTCACAGGGCCAAAGTGGCCAGGATTTGATTCATGAGTGCCAGCCTCCTGAATTTTTGTCTGTACTTCCAATGGCCTTCCCTGGGGCCAACCAGAGAAAACCAAATGTGCTCCCCTAACCAATCACATAGGATGCCCTGCTTCCAGTTAGCTCTCCTCCAGCTTCTCCAGGCGAGCAGCCCCCAGTCAGGACACCCCACTAGAAGGCGCTCCCATCCCCCTGCCTACCTATGAGTCTCTGACGAATTGCAAATGATGGTGGCCTCCCCTTACTACAGCTGAATTACTAGCCTTTGCTTTTCTCATTTGATTGGTCTTTATTTACTTCCACAGGATGATGGGTTAATAAACAACATTCAGAGAAGACTCAGTAGCTATGTTGTGATTGAAGGTAATTTTTTCAGTAAAGGATCTCCTATTCGTTTTCCAGGAGGTGAGCTTTAACATGTTGGATGCCGCAGATGGGGGCCTGCTCAATAGCATGAGGCGGTTGCTGTCGGACATCTTCATTCCCGCTCTCAGGGCCACGTGCCAGGGCGGGGGCGAGCTGGAGGGGCTTCGGGAAGCATCCAGCATCCAGCAGGAGTTCCTGAGCTCTCTGGAAGGCTTTGTGAATGTCCTGTCCAGCGCACAGGAGAGTTTGAAGGAGAAGGTAAGAACAAATAAGTTACTCCTTCAAAACTGGTCAGAGAATGAAAATGTCAACATAGAAGTGTGTAGTACTTCTCTTAAATAGTCTGTCTTAATTCCACTACCTTGCAAATCTTGAAAAAAATTTTCAGGCATTTTAATTGCCCCTTTAAGATATACTGGTTGGTGACTAGATTTAAATCCCGTACTTTGGAGAGGTTCCATAGCAATGTTGACTATGATGGAAGACGCAGTCATGTCAAATATGTGTTTGCAAAGTATGAAAGGTGTGTAGTATTGTTCTGCATCTCAAGAGGAAGGAACTTGGGTCAAGAGCAAGTGTGTGTGTGTGTGTGTGTGGTGGGTGGTGGGTAGTGATGAAAGAAATCCTGAAGAGGAAGGAGGAGAGAAATTGACAAATATCTGAAGAGGAGAGGGTGGGTCAGGTCCTTTGATTCAGTCAGTGACCAAAGTGCCTTTAAGAATAAGTTTGGCGAATTTAGGCAACATAATTTCGGACATCATACGCAGCAGAATTTTCACTGATACATCACCTAAAGCAACGGAAACAAAGGAGAAAATGAACACATGGGACTACATCAAACTAAAAAAGCTTCTGCACAGCAAAAGATACAATCATGAAAATGAAAACGCAACCCACTGTTTGGGAGAGCATAATTGCCAATGATACACCAGATAAGGGGTTAATTTCTGAAATCTATAGAGTACTCATACAACTCAACAAAAGAAAGACAAAGAACCCAATTAAAAAATGGACAAAGGAGCTAAATAGACAATTCTCCAAACAGGACATACAAATGGCCAAGAGACATATGAAGAAATGCTCAACATCACTAATCATCAGAGAGATGCAAATTAAAACAACCATGAGGTATCACCTCACACCTGTCAGAATGGCCGCCATCAACAAATCATCAAACAACAAGTGTTGGCGAGGGTGTGGAGAAAAGGGGACTCAAGTACACTGCTGGTGGGAATGCAGACTGGTGCAGCCACTATAGAAAACACTATGGTGTTACCTCAAAAAGTTAAAAATTGAACTTCCATTTGACCCAGTGATCCCACTTCTAGGAATATACCCTAAGAAGCCTGAAACACCAATCAGAAAGAATATATGTACCCCCATTTTTATAGCAGCACTATTTACAATAGCTAAGATCTTGGAACAGCCCAAGTGTCCATCAGTAGACAAATGGATAAAAAAGCAGTGGTACATATACACAATAGAGTACTATGCAGCTGTTAGAAAGAAAGATCTCTTATCCCTTGAGATGACACTGAGGGACCTGGAAAGTATTATCCTAAGCGAAACAAGCAAGCAGAGAAAGACAAATATCACATGATCTCACTTATTTATGGAATATAATGAACATAACAGTCTGAGGAATAGGGTAGACCTAGAGACCTGGATGTAGGGTACAGACTGACAACCCTCAGAAGAGGGGTTGGTCGGGGGGAGGTAAGAGATAAACCACAGAACTTATATGCATGTATGCATAACTGATGGACATGGATAACAAAGCCAGGTTCAGGGTAGGGAGGATGGAGAGGAGGGTATCAATGGGGAAAAAAAAGGAGAAATACTTGTAACAAAAATAAATTAATAGAAAAAAAAAGTTTGGCGAGGAGTCCGACCAAGATAGCAGCATGGGTAAATGCAGTATTGCCTCCTCCCCACAACCACATCAAAATTACAACAAAACTACAACACAACCATCGTTCAGAACCACCTGAAATCGAGCTGAATGGAAGTCCTACAACTAGGGCATTAAAACAGCTGCCACATCCAGACTGGTAGGAGTGGCGGAGGTGCGGATGGGCTGGTCCCACACCCACATGTGATGGATAAAAATCAGGAGAGACCCTGGCTGGGAAGGTTCTCCCTGAGCAGTGAGGGGTCCCCATCCCACACCAGGCACCCAGCTCAGGGTCCCAGTGCCAGGGAGAAAAGTCCCCATAAATTCTGGCTGGAAAAACCAGCGGGAACTGAGGCAGAGGGAGGCTGCAGCTGCGGCAGCCCCAGGAGCTCCTCCCAAAGGGCCCGCACAGACTTACTCAGACCCACTCCCTCTGAGCTCTGAGGGGAGGCAGCTTGAGGGACACCAGAGAACAGGGAAGAACTGAGCTGTTTGGCCTCCAGACAAGGGCTGGAGGGGCAGCTTTCTCCTGGACAGACGTGCTGGTGGAGGCCTTTGTTTCTTTGGGGAGCCCTTCCCCCACAGGGCAGGCAGATGCTGCCATATCTGGGACTCCAGCAACCTGGCTCACACTGTTGACCCCACCCTGGTGATTCCCTGAGGCCCTGTCCCACCCAACTTTTAGGCCCATCCAAGCTGTTTCCAGTGGCTTTACCACAGGATTATCCTGTCTTGGATCCTGTTTCAGAGTTTCCTAAAGTCTCTTAAACAAGCAGCATCTGGTACCTGACCCACCAGTGCACCTGGCACCATCGGGCCAGTGAACACCCTGTGTCAACACAGACCAGTGCGCAGTAGTGGAGCTGTAGAGGTGCCAGTTGCGGAAGCCGCAAACGGCCAGGAGCCCAGAACCATCCCCCATAGTAGCAGCCCCATCAGAGTTGAGATATACCCCCAGCAACAGAGGCTGGGGAGCAGACATCCATCTCCAGGCAATAGGAGCACAGACCAGCAGCAGAGAACCATCCCCCAAAACTACAGCAAAGGCTGAGCAGGAGCTGAGCCCCACTGGGCAGCAGCACTCCCCAGCCACCAGCGGCGGGACCTGGGACTCCATAGGGGCCTGTGCAACACAGTGGCCCACAAGAGCAGTGCGAAGCCAGGGCTTGAGAGGGGCCAGGCTCAGCGAGCCCCATACCTCTCCTTAAGTGGCCCCAGGCCTGGCACTAGGAGCAGCCAGCCTTGGTTCACTACTTGGCTTTTCCTAGACACCTCCAAGCCCAGCACAAGAAGCAGCCATCTGCAGTTCACTTTGTTGTTTATGCCGGGTGGCCCTGGATAGAGCATAGGCAGTGGCTGACCTTGCTCCAGAGCCAGCACACCTGGTGGACAGCATCACACTACATCGAAACACCACCACCCAACCACCTCCACAAGTGACACACTTAATGAGTGGACTCAGTGTGTACCAGAGCCCTGCTGAAATAAGTCTTGCTCTGTGTGGTGGGCCCCTACACAGCTGATCCTCCAAGGTAGTGGCTAGCAGGCACAGCTGACCAGCCTGAGTAAACCCCTCCCATTGACTTGCCAACAGCAATCATGACTCAATTACAACAGAAGGGTATACAGTCTACACTAGGGGTGCACTGTGAGGGCCCAACTGGGGTGATCAGGGAGACAGTGCTACTGGATCCTATAGGATACCTATAATAGTAGGTCACCCTGTGATGACTGGGAGGCAGAGCAACTCTGCCTAATACATAGAAACAATCACACGGAAGCAGCCAAAATGAAGAGACAAACAAATGTGTCCCAAATGAAAGAAAAGAACAAAACTCTAGGAACCGAACTAAACAAAATGGAGATAAGCAATCTTACGAATGCAGAGTTCAAAACACAGGTTATAAGGTTGTTCAGGGAACTTGGTGAGACATTCAAGGGACTTAGTGAGTAAGGAGACTTCTGAGGGACTTAATGAGAACATCAACAACATAAAAAAGGGCCAGTCAGAAATTAAGGATGCACTAACTGAAATAAAGAGTAATTTACAGGGAATCAATAGAAGAGTAGGTAAAGCCAAGGAGCAGACCGTTGATTTGGTATATAAGGAAGCAGAAAACACCCAACCAGAACAGCAAAAAGGAAATGCAAAAAAAAATCCAAAAAAAAAAAATGAGGATAGTGTAAGGAGCCTCTGGGACAACTTCAAGTGTGCCAACATTTGCATCACAGGGGTACCTGAAGGAGAAGAGAGAGAGCAAGAAATTGAAAAACTATTTGAAACATTAATGACAGAAAACTTCCCTAACTTGGTGAAGGAAACAGACATACAAGCCCAGGAAGCACATAGAGTCACAAACAAGTTGAACCCAAAGAGGACCACACCAAGACACATCATCATCAAAATGCCAAAGGTTAAATACAAAGAGAGAATCTTAAAAGCAGCAAGAGAAAAGCAGTCCATTACCTACAAAGGAGCTCCCATAAGAGTGTCAGCTGATTTCTCAAAAGAAACTTTGCAGGCCAGAAGGGAGCGGTAACAGATATCCAAGGTGATGAAAAGCACTGACCTGCAACCACTCTATCCTGCAAAGCTATCATTTAGAATCGACAGATATATCAAGAGTTTCCCAGACAAGAAAAAGTAAAGGAGTACATCATCACCAAACCAGTATTATGTGAAATGTTAAAGGGTCTTCTTGAAGGAGAAGAAGAATAAACATATGAGCAGTAAAATGGCAATTAATACATATCTGTCAACAATTGAATCTACAAACAAAATGAGCAAGCAGAACAGAAACAGACTCATAGATACAGAGAACTTTTTGTTGCTTGTCAGATGGGTAGGGGCTCTGGGGGATGAGTGAAAAGATGAAGGAATTAAGAAGTACAAATTGGTTGTTAGACTGATGAACCTCAAAGAGAAGGGGGGAGGGAAGGGGGAATGAAATTAACCAAAGAACTTCCATGCATATATGCATAACCAATGTACACCGACAGTAGTGTGGGGAAGGCAGGAGGGGGTGGGGATGGGGAGGAGGGGGTCAATGGGGGAAAAAGGGAGGAATATCTGTCATACATTCAACAATAAAGATGAGTTTAAAAAAAAAGAATAAGTTTGGCAAATGGGAGCTTTAGCTTCCATAAACTTTGTCCTACCTGCAGTAAGCCTTTGTTAGTGATCACTGGGGGTAGATGACAGCCCACACCAGGTGTTTACGGGAGGTAGAGAATGGATCTCGTGATACCAACGAAAATATAACACTCACCCCTCTCCAAAGAGCACTGAGACCTACCAAGATGTTGGGAAGGAGAGAGGGAGGTGTTAGGCTTCTTAGGATGTGGAATGGGCCACTTGAGTAACTTTCATTCAGACCAGGGCAGGATGACTCCAGTTAACATAATTGTTATGTTAGTAGGTAGCTACGATTGAGGCCACAGTAAAATACAAGTTGAACCAAATTAAATTGTTATTCTACGTAAAAAAGCCATGCTTTCATCAGATACACTTAATTTTGCAGCAGAGGTACTTAAAAACGTGGGATGGATCCCAACACAGGAGGGAGGCAGTGCCACCTCACGAGGCCCAGAGCCCTTCCCTGTAAACCAAGGAGCCCTCCCGTGTGGCAGGTGGAAATTGATGAGCAGGAGGGAGGGGGGAGAAGTGTGCTGGGAGGTCCTTCCAGGCTGGGGCAGCATGAGCAAAGGCCCAGGGGAGTGGAGTCATGTGGCTGCCTGGTGGGTTTTCAAAAGTCTGTCAGAGGGTAGCAGTGTGAAAAGCTCCCACAGAGGAGGCCAGGTTCAGGGAGGACAAAGTGGTGCGTCTGAGCCACGTGGGGTGAGGGGAGCTGACAGTGCTTGTGAGCAGCGCTGGGCTTGGCCAGGATCCGGGGCCATTAGAGGTCAAAGCTGGCAGGGCTGTATTGGGAAGCCAAAGAAGAAACAGGAAACCATCCAGGAGCTGTGGGGTCCCCTTGCAGCAGACCCTGGTGGCAGGGGCATGGCCTCACCCTGGAGGCCACTCTCTCTGCTGTTCTGAAGGGAGGACAGTGTGATCCCAGCATCTGGTGCCTACCACTCCCCAGCCTGAACCTTCTACCTTCCACATCCCCTAGTGGGCTCTTGAATTTTAATTGGTTCACGAGGAAGCCGTTAGGGCCTGGGCTTCATGAAGTGGCTCCTTGACCTTGCTGGCAGTTAGTACGGCAAATAAGCACCTCCTGCTGGTTCTGACCATTGAGAGAAACATATTAGCCCTGTTGCTGGTAAAGCGGGATTGGACCTGAGATCTGAATTTAGATATTCACAGTGCCAGGTGCACGGTACCAGAAGGAAAATGTCTTCATTAAATATTGAGGTCCATTTTGTATTATGTTTGTTTAAAACACACTAGGTTTCATTGTCAAGTCAAAATGCAACACACATACTTTACTACCCTCTTCCTTCTTCCTCCTCCTAAGACAAGTCTGTGCATTTGCCCTTGAACGTACTTAGTATAAAGATGTTATCAGGTAAGGATGAGAGAACATTTCTCTCTGGTTAGTTTCCAAAAATTAATGTGATAGGTTAGAAATTACTCCCCCCAATCAATTTTTTGGAGCTTCCCTACTTTCTCTGATTTCATGAGTTGACTGTTTAATTTTCAAATTTCCTATTAATCCCCAAATTCTGTGATGTTATGACTGTCTTTCTCTCTAGTTCAGTCCTTCTTTTTGACCCAAAAATTGACCTCAGAAGTGTTCTCAAATGGTGTCCTCTGTGTGTGGGAAGATCGGGCATTTGGTATCTCACTGTGCTTTCAGAATCAATCTTCAGAGAGCAGGGTAGTGTAGACCGGAGGATCCCCTTAAGATCCTTCTAAGCTGAGAGGTCAACCACTGTGTGTGTGTGTGTGTGTATGTGTGTGTGTGTAAAACGCATCATCTTATTATTTCACTTTAATTTTAATTAGGTGAACCTTCAAAAGTGTGACATATTTGAACTGAAAAACCTGAAGGAACCGATAGACTACTTGACTCTAGCTAATAACCCCGAAACTTTGGTAAAAATAGAAGGTTGTATGAAAGTATGGATCAAACAAACAGAACAGGTAATTTCCAGAAACCAAACATCAGATGCTGTGTTACTGAACTAGCCACTTGGAGAAAGTGTATCATTTGCCATTCACATTTGCCTTTTACCACGAGCCCCTGAAAAGGTGTGAGGTTCCCGTGGCTTTATTTATAGTCATTAGATAGGAAGAGATAGGAAGAATTCTAAGAGATGAAAGTTAAGGACTCTGTATACTTATATAACTAGAAGATAGCTCTTTGCTATTTTTTTTTCTCAAGGTATAATTTACTTTGATGAGAACATCTCTAGAAATACAAGGAGTTTTCTAATTTAGTGTGTCCTCCAAAGAGATCCTGGGACTTAATCTTAAAAATATTTTTTTTCAGAAAAGTCCTAAGTGAAAGTGGACATTGCATAAAAAATAAACACAATTGAAATTAACCCACCTAAGGCATGGGGGCTTCCTAAGGTTATATACTGGTTTGAGGTTATACAGAGCCAAGGAAATATGCTGAGGCCAGGTCCTTCAGACGTTTATGAAACTCCTTAAATAAGTAGCTTAGTAGTAGTTTTCAGTTAGAGCAAGTCCACTAAGTTTTTGTGGAGGTTTTAAAAATGGATTCACGTTAAGTTAGTAGAAGCCTGTCATTCAAACCATGCAAATGAATGAAAGCATAGCATGATTCAGAGAGCATCATTTATTTCTTTCCTTATCTGTTACTTATGTTCAACGTTAGCATCTCCGGCCCTCATTGGTTCGTGTTTGTCCTGGGCACTCACAGGTCCTCGCAGAAAACAATCAGCTTCGGAAGGAAGCAGACGACCTTGGGCCCCGAGCAGAGCTGGAACACTGGAAAAAAAGACTCTCCAAGTTTAACTACCTTTTGGATCAGTTGAAAAGCCCAGAGGTGAAGGCTGTGTTGGCAGTGCTTGCCGCTGCCCGGTCGAAGCTTCTGAAGGTTGTCAGCCATTTCTTTTCTCTGTGTGAAATAGGAAATTCATGTTTTAGAGTATTTCAGGCCACAGAGTAATTAGGAACAGAAAAATGTTATTATACCTTCATAAAAAACACACATAAAACTTTAAGATTGGATAAATATTTTTCTTCTATAATTTTGGATACCATGGAAATAGCTTTTGAATTAAAGATATTTGATGGCTGATGTACCAGTACGTATATGTATGATTAGAGGGCATTGCGTGTCATTACAAAGTAACATTATAACATGATCATATATACATTATGAATTCAGACCACTAGGAGTAGTAATAATGAAAACTTACCTTATATATTTCTTTAGTTCTGGCATACTAGTTTTATATTGCTTTATTATAATTTACCCCCAAACTTGGCAATTTAAAGCAAACATTTATTATCCCACAGTCTGTGGGTCAGGAACTTGGGTTCCTCTGACTCAGGATCTCTCATGAGGCTGCAGTAGGGGTGTCAGCTCATTGGCAGGCTCAGCTGGGGAGGGTCTGCTTCCAAATTACTCATGTGGTTGTTGCAGAATTAAGTTCCTTGCTGGCTATTGGTTGGAGGCTTCCTTTAGTTCTTTACCATGGGGGACTCTCCATTGGGCACCTCACAACCTGGCAGCTGGCTTCCCTTAAAGGGGGTAAGTGGCAGAATGCAAGGGAACACCCAACGTAGAAGTCACAGTCTTTTGGTAAACTAATTCCAGAAGCGACACCCATCACTTTTTTCACATTCTGTTTATTAGAAGTGAATTGCTAGATTCAGCCCATCATCAGGGGGTGGGGATGACACAAGAACATGTGGAGTCAGTGGTCACTGGGGACCATCATAGAGGTGCTCACCTCATCTGGCATTCGTGCCAGAAAGACTATTAGCCATTTGCATGGATCTTTCAATGTATGAAAATAATTTAAATAATAATAATTTGTTTCATTAACCACGTTAGATTTACCCTATATCATTGCTCAAAGGATGCAAGCATCTCATTGTACTATAGTTCAGAAATATCAATAGGACTTCCGCGAAGTCAGATGAACGTGTTGGCTTGTGTTAAATCGTTTCCTTTTACTTCTCCTACTTTTAGATATCTGTCCATTTTGAAGTTCCTACGTCATAGCACAGTCCTGGCATATGGTTGGCAGTTCATAAATAATTACTACATTAACCGATGAACAAAAGTTTAGGGATATAGGTAAAGAAAGCTCAGGTTAGAATAGAGAGAAGATAGAAAACGTGGGGGTGAGGTGCAAAGTGGATCCAGTCGCCAGTGGAAGAGAGAAAGCATGAATTTTAGAGGGACGTGCTTCCTTTTTGATGCTCTGTCCTAGTTATTGAATAGGTTTTATAAGAGAAAGTCTGGAAGAGATACCTTTAAAAATTTTGTGAAAAATTTAAATTGCTCTTTAGTGTGGCAATGTCCTTCATCTCTCAGGGTTCAGTTTCATGTGAGAGGCACAGGGCAAAGTGAAAGTCTGACCCAGGGGACCTCTGGTGGCTCTTCGCAGCTGTTATATTGGAAGTTTCTTTATTAATAATTCATTAACATTGCTTTCCTATACTGTGCTTAGACTTGGCAGGAGATGGATATTCAAATCACCGATGCAGCTAATGAGGCAAAGGACAATGTCAAATATTTGTACACACTTGAAAAATGCTGTGATCCCTTGTACAGCAGTGACCCTGTGAGTAAATGACTTCTACTATCTTAGTCTACTGATGGCCCTTCATCTGAGTTGAGTGTGGAGTTTTGGTTTGTAGATATTACAGTCTGTTGGAAACGTCTTAGAAATCTCTTTTTATCCTTAAGAAAATGATATGTAGCCTGGCCAGTGTGGCTCAGTGGATTGAGCATTGTCTCATGAACTGAGAGATCCAGGTTCAATTCCTGGTCAGGGCACATGCCCGGATTTTGGGTGTGATCCCCAGTGGAGGACGTACAGGAGGCAGCCAATTGATATTAATGTCTCACATTGATGTTTCTATCTCTCTCTCCCTTCATCTCTCTCTAAAAAAATCAATATAAAAAGAAAATATGTATATAAACATATGTATCTATATCTCTATGTCTATATATCTATGTATGTCTATCCATTTATCCATCCTTCCATCTATCCATCTATTGAAGATGTATATGTGATATTTAAAAACATTTGCATATTCCATTTTCCATTAAATATTGCAACTGACATTCTGGGCTGCACCACTGTGGGAAGAGTCATTGAGCAGGTGTTCTTTTGAACTTTTAACTTTAGGAAACATCTGCTTTCATTGATTACAAAATTGACTGTTAGTTGATACAACCTCCTTGTCATTGAAAGATAGTGTTTCCTTCTTGAAACAAAATTTGATTGACTGCATATGACTAAATAATAAAGTGATCCTTAAATATATTTAGGTAAAGTGTTAGATAATATTTTAAAATTCTGGGTAAAAATCACTTAGCTAAACTTTATTTATTTATTTTTTTACTAATTAATTTTTGTTACAGATGTTTCTCCTTTTCCCCCCACTGATTCCCCCCTTCTCCTCCCTCCCTGCCCTGTCCCCAGCTTTGTTGTCCATGTCCATTGTTTATGCATACATGCATATAAGTTCTGTGTTTTATCCCCCCCCCCTGGGGATTGTCAGTCTGTACCCCACTTCCACGTCTCTAGGACTACCCCATTCCTTAGACTGTTATGTTCATTATATTCCACAAATAAGTGAGATCATATGATACTTGTCTTTCTCTGGCTAAACTTTATTTTAATGAAGATGGCATGATTAGACTATTAGATTTTTTGCTGAATTTAGTATTTGTTTCCCAGAAAACTTTTGTGGTGTCTTCCAGATATCCATGATTGATGCGATCCCCACACTTATAAATGCAATTAAAATGATCTATAGTATCTCTCATTATTATAATACCTCTGAGAAGATTACATCTCTGTTTGTAAAGGTAAGTACAGTCACTTATATTTCTTTGCCAATGGTCAAGGTTTTGGTAATTAAATATTACTGCACTTACACACTCCATTGTCTATGTATCCTACAATTTTTTAAAGCAGCTTAATCCCTCAATAGAGGTAGAATTAAGTTTATGTGAGAGGCTGATTCTGAAAAATCATAAAGCATTCTTTGTACAAGTAATTATTATAATAAATATTGTGTTATTTATATAATAAAAAGAAAAAAGATTATTTTTGGAATTTCTTGCCTATGTTATTTAGTACATTATTTATTCCCATGGGTAAATTTTAATTAAGGAAAAACTGACTATCTCCTGTTTCATATTTATATGCCGCTGTACCAAATGTATTTGATGCCACAGTTGTTTACTTGGTGTTATTAGAATAGCAATCATGGTAATAAAAGCAATTGTAATGATTCTGCCAAAAAAAGCATAATGAGGTTTAAACCTTATGTCCTAACTCCTAAGTGTTTATGGTGAGCACTGTTGCTTTTCCCATTATGAATGGTCTCAGAAATAAATGACTTTTTCATAGCCAAGGCAAACATTTTAAATGTTGTATTAAAACAGAGGGATGTTCAGCTCATCAGGACTTGTGTTGTGAATACTAATGTAGTAGAGTCTTGATTCTTCCTGGGAACAGGGACGTCCAGCCTTGAGAGCTCACCTGGAAACTCCGTGCTCTGAGTTCCAGTAGCGAGGCAGGCGCTCCACGACGTCCTTCCCGAACGTCACCCTTGAGAACTGCGTGTTAGGATCCTGGGGGATGTTTCCTGGGTAGAAGACTCAAATGTCAGCTTGTGTTATTACTCTAGCTTTCATGCATATTATTTGCAGGCCTTGTTGTTGAACAAAATTATAAAACCACCATTTATCTAAGTTTCAAAAACCTTTCATCAAGAGAAATTTCTGCAAAAGAAGAGTGTTATGTACCGAACCCATGTACATATTGCACAGATTTAGTGACAATCAACACATGGCTAATCTTGTTTCATTTATACCCCCAACCTTTGCAGTGCAAATTCCAGCATCATATCATTCCATGCATATACTAGTCATCTGATTTTCCTTTTAATGTATAAAAACTCACCCAGAAAATTCTAAAGGTTTTTTTTATCCTCACCCGAGGACACTTTTTCCATTTTCGTTCAGGTAGAATGGGAGGGAGAGAGAGGAACAGAGAGAGAGAGAGAAACATCGACGTGAAAGGAACACATCGAGTGGCTGCCACCCGCACAACCAACCAGGGCCGGGGACAAACTGCAACCGAGGTACGCGCCCTTAGCGGGAACCGAACCCGGGTCTCTCCGGACCACAGGCCGGCGCTCTAACCGCTGAGCCAAACTGGCCCGGGCTGTACTACATATTCTTTATCCAATCATCTATCAAAGGACATTTTAGTTGTTTCCATGTCTTCACCACTATCAATAAAGGGGTACATATATCTTTATCAATTAATTTTTTCAGAAGATAGGTTGCTGAATTATACGGTAACTCTATTCTTAATTTTTTGAGGAACTTCCGTACTGTTTTTCATAGTGGCTGTACCAGTTTACATTCCCACCAGGAGTGAATGAGGGTTCCCTTTTCTCCATAACCTCTTCAACATTTGTTATTACCTGTTTTGTTGATGATAGCCATTCTAACAGGTGTGAGGTGGTATCTCATTGCAGCTAGTGAAGTTAATCATATTTTCATATATCTGTTGGTCATTTGTATGTCTTGGAAGAAGTGTCTGTTCAGGTCCTCTGCCCATTTCTAAATTGGATTTTTTGTTATTTTGTTGTTGAGTTGAATGATTTCTTTATATATTTTGGATATTAACTCATTTTGGGAGGTGTTGTATGCACATATCTTCTCCCATTTGGTTGGTTGCCTTTTTGTTTTGGTGTTGGTTTCTTTTGCTGTGCAGAAGCTTTTTAGTTTGATATGGTCCCATTAGTCCCATTTATATACTTCTTTTTGTTTTTACCTCTCCTGACTTTGAGATAATTAATAAAATCCTCTTTAAGACCAAGGTCCATAGTTTAGTATCTATATTTTCTTCTATTTACTTTATTGTTTCAGATCTTGTATTTATGTTTTTGATCCATTTTGAATTAATATTTATGTGTGGTGACAAATAGCAAGCAGTCCAATTTCATTCTTTTGCATGTGTCTTTTCAGTTTTCACAGTGCCATTTATTGAAGAGGCTTTCTTTTCTCCATTGTGTTTTTGACTCCTTTGTCAAAAATATACATGTGGATTTATTTCTGGGCTCTTGATTTGTTCCATCTGTCTGTGTCTGTTTTTCTGCCAATACCATGCTGTTCTGATTATTGTCACTTTGTAGTATACTTTCAAGTTAGTGATACTATACTGCCAGCTTGTTCTTCTTATTTTTTTAATCTTCCAAGGAATAGTTTTAGTTTTGAAAAATGAAACACTGTGAGATATCTTTTGGCATATTTTTCTGTATGGCAGATAATTATAAATCCCTCTAAACATCACAACAACCTTTCTGTGACAATGAATAACTTAGAGCCTTTAGTTTCTCTCAGGATTTCTGTGGCTATTTAGAGTCTTTTGTGGGTTCATACAAATCCGATGATATTTAAAAATTTATTTATTTAAAAAATGCCATTGGTTTTTGATGGGCATTGCATTAAATCTATATATTGCTTTGAGTAATATGGCCATTTTAACTATGTTGATTTTTCCAATCCATGAACATGGAATATCTTACCCTTTCTTTCTGCCTTCTTCAAATTATTTTACTAAAGCCTTGTGGTTTTCAGTGTATAGGCCCTTCACATCCTTTGATAACGAGAGCAGATCTTAAGTGCTACCACCACATATATTAAAAATGATAACTATGTGAGGTGTTAATTAACTTGATTGTGGTAATCTTTTTGCTCTGTATTTCAAATCATCACATTGTACACCTTAAATATATACAATTTTTATTTGTCAATTATGCCTCAATAAAGCAGAATAAAAAGGCTAGTGCTTGATCATAGTTGTTATGGAAACAAATAAATCGAAAGCTTAAGTCCAAAGATTGTACATCCTAAGAGGTACAAGAGTTAAGGACCCTCCAGTCCAATTTATAATTGATGGCTCTCTTATGTACATAACCTCATTTTATTGGAAAATTGCAGGTAACCAATCAGATGATATCCGCATGTAAAGCTCATATTACCAATAATGGAACTGCTTCTTTGTGGAGCCAACCACAGGATGTTGTTGTGGAAAAAATATTATCAGCAATTAAACTTAAGCAGGTAGTGATCAGCCTAATACTATATTTAGATAATGTTTAATTATATTTATGTTGTTTTTGGTAATGCATCTTAAATTATTTAGCAATTATTATATTCTTGGTTGCTAAAAAGAACAGTAATTCTTTACTATTATGAAGGTTACATGTTAATGAACTTTCCAAGGAAATTTATGCACTATTCTACCCTCTTTAGGGGCCTAGTATGTCCCAATACCACATCAAGTACTGAAGATTCAGAGATGACTAAGATGATGAAGGTTTTCTTAAACTTCTGATAGATGAATGGGGAGACCTAGAGTGAGGTTATTGCTAATATGGTGGGACCAGGGTGGAAAGGCTGCATCACTGAGATGCATTATGAATAATTAGGGGTTTGCTAGATTGGAGAATGGGAGAAAATATTCTAGGCCGAGTGATGAGTAAATGAAAAGGCATAAAACAAAGCGCTTGCAATTCCACCCTAATTTTGCCATGACCTTTGCTGAAGAGAGAATAAGGTTATCTTCATTGTTTTCCCATTCTTATATTTTGCTTTTTTATTTTAAGGAATACCAGCACTGCTTTCACAAGACAAAGCAAAAGCTTAAACAAGATCTAAATGAAAAACAATTTGAATTCAGCGAGATGTATATTTTTGGAAAATTTGAAACTTTCCATCGACGTCTTGCTAAGATACTAGATATCTTTACAACCTTTAAGACATATTCAGTCCTGCAAGATTCTAAAATTGAAGGGCTGGAAGACATGGTCACCAAATACCAGGTATTGTTTTAAAACTAAATTTGCTTCTCTTATCTATAACTAAAACTTTGATATTCTATGCAAATAACTATATTTAAAATGATTCAAATAGTTCATAATGTGAAATATAAGCTCATAGCCCTTAAACAAGAAGAAATTAAATTTACTTGAAAATTGTGTAATGGTGCTAATATGTTCTTTTCAGGTGTGTGGTTATGATAATGACTTCCCAATAGTCTAAAATTAATCATCATTAACGAAAGCATTTTCATTAGTAGCACAAGAAAAGTGTTTAAATATAACTTATTGCTTCATTTATTCATGAAAGAAATATTTAATGAAGCCAGTACTATGTGTCAGGCTTTTGTTCACACTGAGTTCTGAGTGTCATGTGATCATCTCTGCATGTAAGCATTTTATTTGGACCTGTGTTAAAAATTAAAGGGACTGCCCTGGCTGGTTTGGCTCAGAAGTTAGAGCATCAGCCTGCAGTCTGGAGAGACCCAGGTTCGGTTCCTGCTAAGGGCGCGTACCTCGGTTGCAGTTTGTCCCCGGCTCTGGTTGGTTGTGCGGGTAGCAACCACTCGATGTGTCCTTTTCACGTCAATGTTTCTCTCTCTCTGTTCCTCTCTCTCCCTCCCACTCTACCTGAACAAAAAAATGGTAAAATGTCCTTGGGTAAGGATGATAAAAAAAAAAAATTAAAGGGACTGAATTTTATTTTAACCCTACCATTCCTAGTTATTTTGACCTTTAACTGCTGTCTCTTGTAAGGATATATATGTGACTAATCTTAGTTTTTATTTATTTTATTTTATTTTTTTAAATTTCTTTTTTTGTTACAGATATTTTACCTTGTTTACCCCATTGGCACCACCCACCCCACCCCACCTCCGCCCTGTCCCCGGCTTAGTTGTCCATGTCCATTGGTCATGCATACATGCATATAAGTTCTGTGGTTTATCTCTTCCTACCCCCCCACCTCCTCTTCTGAGGGATGTCAGTCTGTGCCCTACTTCCATGTTTCTGGGTCTGCCGTATTCCTCAGACTGTTATGTTCATTATATTCCGTATATAAGTGAGATCATGTGGTATTTGTCTTTTTCTGCTTGGCCTCTTTCACTTAGGATAATATTTTCTAGGTCCCTCCATGTCGTCTCAAAGGATAAGAGATCTTTCTTTTTTACCGCTGCATAGTACTCCATTGTGTATATGTACCACAGCTTTTTGATCCATTCGTCTACTGATGGACACTTGGGCAGTTTCCAGATCTTAGCTATTGTAAATAGTGCTGCTATGAACATGGGGGTAGATATATTCTTCCTGATTGGTGTTTCAGGCTTCTTAGGGTATATTCCTAGCAGTGAGATCACTGGGTCAAATGGAAGTTCAATTTTTAATTTTTTGAGGTAACACCATATTGTTTTCCATAGCGGCTGCACCAGTCTGCATTCCCACCAGCAGTGTATTAGAGTCCCCTTTTCTCCACACCCTCGCCAACACTTGTTGTTTGATGATTTGTTGATGGCGGCCATTCTGACAGGTGTGAGGTGGTACCTCATTGTAGGTTTAATTTGCATCTCTCTGATGATTAGTGATGTTGAGCATTTCTTCATATGTCTTTTGGCCATTTGTATGTCCTGTTTGGAGAGGTGTCTATTCAGCTCCTCTGCCCATTTTTTAATTGGGTTCTTTGTCTTCCTTTTGTTGAGTTGTATGAACACTCTCTATATATGGGAAATTAACCCCTTATCTGATACATCATTGGCAATGATGTTCTCCTTTACAGTGGGTTGCCTTTCCATTTTGATGATTGTTTCTTTTGCTGTGCAGAAGCTTTTTAGTTTGATGTAGTCCCATGTGTTCATTTTTTCCTTTGTTTCTGTTGCCTTAGGTGACGTATCAGTGAAAATTCTGCTCTGTATGATGTCCGGCATTTTGTTGCCTACATTTTCTTCTAGAATTTTTATGGATTCATGGGTCACATTTAAGTCTTTTATCCATTTTGAGTTTATTTTTGTGTATGGTGTAACTTGATGGTCTAGTTTCATTTTTTTGCATGTAGCTGTCCAATTTTCCCAACACCATTTATTAAAGAGGCTGTACTCCACTGTATGCTCTTGCCACCTTTGTCAAATATTAATTGAGCGTATTGCCTTGGGTCCATTTCTGGGTTTTCAGTTCTGTTCCACTGGTCTATATGCCTGTTCTTGTGCCAGTACCAGGCTGTTTTGGTTACAGTCGCTTTGTAGTATAACCTGATATCTGGTATTGTGATCCCACCTACTTTGTTCTTCTTTTTCAAGATTGCTGTGGCTATTCGGGGTCTTTTTGGTTCCATATGAACTTTTGAAGAATTTGTTCTAGTTCTATGAAATATGTCGTTGGTATTTTGATGGGGATTGCATTGAATCTATAGATTGCTTTGGGTAGTATGGACATTTTAATGATGTTAATTCTTCCAATCCATGAACAGGGTATGTGCTTCCACTTTTTTTATATCTTCCTCTATTTCTTTTTTCAATGATCTGTAGTTTTCTGCAAATAGGTCCTTTACTTCTTTGGTTAAGTTTATTCCTAGGTATCGTAATTTTTTTGTCGCGATGGTAAATGGGATTGTTTTTTCAGTTTCTCTTTCTGTGAGTTCATCATTGGTGTACAAGAATGCCGTCGATTTCTTGACGTTAATTTTGTATCCTGCTACTTTGACAAATTCATTTATTAAGTCTAGTAGATTTTTGATGGAGTCTTTAGGGTTTTCTATGTATAATATCATGTCATCTGCAAATAATGACAGTTTCACTTCCTTCTTTCCAATTTGGATCCCTTTTATTTTTTCTTCATGTCTGATTGCTGTGGCTAAGACTTCCAGTACAATGTTAAATAAGAGTGGCGAAAGTGGACATCCCTGTCTTGTTCTTTTCTTAATGGAAATGTTTTTAGTTTCTGTCCATTGAGTATGATGTTGGCTGTAGGTCTTTCATATATGGCCTTTATTATGTCGAGATATGATCCCTCTATCCCTACATTGCTGAGCGTTTTTATCAGAAATGGATGCTGGATTGTGTCAAAGGCTTTTTCAGCATCTATTGATATGATCATGTGGTTTTTATTCTTCATTTTGTTTATGTGGTGTATCACGTTTATTGATTTGCGAATATTGTACCAGCCTTACATCCCTGGAATGAATCCCACTTGGTCATGGTGAATAATTTTTTTGATGTATTTCTGGATCCGATTTGCTAATATTTTGTTCAGGATTTTGGCGTCTATGTTCATCAGGGATATTGGCCTGTAGTTTTCTTTCTTCATAGTATCTTTTTCTGGTTTTGGAATTAGAATCATGCTGGCCTCATAGAACGTGTTTGGAAGTCTTCCTTCTTCTTGAATTTTTTGAAATAGTTTGAGGAGAATGGGTGTTAGTTCTTTTTTGAATGTTCGGTAAAACTCCCCCGTGAAGCCATCTGGGCCTGGGCTTTTGTTTGCTGGGAGAGTCTTGATTACCTCTTCAATTTCCTTAGTTGTTATTGGTCTGTTCAAGTTTTCTATCTCTTCTGGGAATAGTTTTGGGAGACTGTGTGTTTCTAGAAATTTGTCCATTTCGCTTAGATTGTCGAATTTGTTGCCATATAGTTGTTCATAGTAGTTGTTAACGATCTTTTGTATTTCCGTGGTGTTGGTTGTTACTTCTCCTCTTTCATTTCTGATTTTGTGTATTTGGGTTTTCTCTCTTTGTTTCTTGGTGAGTCTAGCTAAGAGTCCATCAATGTTGTTTATCTTTTTGAAAAACCAGCTCTTTGTTTCATCGATCCTTTGAATTGTTTTTTTGGCCTCTATGTAATTTATTTCTGCTCTGATCTTTACTATTTCCTTCCTTCTACTTGCTCTGGGGTTTTCTTTTTGTTTGCTTTCTAATTCTTTAAGTTGTGAGGTTAGACAGTCAATTAGAAATTTTTCTTGTTTTTTGAGGTAGGCCTGTAGTGCTATGAACTTCCCTCTCTGAACTGCTTTCGCTGCATCCCATAGATTTTGTGTTGTTGTGTGTTCATTTTCATTGGTTTCCAGGAAGTTTTTAATTTCTTCCTTGATCTCCTCGGTGACCCATTCATTGTTTAATAACATGCTATTTAGCCTCCATGTGTTGAAATGTCTTTGCATGTTCTTGTTGCAATTGATTTCTAGTTTCATGCCATTGTGATCTGAGAAGATGCTTGATATGATTTCAATCTTCTTGAACTTGTAGAGATTTAGTTTGTGTCCTATCATGTGGTCTATCTTTGAGAATGTCCCATGTGCACTTGAGAAGAATGTGTATTCTGTAGTTTTGGGGTGTAATTCTCTGTAGATATCTATTAAATCCATTTGGTCTAGTGCTTCATTTAGAGTCTCTGTTTCCTTGCTAATTTTTTGCCTAGAGGATCTATCCAGCGCTGTCAACGGGGTGTTGAAGTCCCCTGCTATGATTGTATTGTTGTCGATTTCTCCTTGGAAGTCCTCCAGAAGATTTTTAATATATTTTGGTGCTCCTATATTGGGTGCATATATGTTTATCAAGATTATATCTTCCTGTTGGATAGATCCTTTTAATATTATATAGTGGCCTTCTTTGTCTCTAGTTATGGTCTTCATTTTGAAATCTATTTTATCATATATGAGAATTGCTACCCCAGCTTTTTTTTGCTTTCCATTTGCTTGGAAAATTTTTTTCCATCCCTTCACTTTCAACCTATGTGAGTCTTTTGTTGAGAGGTGGGTCTCTTTTAATCAACATATAGATGAGTCATGCTTTCTTATCCAATCAGCTACTCTTTGTCTTTTTATGGGAGCATTCAATCCATTTACGTTTAAGGTGATTATTGATATGTACTTATTTATTGCCATTTTTGTTTAGTGTGGTTCTATTTTTCTTTCCATTTCTACTGCTAATTACAGCAGTCCTTTTAACATTTCTTGCAGTGCTGGTTTGCTGCTAATGTATTCCCTTAGCCTTTTTTGTCTGGGAAGCTCTTTATTTGATCTTCTATTTTGAATGATAGCCTTGCTGGGTAGAGTAGTCTTGGATTCAGATTTTTGTTTTTCATGACTTTGATTACTTCATGCCATTCTCTTCTGGCCTGTAGTGTTTCTTGTGAGAAGTCAGCTGAGAGCCTTATGGGGTTCCCTTTGTAGGTAACCTGTTGCTTATCTCTTGCTGCTTTTAGGATTCTCTCTTTGTCTTTAATTTGTGGCATTTTAATTACTGTGTGTCTTGGTGTGGGCCTGTTTGGGTTCTTCTTACTTGGGACTCTCTGTGCTTCTTGAACTTGAATGCCTTCTTCCTTCACCAAATTAGGGAAGTTTTCTGTCACTATTTTTTTGAATATATTCTCTATCCCTTGCTCATTTTCTTCTTCTTCTTCGGGGACTCCTATGATGCGAATATTATTACGTTTCCAGTTGTCCCACAGTTCTCTTAAGCTGTCTTCCTGTTTTTTAATAGTTTTTTCCTTTTGTTTTTCTGATTGGTTGATTTTTTCTACCCTGTCTTCTAATTCACTGATCCGGTCCTCAGCTTCCTCTACTCTGCTTTTTAAACCTTCCAATGTGTTTTTCATTTCTGATATGTCATTTTTTATCTCTTCTTGATGGTTTTTAATTTCAATTTGGCTTATTTTCAGTGTCTCTATGTCCTTACTTATGCTGTTCAGCTTCCTCAAGATCATGGCTCTGAATTCTAGCTCTGTTAACATGCCTAATTGCTCCACATTGATCTCATCTTCGGTGGAGGTGTCTTGCTCTTTCATTTGGCTTCTGTTTCTGTGTTTCACCATTTTGGCTATCACTGTGGGCTTTGGAGCCTGTCAAGTTTTCCCTGTGGGTGTTGGTGTTCTGCTGTTTGTGGCTCCCTCTCCTGTGTTTAGATGAGCGAGGGAGGACCCACGTTGAACACCACTGTCAAGTCTTACTTTCCTGGTTAAAGTTGCCAGCCCAGGAAAGGTACTGTTATCCTCTAGCTTTTTGCCTGGAGGCTAGCAGTCTAGGTTACTTGAAGAGTTTTGGGTTGTCTTTTGATTGAAAAGCTCCCTCAGGTGCTTAGCACAAGGGGATTTCCCGAGGGTGGGGCAGATGCTGGTTGTTAGTGAGCCTCAATTAGCACTTCAGTGGCCCACAGGGTGGGGTTGGATCTCCGAGGGAGGGGCTGCTGCCTCTCCTCAGAGCCCTGGGAAGGAGCAAGATGGCCACAGCCCTGCGTGGCTGCACTCAGCCAAAGCTCTGAGTGCCCTCCAAATCCCGAGTGTCCCCACACAGTTCCAGTCCAGTCTGCCCTCCCTCTGCCGGAGCCCAAGGTGAGTGGCTGTGGCTGTTTCAGCCTCTGTCCCGGCTCTGCGCTGTGGGGCCGCCTGGGAGTGTGACCCGGGGGCGCCGCTCCCAGCTAAGGCCGCTGCCGCGCTGCCGACCGTCTCGCGCCTTCGCAAGCCTACCGGGATGGAGTCAGTGTCCCTCGTTGTATGGTCCTCGCAAGCTGCTTTTCTGTTGGTTTTTCCCATCGATTTGTCTGTGTTATAGTTGTAATTCCAGTTTGGTTCTGGGAGACGGTCTGTGTAGCTTCCGTTCACTCCGCCGCCATTTTTCCTTTTTTTTCCAATCTTAGTTTTTGAAGTGGGCACAGTGTTCTAATAATGCTTTGAAGATTTTTAAAAAACAATTTACAAAGTGAGTTTTCAATTCTTAATGTAGATGTAGTCAATTTTTTCTTGTTTGGGAGCAGTGACACTGAAACTTAAAATTTTTTTATTTTTTTATTTTTATTTTATGAATTTTTATTTATTTTTTTGTTACAGATATTTTACCTTTTTACCCCATTGGCACCCCCCACCCCCCCACCCCTCCACCCTGTCCCCGGCTTAGTTGTCCATGTCCATTGGTCATGCATACATGCATATAAGTTCTGTGGTTTATCTCTTCCCACCCCCCCACCCCCCAACCCCTCCTCTGAGGAATGTCAGTCTGTGCCCTACTTCCATGTGTCTGGGTCTACTCTATTCCTCAGACTGTTATGTGAAACTTAAAATTTTTATACTTGAATTTGAAAAGGATCATATAATTAAAAACTTTAAAAAATCTTCACATGCGGATATGTTTTTTTATTGATTTGAGAGAGAGAGTGAGAGAAAGAGAGAAACATTGATCAGTTGCCTCTTGTACACACCCTGACCTGGGATTGAACCTGAAACGTAGGTATGTGCCCTGCCAGGGAAGTGAACCCACAGTCTTTTCGGTGTAAGAGACGATGCTCCAATCAACTGAGTTATGCAGCCAGGGCAAAAAAAGGATCATTTAATTTATTGCCAGTTTTTGTATTATTAACATTTTAGGCCAATACTTAGAGTAGTCTCTTTCATTCCCTGAGTACATTAGATTTTGGCAGGGAAAAAGAAAACACCTTTCTTATGTAGCTGGAAACACTGTAGATGAATCCTGTGTAATTTGCAGGGTAGAAAATTTGTACTTGGAAAGTGACAGTTTTGCAAGACAAATTGAATATATCCATTTATTTTTCAATTTGAAATCTATTTATTTTCTATTCTTTTGAAAAAAATAACTTTGGAATATATTTCAAAGGTTATCTTTGAATGAGAAGTTGAACTATACATCTAAATGCACATAAAGATGGTTCTAACCTGATAAAAATACTGAGAAGAGAAATTGCTTTGAAAATCTAAGTGAAATATTAATTAAAATGGATGGACCATGGGTAATGAGTTAAAATATGGATGATGCAGGAAAGGGTAAGGTGAGATTTTGTGTGTGTGTGTTAGTACCAATGTTAGAAGCTCAAAATGGGGTCCGTGGAAATGAATCTCAGGCTCCTCGCCTGGCAATCACGCCCCTGTCCATGCCTCTCACCTCCTGACTTGCTCCTCTTCTCATTCTATCATCTGCAGACACAGTGCAGTCCACCTTCAGGCTAGCAGTGCTTTTTTGTTTAGAAAATTCTGCCTCTGGATTTTCATGTAGTTATTTCCTCCTTGGCCTCCAGATCTTGATTTAAATGACCCTCTCAATTGTTTTCCTTGGTTTCTGTTGGACCTCAATCACTCTTTGTCCCTTTACTCCTTTATCCTCTCTAAAATGACCTTGTTCATTTATTTGTGATTTTCATGGATTCTGACCCTCTCTCCCCCACCAAGGTTGTAAATTCCTCCAAGGCAGGGATTTGTTTGTGTTGTTTATTCCTGTGTCATCAGAGTTAACTGGTACATAACAGGTGTGCAATAAATATATGATTTCACTCACAGGTAGGATATAAAACTGAAAGTAACAAATGAACAAACAAGAAGAACAAACAAACCAAACTCATAGATACAGACAACAGTGTGGTGATTACCAGAGCGAAGGCGGGGTGGGGAGTTCATAAAGGGAAAAGGGGGCCAAATATGTGGTGATGGAAGATGATTTGTCTTTGGGTGGTGGGCACACAATGTAGTATACAGACCATGTATCATAGAAATCTACACTGGAATCCTATATAATTTTATTAGCCAATGTCACCCAATAAATTTATTTTAATTAATAAATAAAATACTTTCTTAAAAATATCAGTCAAATAATTGAATTAGTAGTCAAATAATTGAATTGAAATAATTGAATCAATAATTTGATTAGTTGGTTTAAAGGTTACGATTAATTGGTTTATTTAATACTCTCCAGTGACTATAAAATTCAATCGAAGAGCAGAATTTTCTAAGGGCCCCAGGTCTTCTTAATTACCATATTAACATGTAGAGATGTAGCTTTTTCATGCTTTTTAAACATAGTTCATATAACATGATGGGTAGCATTATAATATATACAATTTCTAAAAAGAACTACTTTTGTAGTTCTACAACATGAAAGAGTTGGTTGTTTTAACTAGTAAACTTGACTCACAGAGTTATGCAGTTTATACACTTTTATCTATTAAGATATTTGAATTAATATATAAGTGGAGATGACTTTGAAGAAGAGACTGCAGAAGGAGGCCCAACATTCTTCATAAAAATTATATGCCTTTGTCAACAGTGTGGTCTCCTGAGTTTGAGAATGGCTTAGTATCTAGTTAAGAATGATCACATAGCAATGGAGCTCATTATTCAGAGCAAACAAAACTTTGGGTAATAGTGTTTTCAAGGAGATGAATTGCCTAATTTGTACTCTTGTAGTCATGGACTGCAGCTTTGCCAGGCAGAAGAAAGCCAATTAATTCTAGAGATTCTTTAAATGGTAGATTGTTGTTTGACATTTTATTTAAGACATTTGAGGCTTAGAAGATAGTATATCATCTGTAGATATTATAAGTGTTTTCTTTCTAAGTTTGTATTCTGTTAAAGTCTTATTTATTCTCTAAGATGTCATACTTCAACGAAAAATATTTTAATAACTTCTCTAGGCTTCATTTTTATTATTTCAGATGTGATTAATAAGAAATTTTTAAAGAACATACTTTTCCTACTTTTCAGATGTGGCCTTTATTTTATATTTTTCTTAAAAAATACACAAAACCTCATGAAAATGCTTTCCAAATGACTTCTTTGAATGCAGTAGGCAACATTATACTGCTGTAATAAGTGTTAAGCGATGTAACTTAAGAAATAGGCTCTTTTAAGTTGCTTTTCTGGCAATGATTTTTCAGGTTCCACATTTAAAGGTTATATTTAATTAAGTAATGCTAAACTAATGAAATATTGTCATTTCTTTAATTACATTTCAGGGCATTATTGCTACTATAAAAAAAAAGGAATATAATTTCTTAGACCAGCGGAAAATGGATTTTGACCAGGATTATGAAGAGTTTTGCAAGCAGACTAATGACCTTCATGTAGGTTGTGTAATATAATTCCTGTTGACAGTCTTTTTTTTTTTTTTTTTTTTTCTGTTCTGTATAATGCTGCTAATCATTACCCATCAGAAGGAAGAGGCGTCTTCATCACTGAGGTGACTGACAGCGACCTCAGCCTGTGTTTTGCGATTTCATGTTAATAATTGAAGGCTCTTTTTCATAGATTCAAGGGTCATAAATATAACTTTGGATAATGATCTGTAATCACAGACGTGTACATGTCTTCCATCTTAGTTCTTAGACAATTACGTTTCATCCTCTGTTGAAGGGTAGGGTGGTTATTAGAATATAAAAATTTCTTTCCATTTGTTTGTTATTTTAATAGCAATGATTATGACCAGAGGTTGTTTAAGCAAACGGTCAGTGATGTTTGGCAGATCCCAAAGGCAGGGTGGCACCCGGCCTTAGAAACAATGTTACCAGGACTGACTCAGCAAGTGGACCCCTTTCACTGTTGCTCCCCCCGCCCCCGCTCCTCTGCCTCCCCTCCTCACTGCAGATGTGCCATCTTGACTTTCAGTCCGGATGAACAGGGTGTGGCTATCATCAGCTTCTGAGAACACATCACAGGTCTAGCCACAGCTCTAAATTCCTAAGGAAAATGTTGGGATGGCAGTTCTAGCCCTGGTTCTCGTGGTAAAGCAGGAGAGATGGCACCCCCTGTGGCAGTTGGGAATGTTTGCTCTCAGAGTTGGAGAATGAAGAAGGGTAAGGTGGGGAGACAACCCACAGATGTCTACCATAATTAATATGCATACTTTTTTTCATCCCAGTGAGGTGAAAATTTGCACTATTCTGATTATAGAAGGAAAATGGCCATCTTTTACAACTTTTGCAGAATTTTTGGTTTGAAATAAGTTGGTTCACTTTAAGGGAAGAAGAATTCTGAGGCAGTTTTGGAGGGGTGAGTTCAGTGGTAGAAGGAATCATAATAAACCAGCTAATTCTATATGTCAGGTACTGTTCTAAGCACTTTATAGGTGTTAACTCATTTTATTTTATTTTTTTGTTAATCCTAACCCCAGGATATTTCTCCATTGATTTTTTTTTTATCCTCACTTGAGGACATTTTTCCATCGTTGCTTAGATAGAGTGGGAGGAAGAGAGAGGAAGAAAGAGAGAAACATCGATGTGAAAGAGACACATTGAGTGGCTACCTCCCGCGCAACCCCAACCGGGGCCGGGGACAAGCCGCAACCAAGGTACGTGCCCTTAGCAGGAACCAAACCTGGGTCTTTCTGGACCACAGGCTGATGCTCTAACCACTGAGCAAACAAGCCAGGGCTCTCCATTGATTTTTAGATAGAATGGAAGAGAGGGAAGGAGGGAGGGACACACATACACACATCAATGGGAGACAGAGACATTGGTTGGTTGCCACCTGCATGACCCTGGCTAGGGCCACGGATCGAACCCGCAACCCACCTGCATGCCCTTGGCCTCTGAGCCAAACCAGCCAGGGTGGTGTTAATTTATTTAATAATCACACTAATCCTATCAAGTCAGTGCTCTTAGTGCCCTCATTTTTGCAGAGGAGCAAACCGAGTCACTGTGAGGTTAAGTGACTTGCCTCAAATCACAGAGATAACAAGTGGTCATGTGGGGATTAGGCCCAGGCAGTCTGGCTCTAGGATTCAAGTTTTTTTTTTTTTTTTTTTATCATCCTCACCGAGGACATTTTTCCATTTTTTTGTTCAGGTAGAGTGGGAGGGAGAGAGAGGAACAGAGAGAGAGAGAAACATCGATGTGAAAAGGACACATCGAGTGGTTGCCACCGGCACAAGCACCCAGGGCCGGGGACAAACTGCAACCGAGGTACACGCCCTTAGCGGGAACCGAACCCGGGTCTCTCTGGACCGCAGGTCGACGCTCTAACCGCTGAGCCAAACCGGCCAGGGCGGATTCAAGTTTTTAACCACTATGTTATAAGACATATTTCAGTTGGTGGGGAGATACAATGCTTGTAGTAATTTAAACAATGACCACTTTTAGGGACTGATTCAGACTTAATGACAACGGATCTTGATGTCTTCTTGTTAGAAACTGATGGACAGTAGCAGATTCTGACTCTGTGCTCCGTGATCAATGTGTATTTGTCAGGTCTTTACCTGTTTTCCGGCACTTGCTGATATGTGGTGCTTCAGTAGCATGTATGTGGAATATAGGTCGGTGGTGAACACTTTGAGGGAAGGACTCAGGTTTATTCCTACTTGTGTCTCCAGGGGTCTGGTGGGTGGCACCTTATGTAATTGGAGAGCAAAGAATGTTTGCTGAATTAAAGTGTGAGTAATGAATTAAGAAGTCTAGATTTATTATAATTAAACAAGCATTTACCGTACATCAATTATGTATTAGGCTTCTATGCTGTGGGTTATGAACACAGAAATAAATGAAGTAGATTTTCTCTTAAAGCTCACAGCAGACAGAAGGCAGATATGTGCTCTGATAGAAACACAAGTACACATATGTTAGAAGTATAACATTCTGATATTATACCAGGCATTGAGGATGCAAAGATCAAAGACATAGTCCACAGAAGCCTCAAGAAACTTAGAGGGAGTACAGGCCTATGAAACTTTATATAGAACCTGAGCATTTCTACAACCCATGAGGCAGGATGCAAGCCTAGGAGAAAAACAGTCCCACACTGCTGCTTGCCTGGGATCAGAAAAGCCTCAGAAAGAAGCTGATGCTTGGGGCCAGAACAGTGTTTGTATTTCCCAAGTAAATGGAGGGAAATGAGTGGGGAGACCACTTTTTATAATTCCAAAAATATAATTGTGTAATTGTTCTACATCCTGGTGTTTAAGCATTAGTTATAGACATTAGTTCCTATTCTCTTATATATTTTCTTTTTAAAAATTTAATTCTATTAATGTCTTACCTTGCAGCTCAGTAATGGCCCATATCTCTCTCTGGTTGGATGACTACTTTTCCTTTGACTTCTTTATCTCTTTCTCTATCCTCTTTCTCTTAACTAAACTTTCTACACATTCCCCTGTAAGTAACTCACGAACTCAGCCATTGTCTCTATAAAATCAGGGTGAAAATTCCAAACTAACCAGCAGTCTGGATGGAGTATTGGGGGCGAGCCTTGGAGACTGGAATGGAGAGGCTCAGTAACTGGAGGGTGGGGTGCAGTACATAGGTGCCTCGGATCAGGGTTGTGTCAGGACAGTATTGTCAAGGTGACCAGAGCCTGGAATCCTATCCAGATTTCAAGTTCATGCTGGTACTAATAGGTCAAACAGAAAATTGAGTAGGAGCTGGGAGCCCATAACTAGTAAAGACAAGTGTGAGAATTCCATGGCTGGACTCTAAAAGACGGTTAGAATGAACCTAATGCCCAGAGAGAAAAGAAGACAAATTCAAGGTCCTAGGTTCATGGAGAGCTCAGCATAGGCCTTTGTGAAGTTATAGGATGGAAAAACAGGGAAAAGCAGCTGCCAGTGTTAGGGCTCAGTGAAGATTTGCTGGGGCCTGAAGTTGGAGGTGGGGCGTGGAGGCATTGCAAATGCCCCCGTTCTGCAGAGTTCATGCTCAGAGATGTTTATGTAGTGAAGAAGTTGGAGTGTTTATTTGGGGAGGCTAACTCTACTGTTCTGTATAACTTCAGTAGAAGCAGTGAGAAGTATTGGAGGCGCCTTGTTACAGGTTTAGCTGTCCTCAGCTTTGGGGTTTCACAGTGGGAGCACTGTGGCTTGCCCCCAGAGAGCAACATCTCTTCAAGCGCTAGCTGTTTGCAGTGGCGTGCTGGATATTTCCAGCTGGTCGTCCTGCCAAATTACTTACGTGAAGTCAAACTCATCTCGGGACTAATTCTCGCTGCACACGAAAATGGCTTCCCAGTTTGATCACGACATAAATTAATCTTTTTAGCATTGTAGAGGCTCAGAACTTCTCTCTGGTAAATTGAGAAAAAAGAATTGATTGGAACTTTCCCTTGAAACACAAAGTAGAAAATAATAAAATAATTATTCTGTCTTTTATTTAACTCAATTTATAGTTTAATGACAACTCCATGCTAAATCTTAGAGTGCACAGAGAATAAATAAATCATGTAGCTTGTTTCTCAGTGCAGTTGTTTTTATTTTTGGACAAAGTTGTACAATGCTATAAGATGTGTGAGGTTCTCAGGAAAACCCACCATGAAAATTGCTTTGGAAAATAGATTTGAAGGCTTTAAGAAATTGATATTTAGGTCATTATTTTGGAACATGTCTTCTTGGGAGATACTTATTTTTTTCCTGTAGGGGTCCCTGGCCCTGCACTGTGGATGTGTCCCTGTGGAGTGGCTTTGTGTTGCTTCTGCTGGGGCCCTAGAGGTTTTGCCCTCCCAGACTAGCTGTATGTTAATTTCTTGGGAGAGACTTCTCTCATCTCATGAGTAGTTAAACTAAGACCCCTCATCTAGGTGTGGCACAGGCATGGAATTTCAATTGCTTTGGGACAGGGATCTGTAAACTATGCCCATGGGCCAAACCTGCCCTACATTGTTGTTCATGGGTTGTCTATGGCTGTCTTTCCACTGCGGTGGTAGGCGAGCAATTGTGGAAGAGACGCATATCAGCTGGCTCTTTCTAGAGGAAGTAAAGGGCTTGGTTTACCATTCACAGCACTGGCCAGCTGGTAAGCTCCCCCTGCTACTTTCCCCGACTTATAGACAGTATCTAACCCCCCTGGCATGGGCTGGGCAGCACTTCAGGGCCCTGCCTTTCTGCAGGGATTGTTGAGAGCATTAGGGCCCAACAGCTTCTCTACCCACATTGTGATCAAGCCTCAGTGTCTACCCCAGGCCCTGTACCTCAGCCAGCACCTCTGGAGCCTGCCGCAGGCCGACTCCTGGGACTGCTCTGGTTCTCGGGTCCCTCTGTGCTCTGGTTTCTGGGCATTTCCCTGTCTTTCAAGCTCAGGTGTGAGAACAAAGTTTTCTGTTATAGTTTGTTCTGTATTATATGTGATTGTAGAGAATTCGGAAGCTCTTTTATCTTGATGCTAAATAGGACTTTACCTAATGCTAATTCATGTTCATAAGCAGATTTTCTTCTGTTTTAGAATGAGTTGCAGAAGTTCATGGATGTTACATTTGACAAGATTCAAAACACAAATCAAGCTCTAAGTATGTTAAAGAAATTTGAAAGGTAAAAGTCTAGAACAGTTTTCTAAGTTCGGTTTTCTAAAATTGGGGTGATATGAACATAGGTTAGCTTGCATTATTGTTATTATTTCATATTCTAATGTAGTGATTTTTAACTGTTTTTGTTTCATGGCACACAAACTAATTACTAAAATTCTGTGTCACAACAAAAAATATATTTTTTGCCGATCTGACAAAAAAATAGGTGTAATTTTGATTGATTAACAAAAAAGTGATTACCTACCCTTTTTGCTCCCAAGTGATTTTTAAAAAAATCAGTTGCCTATACTTGAATGAACCAATCAGATGCAACATTATCATGCAGTGTGACCAGTAAGATACAACTCTGTTATGTGGCTTATATATTTATGGTTCATGATAGGGCGTTTGCATTGGACAGCTATTGTTGTGGTGGCTATTGTCGTTTTTTTTTATTTGACAATCTAAGAGAAAAGAGGTCAGTTCTTCTGAGTCAGGTATTGCATGTTTTTCCATACATACTATATTTTAAAAACCACTTTGTTGTGATATGATGTATTAATACTATTTTGATTTTTAAAATTCGCCAAATATCTTATTTTCTTCCATTAACATGTGTGTTAAAATGACTTTACAAAGGAGATTGCTAGATATTGTCCCATTAATTCAAGCCTTTCACTTAACAAAAAATCAGATTGAATATACCCAATCTTGGTATTGATGACAAATACCGGCGTATCCTCAAAAACTATGGAGCTGACATTGATATGGTCGCAAAGCTGTATTCAAAGCAGAAATGTGATCCTCCGTTGGCCCGAGACCAGCCTCCCATTGCTGGGAAGATTCTGTGGGCGCGTCAGCTGTTCCACAGGATTCAGCAACCAATGCAGCTTTTCCAGCAGCACCCAACTGTGCTTCGGACGCCGGAAGCCAGACCCGTGATTTACAGTTACAACAGAGTGGCCAAGGTCCTCCTGGAGTTTGAGGTTCTGTACCACCGGGTGTGGCTTCAACAAGTAAGTCTGTACATTTATGTTCTTCAAAGACATCTCCATTTCAATCAGTGGAAAATCCTCCCCTAGCATTGAACAGTTTTATTTTTGTAGAGAGTTGAGTTCGCAGGTATTTTATGTGACAGGTTTGGTTGAATGTAGGTAGATAATCAGTTAAAGAGTGTAATATGTCCATGAGGAAAAATAATGATTCATTTAAAAAAAAATCACAGCCAGGTAACAAACTTACTTTTATATAATTTACAAACTCATAAAGGAGAAGGTCTTGTTTATTGGCTCTTTTACCTGGTTGATTAGGATTTCTTCACTTTTTTTGTGTGCGTGTTCAGTTTTCTTTTTTTTTCTTTAACAATTATTTTTTAATATTAGAAAGAAACATTGAAGTGAGAATGAAACATCGATCAGCTGCCTCTTGCACCCCCCATCTGACAGGGGATCAAGCCTGCATGTGCCCTGACTAAGAATCGAACTGGCAACCCGTTGGTGCACAGAATGATGCCCAACCAACTGAGCCACACTGGCCAGGGCTCCATTCAGTTTCTTAATGTGTCAGTGAACACTAGTATGTGTGTTAAACAAAGTCTTAAGTTTTCTTTGATCATACTACGTTAATTAATTTACATTTCAAACCCTACCAACACTTGTTTTTATTTTTTTTTAAGGATAAAATTCAGCCTTACTGGGCCTCTAAAATGGTTTCTCATTTTCCTGGTTCAGTTTTTGGTATCTGAGCCAATACAGAGATGTCTCCATAGTGGTATTCTTGCTTTTCTAGGTAACTAAAAACAGTTTAGTAGGTTTTTATGACACTCTTATTAGGAAAAATAACTGGGTAGGAATAAAGGTATCAGGGAGCTAAATGGTTTGAGAAGCTACTCTTAATTGCATTATCCACTGATAACTTCAATGTGAGAGAATCATGACCCAAGCATTTTGTTGAATTGACTGTGCAACATCATCCCCGAGGACTTGAAGACCCTTTTCTGAAGTGAACCTAGGAGAAGAGTGCGTGGCCCCATTGTCTTTAGTTTGAGAAGCTCAACCACATGGAAGAACTTTTAATGAGCCTCTCCCAGGAATGGCTAAGCTAGATGCTCTATGTATGCATTGAACTTTCTAATAGTGAAAATGTTGATCTCTTCTCAGATTGATAAAATTCACATAGGACTGGAGGCTTCTTTATTGGTGAAGGCTCCAGGCACAGGAGAATTGTTTGTAAACTTGGATCCTCAGATATTAACCTTATTTAGAGAAACAAAGTGCATGTCACAGATGGGTCTGCACGTTTCCCCATTTGCAGCTGCCCTTTTCCAGAAGCGGGATGTGTACAAAAAGAACTTCGGTAACATGAAGGTATAGTGCTTTTCTTTTCCTCTTCCTGGCTAGCTCCAATTTGTGTTTTAGAAACGATGATGGTGTATCACTGTTGAGGACCAGAAAGTGCCCAGGGTGACCGGAGTGGAGTGACAGGAGGGAGAGTGCCGTGGAATGCGGCTGCAGGGTGGGCAAGGCCAGGTCTCACAAACCAAGGTTACAAGTTGGAGTGCACCAGGAAGCCATTGGAGAAATTTGAGCAGGAAAAAGGGAACGATAACTTTTACAGTAAAAACCATTCTCACTGCTGGGTGAAGAATAGATTTTATAGTGAACAAGCGTGTCAACATGAAGCCAGTTTGAAGGCTGATGCATTGGTTCAGGATGGAGATGATGGTGGCTTAAAGTAGATGTCAGCCAAGTAGTAGAGCAGTGAATTAGAGACTTATGTCAATAGGCAGGTTATGAGAGGGCTCATGGATGATTCTTTGCTTTTAGTGTGAGCAACTCAATGGATTTACTCAAAGTATGGCTTTATTACCGTGTAGGTTATATTCTACACAGCTTGCTCAGTAAAATGCGTTGGCCCTGAACGGACATTCCACTTATAGAGATGGCAAAGTCTGGAACTAGTTTATTTTGGGGGACAGGAGGGAATCATTTGTTCCCACCTTAAATATAAGATGATGTTTAGAGAGCGAAGTGGAGGTGTTATCCATACCGATAGTAAGTCTGGAGTTGGGTGCAGAAGTCAAAGTTGAAGATGACATATATTTGAGAGTTATCAGAATATAGTTGCTATTTAAAGTCATTGTTCTGTGAGATCTCCAAGAAAGAGAATGTAGATAAAGAAAAGTAGAGAGCCTAGACCAAACCCAGACAAGCTCCAATATTGACAAGTCTGATAGAAGAGGTTGACTATGCCAATAAAATTAAAGAATGACCTTTGAGGTGGGAGGAAACAGAATGTCAAGGAAGCCAAGGGTAAGAAGAGCATCATGAGGGAGGGATTGGTCAGCAGTGACAAGTGGTGCCCAGAGGACAATTGAAATAAGGTCGTGATATTAATGCAGCCATGATATTTGACAATATGACCACTGATACAATTTTATAGGAGTTAACATGATAGTATAAGGCCAATAAAGCATGCATTTGCATAATGCTCTAAATTTTAAGCCATTTTCATGTTTATTATTCCATTAGATATGTTCCACAACCATGTTAGGTAAGGCAATATACTATTATAGTGTTTTATAGATGACAAAACCATGGCTCAGAAAAGCTGAATGACGTAGCCAAGGTCTCATAGCTATTAAGTGGCAGAAGTGGGACCAGAACCCAGACTTGGGGACTACTGTGTTCCTATTCCTCCATGTTATATTAGAAAGTTAATATTGGCAATGGGCAGACATTCCCGAAATGCGGGCTTACCACATACTAGTCAGCATGTTGGGATTCCCTTTTAGCCGCTTAGTCTATCTACATCTTTACAAAGAAAATAGTATTTTTTATTAAGATACAATATTTAGCCCTGGCCAGTTTGGCTCAGCAGTTAGAGTGTCGGCCTGCGGTCCAGAGAGACCCCGGATCGGTTTCCGCTAGGGGTGCGTACCTTGGTTGCAGTTTGTCCCTGGCCCTGGTTGTTTGTGCAGATGGCAGCCACTCGATGTGTCCCTTTCACATCGATATTTCTCTCTCTCTCTCTCCCTCCCAGTCTATCTGAACAAAAAATGGAAAAATGTCCTTGAGTGAGGATTAAAAAAAAAAAGATAAAATATTTATAAGAATATAAAATTGATGATAATTTTGTCCACAGAATTGTTTTAGTTATCTGTTGCATATAACAAACAACCTCAAATGTACTGGCTTAAAATAATCATTTCATTATATCTCATGATTCAGTGGGTAAAGCATTTAAGCAAGGCTTGAGGAGGTGATTCTCCTGTTCCACGTGGCATTGACTAAGGTTATTTAGTACTGCTGGCAGATGTTCAGTCTGGAAGGGCCAGGATGGCTCCATTCTCATATCTGGTTCTTTGGTGGGGTTGGCTGGAAGCTTTCCTCTGCTGAAACTAAGGACTGGAGCAACTACATGTGGCCTTCCAGTATGGAGACCTCAGGGTAGTAGAATTTCTTATATGGCAACTTAGGGTTCCAAGAGTGGGTGTTAAATAAATAAAGAGAAAGCTGTGTGGCCTTTAGGACAGCTCAGTGTCTCATAGCATCACTTCTGTTGTGCTTTGTTAGACTCCATAAATCCACCCAGATTCAAGGAGAGGGGACATAGACCCCAACCCATGAGGGGAGAAAGGTCAAAGAACGTTTTAAAAACTACCACAGTTGTAAATGACAATCAAAGCAAGTAAAGTATTATCTGGTTGACATTTATTGTATCTTGGAGACTGAAAGAGTTAGAGGTTCCTACCCCAACATGAACAGATGGTAAGAGCAGGTCTAGTGGCAGATTTGGGGAACCATCTTAGGTGACAGTTATTGTGCTGAATATTTAATACAGCTTTCAGGCTTCAGATATGCAAAGTAGCTGAGAATTTGTATTCTTTGTCTATTTCTTGGAAGACAGTTCAAAGTAGAAAGAAATGAGACAGTATTCACCACCAGGAGCTACAAGTATAGATTCTGAAGCCAATTTGATCTGGATTCGAACGATTATCTTTGGGAAAATTCCTGTACCCTTTTAAACCTTAGTTTTTCATTTATGAAATGGATGAGTAATACTTCATGGGATTAAAGGATTAGGGTGGGACATAGAAAAATGTTTGTAAGAATGGCTTCCCAAATAGAATAAGTGATGGACAGTGTGGAAAAAAAAAGGTAAGCAGCAGAGAAAAGCTTCAGGAAATGTGTAAGTAGCTGCTAACAGAACCTTCAAATTTAGGCTTTTTGAAGGTGGCTTTTATGGAAATTGAAAGGATATATAGAAATTGTGGAAAAGTGTTATATGAAGAAAGGATTACGCGACTCATTTGAGAAATGTTGGGTTTAACAACATTCACAAAGTCCACTGAGCTTTTCATTTCCTTCTTGCAATTTTCTCAGAATTGTTAATATTAGTTGACTGTTCAGGAGGGGAGATAATTTATACAGCATTTTCCAAACTTGTCCGTTCAGAGACCAATTTTCTTATGGAATCTCTGGGGCTTGCATTTCAGGAAAAATACTTTGGAAAACATTAATAACAAAGTAACACCAACATGCACATTAAAGATATGAACTTAAAAACAATTGAATTTAATAAATAGATTAAAGTTCATTTCTTATAATTAATTATTGTTGACATTAACATTATTATAAAAGGTAGGCTGAAAGTACTATTACTCTTATTTAAAAATAGTAGCATATGAACAAATTGCTGGTACAGTTCAACATTAACCACAGGTAAATTTAGTGAAGGACCAGAACCCATGAGATTTTTTTTTTTATCACAAATTCTCCTTCTAATGAGAACTAATTTATTAATTAGAGCCATATGGTTCATCATCTCCTGTGTGCCAAGTATTGTTTCAGACATGTTGAACAAAGCAGACAAAATTCTTGTCATTACAGAACGTATATTCTAGTTGGGTAAAACAGAAGGCAAACAATGAGCTTCATAAATGCATAAATTATATAGTCTTATCAGAAAATGATAGGTGCTATGGAAAAAATAGGGCAAAGAAGATGGAGTATGGAGATGTTTTTGGTTATGGTTTAGGATCTTAAGTAGGTAGTCAGGATAGGCCTAATTGAGAAGGTGGTATTTGAATAATTATTTCAGGGAGATGCAAAGGCTCTAAGGCTAAGGAATACATTAGGGTAGGAGCAGATAAGAGAGGAAAAGAGTTTTTAGAGATGAAGTCAGAGAAGTAATGGAGTCCAGATTGGGTAGATCTTTGCAGACCAACATAAGAGCTTGTAGCCCTGAGTAAGATGGGAAGCCATGTGGCTACGTAAGCAGAGGAGTTACATGATTTAACTTAGATTTTGAAAGAATTACTCTTGCGGCTATATTGAGCAAGAAGCAGGGAGACAATGGTGGACCATTACAATAGAGTCAATGATGGTGGTAGCAGTGGTAAGCGTCAGTAGGATCTCTTTTTGGATATGGAGCAAACAAGATATCCTTATGGAGTGCATGTAGGTGTGAGATAGAGGATTTGAGGATGACTTTTGAGTTATGACCTGAGAACTAGATGGATGGAGTTGCTGTCAGTTGAGATAGAGAATGCTTTGGGCAGAGAACTTTGGGGGAAGAAAAGACTTTCAGTTTTAGACATGTCAAGTTTCAAATGTCTGCTATATTTTCAAGTAGAAGTATTGAGTAGCTGCTTGCCATGTATGAATCTAGACTTGAGGAGTGAGATCTGGACTGGAGATGTAATTCGGTTGTCTCAGTATATGGATATACTTAAAGTCATGACACTTGATAATATCAACACTGGTACCTGACTCCTTATGTTTTGGGTCTTGCATCAGGATTTGGTTTACAATTCCAGCAAGGGACTGAGGCAGACTTCTGGTTACCCTGACACTTTGGTTGATGAGTATGGTCCACAGGAAGTGGTCCAGAGGAGCTAACCTGCATACAAATCTGACCATGCAAACTTAGTGATACACAGGCCAAAGCACTGGTAACATGACTTAACCTGGTTTAGAAAAGTCACTTGGCCTCAAAATTTTCTCCCCTTTTGGGCTGGGTAGGGGGTTGAGAAACTTTTACTCTTTAACTCTTTGTCTCACCTCCTCAGTTATATTTGATCAGATTAGGAATGTATATTTATGGAGGGATCTCTTGTCTTCTGTTCCATCCTTACTTTGTTTGGGCCACTCTACCTGCCTGGCTGCTATTGGAGCCCTGCAGCTGGACCCTAAATGAAATTCATCCATTTGGATTAAAAAAAAAAGTGACACTAATAGATATTAAAAGCGAGATATTAATAGATACCTTATCCCCCATTTCATTGCAGATGATGCTGGCTGAATATCAGAGAGTGAAGTCAAAAATGCCTCCCACCGTGGAACAACTGATGGCCCCTCATTTGGCTAAAGTGAATGAAGCTCTCCAACCCGGCCTGGCTGCACTGACCTGGACATCACTGAACATTGAGACATACTTGGAAAACGCTTTTGCAAAGATCAGTAAGTCTGTGTAAATAGTTATTATTTCTCAGTTTGAAAGGCTGAGTTCTTAATGTGTGTTGTATACTTTCTTATAGATATTGTGATATAAATAGTGAAATGGGGAGTTATTTTTAAAGCTGTTCCCCAAAGAATTTTACCAAAATATATGAATTCATTAATTTCCTGGAAAGTATATATATTCACTATCTAATTTTTAAGATGCTTTTATTGATTTTATAGAGAGAAAGGAAGGGAGAGATAGAAATGTCAATGTGAGAGAAAAACACTGATTGGCTGCCTCCTGCACACCCCCTACTGGAGATCGAGCCCACACCTGGGGCATGTGCCCTGACTGGGAACCAGACCAGGACCTCTCAGTCCATGGAATAATGCCCAATCCACTGAGCCACACTGGCTGGGCTCACTATTTAATTTTATTCCTAGAGATTAACTACATTTTAAAATATACTTATTGTTGGACGTTAGAATTTAAAGGATCTTTGGAGGCCTGGCCAGAGTGGCTCAGTGGTTGAGCATTGACCCATGCACCAGGTTTGATTCCCAGTCAGGGCACATGCCTAGGTTGTGGGTCCAAACCCCGGTGGGGGGCATGCAGGAGGCAGCCAATCAATGTTCTCTCTCATTGATGTTTCTATCTCTCTCTCCCTCTCCCTTCCTCTCTCTCTAAAATCAACAAAGAAAAAAAATTAATAATAAAATAAGGATCTTTGGAGTCATTCAGCTTTTTATACTAATAGTGTATTTTCAGATCTCAGTTTGAAATATGGGGAGATTTGGACAAAGTAGAATGCTGAGCAACAGGCTATCTGGAAAAAGTTTATGCAAATACTTTTTCTTAATGAGGGATTGAATCCACTTTAGAATATGTGCAAGTTGGTATATATATATTCCTTAAAATACGATTCCCCAGAATGTGTGCAGGTATGCTACAAAGCAGGGATCTGGGCTTAGAGAAGTGTGGGAATTTCAGAATGAGCAAAGCCAGTCAGGTTCTTTTCTGTGGTACTCCTCATAGCCTTTAATATGCCATTGTCCATTGGTCTCCCAAAGCAGGCTGTTTTAGTGGTGTTTCCCAGAATTCCTTGGCTGTCTTCTAGGAGAACATATTAACACTTGATAGACCTTCCTTGGTAGGCAGTGGAACACAATTTGGGACGTGGTATGGAGGGGTTTTTCCAGGAAACTTAGACATTGCCATTTTCCTTGCCTAACCACCCGGGGGATAATTTTCAGGTCCCAGAGACTGCCTACATCCTTTGGCTGCTGCTCACTTTATCTGCAAAACCAGCAGCTTAGCATCTTCGTCTCTTTTTCTTCACTTCAGTAGTCACATTGTCTTCGGACTCTGACCCTCCTGCCTCCCACTTATAAGGACCCTTAAGACTACCTTGCCCCCACTTGGATCATCCAGGACAGTCTCCATATCTCAAGATCCTTAACGTGATCACATCTGCAAAGCCCCCTTTGTAACATTTGCGGGGGTTAGGATGTAGGCATCCTGGAGGAGGGGCACAATAGTCCTTGAGGATGCTTTGAGGAGTCAGTTGGATTCTTCAAAGGTATCAGCTTACCACAGATGCTTCTGAGGAAGCTTTGAAGAATCAGAAATAGTAAAGAATTTTACTGAGCACACACATGCGTAAGTAAAAGTGTAGGCTCTCTTAGTAATGAGTAAGCTTACCAGGCAGAACTATTTGGTATCTTGAGTAACCTCTTTAATAATTTGCTTAAAATTGATTGGAACTTTTAGTACTTTAATCTTTAGGTAGTAAAGGTATTTATTTATTTTTTAATTAATTAATTAATTAATTATTGTTACAGATGTTTCTCCTTTTCCCCCCACTGAAAGTTATACATCATGAGTATGTAACATGAATTTTTCTGTATTCAATTTGAACTTCATTTCTAGAAGAATGTAGTATTAGGAAAAAAGAGATTAACTGTTGATAAATGTTGAAAAATCTATTTACTTCATAGATGGCAATCCATTAACCATCATTTCTACTTTGGAAGTAAAGTTGTTAATTTTCTTCAGAATTGGTCTTTCTGTCCATAGAACTTAGTGTTAAATATTACTTTACTACATTTTAAAAAATGTACCTTAAAATTGTAACAGTAAAAGAAACATTGAGGGAACTTCTCTTCAATAAGAGTTGTTGAATACCTCCTGTAGAACAGGCAGTGGGCTGAGTCTTGAAGATGCAAGGATGAAAAATATGCCTTTCAGAAGGTAAGACACCAGAGGAGACCATGTGGTATTTGGAGAAATGGAAGGATGCTCAGGTTCATTGTCAGTACAGGAAGAGGGTTCTGCTCAAGTACATGAAGATCATGGGGAGCCTCCTCAGGGAGATGCACTTGAGCCATATCTTCAAGTCTGAGTCAGAGTTAGGCAGGCTGAGAAACCCTGGAAACTGGTCAAAGAAAGAATAGCATGAGAAAAGCAAGTGTGAAACTGGTATGGAGCAACATTAATCCTGGTTTTACTACTGTAGTTTAATCCAGTGTTTTGTTTTTTCTTTATTGATTTTAGAGAAAGAGGAAGGAGGGGAGGGAGAGAGGGAGAGAGGGAGAGAGGGAGAAAGAGAGAGAGAGAGAGAGAGAGAGAGAGAGAGAGAGAGAGAGAGAGAGAGAGAAACATTGATGAGAGAGAACATTGATTGGCCACCTCCTGCATGCCCCCCACTGAGGATCAGGCCCACAACCGGGGCGTGTGCCTTAATTGGAAATTGAACCGGAGACCTCGTGGTGCATAGGTTGATGGTAAACTACTGAGCCACACTGGCTGGGCTAATCTAGTGTTTAATAATAATAAAAAAACAAATAAAAATGCTTAATCTTTTGTATTCACTTCTCTTTTTTCTGAAGAGGACCTGGAAATCCTGGTTGACAGGGTCAATGATTTGATCAAGTTCCGCATTGATGCCATTCTAGAAGAAATGAGCAGCACACCTCTTTGTCAACTCCCCCAGGAGGAGCCACTGACCTGTGACGAGTTTCTCCAAATGACAAAGGTTATTAGAATATTGTTGTTTTTATTAAACATATTTTTGTGATTCATTTTTTTCTAAAGAGCATTTTTTTGAAGCATAAATTACATTTTTCTCTCTACCTGTGATTGATTAGTGATAGATGTTCAAACACAGAGGCTTCTGACAGTAATTTGAAAATGAAGAGGAATGTACATAGGGAATGACTTAGACACGAGGAACAAATTGTTTCTTTGCAGATCAGTAGGAAGGAAATTGCTGTGGAACACATTTGTCATTTTTTTCATATTTTTTGAAGAATAGAGCTATTTAGCTGAAGGACTTCTAGTAAGCTAGGGTTAATTAATAAAACAATTGTTCTAAGCAACTTCTGGACAGAATTTCTTCTTTACATTTTTATGTAGAGCAGTGTTTCCCAGACTGGTGTTCTGTGGCACGTGGTTCTGGAGCTGTTGCCAGGAAACCTTGGAAAGGTGGAGTCTGTGTCCAAAAGGCTCAGGGTAGACTTTCCCCTTAAGATTCTTTACACATTAATGTATTGAAATCATGGATCTGAATAGCCTGAACTAATAAGCAAAGTCAAAATGTATTAATATAGTTGTAAAAGCCTATTTACGTCAGCAGACCTTCCGTTTATTAGTATTATTGAGCTGATAGTATAGGTTTTATACATAAAATTGAATCTGTGTCTATACAACCCCATGGTTAACACACACCCTTGAGTTTCAGCAGAACACTCTATGAATCTTCACCCGTTCCATCTCCACACACTCACCTTTCCTCTGGCTATTACTATGCTGTTGTCCAAGTTGGTGTCATATTTATTTTGCTTAATCACTTCACTTTTTTCCACCCAGCTCCCCAAACCCTCTCCCCTCCGACAGCTGTCCGTCTGTTCTGTGTATTTATGCTTCTGTTTCTATTTTGTTTGTGAAATTATCTTGTTCATTGGATTCCACATATAAGTGAAATTATATAGTATTTGTCTTTTTCTGCCTGATTGGTTCTCTTCTCCTTAACACTCCCTTAAGGGAGACCTTGTCTGGGCTAGTGTAAGGCTTGTGGCCAAGCATCACTGAAGGCCCAAATCTCATCTGGAGGCTGAACCTATGGCATTACTACCATTACTGATGTGCTCTCAAGCGCTAGACAACAAAAATGACGCTGTGCTATTATTTTTTATAGGATCTTTGTATAAATGGTGCTCAGATACTTCACTTTAAAAGCTCATTAGTGGAGGAAGCAGTCAATGAGCTAATAAATATGTTGCTAGATGTGGAAGTTCCATCTAAAGAAGAAAGTGAAAAAGGACCCAATGTGAATGGTGCTGATTCAAAAAACAAAAGTTCAGGTAAGAGATGGGGAGTGGGAGGATCCTGTTTTTCTAGGACATTACTGACAACTAAAATGTAATTTTCTGCATAGCAATTAATTTCACAGTTTTATACACATCCTCCCAATTTTATAAAGATATTTATAAATCTGAAATTATGTAATGACTTTATGTCATTAATCACATTATTTTTTGTTAAATTCTTTAAACATGTACTTTGCATTGGCTCCTTATAGCTCTCTTTGCATTTTGCTGTGAGTTTGTATTTTCACCTTATCAGGAGAGTAGGCTGGGTGATGGATCAGGGGCTCCATGGGAGCGCATCTGCAGAGAGCAGACCTTCTGTGGGGGAGATGAGGACGCGGAAAGACGGAGCTGGAAAGCTCTTTCTCCAAGGGTTTCTGGATGTTGGTGGAAGAGAAAGCACCAGGCTGCCGAGGCCTCGTCTTGCTTTTCAGTATAGTTCCTGCCTCTCCTCCTGCTTCCTCACACTGTTGAGGAGAGGCCTCCATTAGTCCACCTGGTGGCCCAGTTTCCATTTCCTATCTTTGAATGATCTCACTTTCTAAGACCTATGGCATTTGAGTGTTATCAAATTTGCATGTAATTTATCTTACTTTTCTTCTTTTGATTTATTTATTTTGTTGCTCCTCACCCAAGGATTTTTTTTTTTAATTGGTTTTTAGAGAGAGTGGAAGAAAGGGAGGGAGAGTGAGAAACATCAGTGTGAGAGAGAGACATTGATTGGTTGCCTCCTGCATGACCCCAGGGGCCCCAGGATTGAACCTGCAACCCAGATACATGCCCTTGACTGGGAATCGAATCAGAGACTCTTTGGTCCACGGGCTGACATTCTAACCACTGAGCCAAACCAGCCAGGGCAATTTTTTTCTCTTTAATTGCAACAGATGGCTCTCTCTCTCTCCTTCTCATATTGTAACAGCAAAAAGAGGAGAAGGAAATCCTGACACCTTGACGTCTTCCCTTAATGCTGAGTCAGGCCTCCTGCCTTCGATGACATTCACGGGAAAGAAGAAGGAGATTGAGATGTTAGAGGAAGAAGCCTGCGAGTTGCTCTCTTATTTCAATCAGCAAAACATGGATGCTCTTCTGAAAGTTACGAGGAATACACTAGAGGCCATTCGCAAGCGAATTCATGCATCTAACACGATTAACTTCCGGGGTAATGATCCCATAGAATTTGCCTACTGGTTGGTCAGGCATAGTGGCTGGTTGAATGTGTATGTGTTCCTGTTAAATTTAAATAATTAAAAATCCCACCATTTATTGAGTACCTCCTTGTAAGTTTATACATTGTGAACTTTGATTTCCCCAACAATTCTATGAAGTAGATACTATCATTACTCTAGTTTAAAACTGAGAAAGCCAGATTACAGGGAGGTTAAGTAATTTGCTTAAGGCCACTTGGCTTTTGATAATAACATAATAATTGGCATTACTTTTAATCTTTTTGTAATGAGGTGAAAACATGTAAAATGAATTAGTGAAAGAAAAAATTACCACACACTTTAAAAAGGAGATATATGGAAAGATAATTTCATTGTTAAATTATTAGGTGACTAGCCAGTCTTATAAAGTGAGAGAGACTTATTAATGCCATGTTCTTCAAAGCAGAAACTTTTTATTAATTTTATGTCATTTTAGTACTTTCCTGCTGGTTTCCTCATTCTCAATACAGTCATCTCTTCCTCAGCATGATTCAGAAACAGGTGCTGTATTTCCCAGATGGGTCACAAAAATCCATTACATCTAGAGACATTCTGAAATTAAAATTAAAATTTAAAAGAGTAAAAAAAAAAAAAAAAGTAACAGTAATTACTTAAAATGGGAAAATAATAAGATAATAAAATATTTTTGTTTATTTTGAAAATTGGCCTTTCAGAGAAAGCATCTTTAATATTTAATTAAAAGTGGATAACTAAAAAGTGTAAACACTAAGAGAATTGTTCGATTGGTAGCATGGTTCATTATGTTTTATTTCACTCAGAGTGGAGGATAGTTCTTTTTATTTTTTTTAAATCCTCACCTGAGGATATTTTTCCATCAATTTTCAATAGTGTGGGAGGGAGGGAGAGGGAGAGAGGGAGAGAGACAGAGAAACATCGATTCAAGAGAGACACACCGATTGGTTACCTCTTGCACAACCCCAGCCAGGGCTGGGGATCAAGCCACAACTGAAGTAGTGCCCTTGACAGGAATCAAACCCGAGACTCTTTGGCCCACAGGACATCGCTCTAACTGCTGAGCCTAACTGGCCATGGTGATAGTTCTTCTTCTTTTTTTTTTTTAATTCAAGAATATTATTAGAACTTATCAAATATTGGTTGATATGCTGAATATTAAATCACATTTCTTTCCAACTTTATAAATTACAGGTATTTCCAACTATATATATAAAGTTATACACATACACACGAGTCGTCCATATTTATATACCTTTACCTATATTCAACTTTAAAAAGCACCTTGGATATAAGTGATGAGTTCTACTTTATTCTTTATTTTTAATTACTAAAATTTTCCTTGTTTTGTATTAACTTAGACAGTAACAGTGCATCTCAGATGAAGCCGAACAGTCAACCTATTTTTCGGGCAGGCATCACTCTGGCCATTCCCAACATTGCCATGGTCCCTGCCTTGGAAGACATACAGCAAATACTCAACAAAGCTGTGGAGTGCATCGTCAGTGTCACCAAGGGGGTTAGACAGTGGAACAGTGAGCTGCTGTCCAAGGTGGGTGTGGGATGAAGAAATGATTTCAGATGGAATAAAATAAAGTAAAATCTGTTACACATGGGACTGAGCTGGAAAGTATCCTTTTATGTTGTAGAAAAAGATACATGAAAGAAAAATAGTTGCCTTGCAGAATAATGAAGATAGTGATTCTGATGTTGAAATGGGAGAAAACAAACCTCAAGGTAAACGTTCTTTTAGTTATTTTTAACTAGTGATTGTAAACCAGTGTTTATTGAACTAAAATGCATGTTCCCTCCATGCAATTCTCAAATCGGATTGGAATGTTAACCTATGAACCAATTTAAAGCACATGAAATATAAAGATTCATGTGTTTTAATATCACTGCTATAAATACCTCCAATGGGTATCCCACAGTTTTGGGTGCATCATTGATTTCTGTGATGATGAGAACTAGGGGACAAGAAGGGTTTAACTTCTCAGTTTAAAGAGATACTTGTCATCATCACAATGACTATTTCCTGATGCTAAAGAGACATTTTTGACCCATTATGTGTCTTGTTTTGCCAACATGTGATGTGTGTACATGCTGGACACCCCATGATTTTCATTTGAATTCTCTAAAATTAGAAAACATATGACATGCAAGTTCCTAATTATATTAAATGTTGTCTTTCGTTCTGCAAAATCCTTTTATTTTTAAAAATATGTCTTTTATTGATTTTTCAGAGAGAGAGAGAGAGAGAGAGAGAAATAGAAACATCAATGTGAGAGAGGAACATTGACTGGCTGCCTCCCGCACGCCCCCTCATGGGGATCGAACCTGCAACCTGGGCATGTGCCCTGACTGGGAATCAAACCGGGACCTCTCAGACAACATTCAATCCACTGAGCTACATAGGTTTGGCTCTGCAAAATCCTTTTAAATCAACTATGCAAACATCAGACCCCATGTAATGTGCTCGTGTCCCCTGAGATGATGAATCAACTAACCATGAGAAAGAAACTGAAGCAAGTTTCTCTTTAAAACAATCTGTTACTGAAGAGGATAAAGAGCTCAAAACAACTTTGCGTACAACTTACAATATTATCTATTCTGGCTAAAAAATATTATTATGTTAATTTTATTTTATATTATGTAGAAATGTTGCTTCCCTAGAATAGTTTAAAATTCAGAATTTTCTAAACTGAAAATATGTTGTTGTGAATTACATCTTGAATTGAGAAGAAAGAAATGTTCAATGAAAAATTGCATATATATTTTTGTCACGACAAAAGACAGAATAAAGAAATAAGCCACACCTTTTAAAAATAATAACTTTGAGATATAGTTTACATAACAAAAGTTATTCTTTAAAGCATAAATTCAGTAGTTTTTAGTTAGAATGTCCACAGCCATCATCACTATCTAATTTTAGCATATATTCATCACTCCAAAAAGAAATGCTGTTTCCATTAGCAGTCACTCCCTATTCCCCTTCCCTTGAGTTTGTCGCACTAGGCATCTACTTTCTGTCTTTGTGGATTTGCCTATTTTGGACATTTCATTTAAATAGAATCGTACAATATATGGTCTTTTGAAGCTGGCTTCTTTCACTTAGCATACTGTTTTTAAGATTGATCCATACTGTAGCATGAATCAATTCTTTATTCCTATTTATTGACAAATACTATTACATTTTTTAGATATATCACATTTTATTCATTCATTTATCCATCAGCTGATGAATATTTGGATTACTTCTACTTTTTAGCTATTATGAATAATCTTGCTATGAATGTTCATATACAAATTTTTTGTGTGGACATTTGTTTTCATTTTTCATGGGTATATACCTATAAGTGGAATTGCTAAGTTATATGTCCACTGGTTGGGCTTTCTCATGTATAGTTTCTATTGGATGCTTTTGTTCCTATATATAAGCACTGCTCTCCTATTTCTTTGCATGTCTTACAATTTAAATTTTTATTGAAAACTTTATATTTTAAAGAATATAATGTGGCAACTCTGAGAATCTGATTCTCTTTCCCCCAGGGTCTGTTGTTATCATTGTTTGTTTCTTTATTGACTTTCCTGGACTAATTCTATAAAATTTGTCTTTTCTGTGGTGTGTACTATTATAATCGCTGCCTGATTAGCTTAGTGGTCAACTAATGATTGTAGAGATTTCCTTTAATGCTTCGAACCAGTAAGTCTTCCACCTTTGCCTGGCGACACTGTATGTGTTGGAGCACTACGTGTAGAACACCTTGGAAACTCAATAAGTTTTAACACTGCCTTAGTCTTCATTTACTGATTGTGCAAAGCCTCACGTTTAGCCAGAGCTAAAAGATTAGGGTATTGTTAGTCTTTCCTGGGTATGTGCTAGCTCTGTACACATGTGTGCTCTTTGGAGCTTGCAGAATATGTCAGGGCTTTACAGTGCCCTCTATGGACATCTCATTCCCCAGATCTTTAACTTTTTTGGCCAACCTCTTTTTTGCCTCAACTAATAGCATTGCTTCAGTCAGTGATAAAGTTAAACAGTTGTTGCTGATTATTTCTGACAAACACCTTGGAGATAGGGATTTTTTTTTATTTTTTATTCACTGTGGTTTGAATCAGGTCAAATAAAGATAAACTCTTTGAATGGAGCTTTTCAAGGGAGCATCCAGACAGTTAAAATAGTGACATTTTTATGGGGATTCCTGAAGAGCTCCAAACCCAGTCTGGCCCCTTTGCCTCTGGTGACTGCTGGGCTGTGGTTTGGACAGCCAGTGTCTGTAAGAATGTTTTAAAAAATATTTATTTACTTGTAAGGTTATGATTTATTTTTTTGTTAAAATTTTAAGCACGTACAACCAATTATCGTGACTTATGATATTTAAAAAAAAATGGATATTCACTGCAGTATTTTGAGTTCATAGATTTAAGCAGTATATATTCAGAATGTTGTAAATAAACTCAGATTATACAGACAAAGGGATTTTCCCAAAAGCAACATAAAAGTACATTAATTAAAAGCAAGCATCTGAAATTATGACCCAGCTCTTTTGAGGCTACCACATAGCCAGGGAGGGGACAATAGAACTAGTTAAAATACCACAAACTCACTGTTGTTACAAGACTTAGCTTTTTTTTTTGACTAAACAAATGTTTTTTGGATTGTTGCTATAAATTGATTATAAATTGATATTAATAATTTTGCCAATGTTTGTATTTGCTTTTGTGAAGATTTTCAAAGGTCTTTCCTTTACCATTACCTCTTTTTAAAGTATGTTCCTTATGCTGTTGATATAAACTCTTTTCTCTTTTTCTGCTTTTAGATACCTTTGAGATAGCATCTGTAAGTTTACCCATTCCTGTGCAAACCAGGAACTACTATAAAAATGTTTCTGACAACAAAGATATTGTAAAATTAGTCTCTGTGCTTAGCACAATCATCAACTCCACCAAGAAGGTAGGTCACAGGGATCTGTGCCTCATAACATGTGCCCCTGTGAAGCCGGACATCCCAACTTGTCCTACGTGTAGCCAGAGACCTACCTCCTGTAACTTTTAGTGAACTGCTTATGGTACCTTGTAAGTTTCAGAAAAATATTTGGTTAACTATTTTTCAGTCTAGGTTGCAAGGTGAAAGAGAACTATTATTCCTATGTCTTGTATTGTGTTTTCTTTAGTGTCTTTAACCTATTTATTTAGTTCAAATAAATCTAATTAAATATATATTTTTTGTATGCCCCAAACCACAGGTCAGACTGGTGTTACAGTTTACCTTCATAAAGTCAGTGATACTAGTAAATTTGAAATAGAATTTTTTATATTTGGGTAGTTCGGAAAATCTTAAAAAATATCAGATGAAAATTTCTGTGTATGGCCATGTAGAAATCAGATAATACTGAAACATAAAGAAAATATTAGTGTGATCAATGCAAACTTGAATTAGATATGGGTGTACATTTGGGTTAATTTCTTTTTAAAAAATAAGTTCTTATTGATTTTTTCAGAGAGAGAGATGAAGAGAGACAGATAGAAACATGGGTGTGAGAGAGAAACATCAGTCGGCTGCCTCCTGTATGCCTCACACTGGGGATCGAGCCCGAAACCTGGGCGTGTGCCCTGACTGGGAATTGAACCAGGACCTCTCAGTCCATGGGATGATTCTCAATCCACTGAGCCACACCGGCTGGGCAATTTGGGTTAATTTCTATTTTCAACCTGCTTTTCTCTCAATTTTCTTTTTTTTTTTTGGTTTGGGCAAATCTGTTCTTATGGTCAAAATGACTCAAAACCCTGAAGTGAATTTCTACTTAAAAAATCTATATTCATATTGTCACTAAGATCTGTTCACTCTTTAAAGTGATTTTTAGTGTTGCCACTATGTAAATATATCTTTTCTATTACTTAGTTTTGATGGGATGAATCTCATTTGTTTTGAAAGCATTTTGAAAGGCTACCACCTCTGTAACCATGTGAGGGAATATTAAGTTTAATTTTAATGTGTTCCTGAAGAAACTGGAAGCTTTTGCATTTATGCATTTTCAATTTTTCTTCCTTAAGATATTGAAGGTCCTGTATTTAATTTTGCCCTAGAGATAGTGTTCACATAATTCAATTTAACAAATATTCATCTGGTGCTTAGTTTATCAAGCTCTATCCTAAATGATAAAGCTAAGTAGAGTATTCTATGATGATAATGAACATTCAGATATATTTTACAACATCTCATAATCATGGAAAATACAATAAAATAAATCAATAATAAAGTCCATTACTTTCTCTGAACATAAGTAGCTTCTATTATGAAAACCTAGGGTAAGACATAGCATTTCAAACTAACATACTGCCGGTAGCAAATATCTTTCTGCCACTTTTATTGCATTTGCTTTTTTATTATGTGAAGGAAGTATACAGATATTAGTCTTCCTTAAAGTAATAGAAAAGGTCGGTACTTAGAATGATTTGAAGGACATTTTCCGGTTTGATAGGATGGCCAAATTGTTTCTGGAGGCATATCTGAGTGTGTGGTCATAGTGCTAGACATGGCCAGCATGCCACAGCCATGGACCCTTCTGAATGGTTCTCCCTCAGCCACAGAGAATCCTAGGTACCAGCCCCTTTTCTCTTGCCATCAAGAGCTGAAGGATCAGAGTGTAAACCTGACCTACGTTCAGCACTTTCATTGGCTGGTCATCAACTTATAACATTGCCAGGCTTAAATAGATGAACTAGCTAGACCAGGCAATCAAAATAACCTTGGCAAAATAATAATAATAATAATAATAATAATAATAATAACAACAACAACAACAATAATAATGAAAAAATGAAAAAATAGCAGAACAGCTGTACATGTGCTGCTCATGTAATTTTCCCTGTAAGCTTTGGTCACTTCTACTCTAAAAAATTCAAATATAATAAAGACTAACACTTCCAGATAAAATAAATGAAAGTCTAGAACATTTACTTAGGGTATACCTTAATGTTATAAACTCTTGAATGTTGAAAGAGCTCAGGATTCCAGAATGTCTACTTACATCCAGGGATTTTTGATAATCTGTAATTATTTCTCTAAACCATCACACATTTGTGAATGTCTGTCTGCTGTTGCAATGTATTCTGGGCATTCATGTCAATACTTCAGCCCATGCTCGGGGTGGGGGGAACAGTTGTGGCTGGGACAAAGCATGGCAGGCTTACCTTTCTGCATTTTCATGGGCAAGAAGTCTTAACACCCATTATACCTGAATCTCTACGGGACATTTTAGCGACATGTTGGGAGTTGGAGTGAAACTACTCCTTGGTTTGGTGCAGGTGGTACACTTTATTTAATGTAACTGGACCATTTACTCTATTTTTTCAAATAATTGCATTTTTAATTCTGTTAAAAAATTTCCTTATGCAAATGCAATTCTGAAATTATAATGTAAGCCAATAGAAAAAATTGATTCCCAAGGGGTATAAATAGTATAAATGAGGAGACAAATTTTGTAGTGAGGCTAATCTGAAAAAAAAAAAAAAGGCCCAATAAGAGTTTAGTAGTTAGTTGAAAGATAATTATAGGCATTTCTGCTATAATGCAATAAACATGTTCCTGAAAATATGGTTTTGCAAATTTGCACATTTAATAAAATAGGAATTATGAGAAAAGCAAGATTGAGGCACACACACAAAATTTAGGAAGTTTTGTAACCAGAGTAGCAACAATAAAAATAACAATCATAGCAAAGTATTAGCCTATTTAATAACACTCTAAAAAAGTATAGAACTTGACTATAAAAAGGTGGAAGAAACTTGTTAGAAGGTGGTATAAGAAACTGTTGAAACTGCTGAGTTATGGAAATAAGGGTAAAATACACAAAGTCCAGGTTGAAGTGTGCAAGGAATATTCTTAAAACAAAGTGGTGACCAAATTGGCCCAAAAGGAAGAAGAGGTGAAGGGGGCGTGGCACAAGGGGACGTGGCACAAAGGATTGTGCCCCTCCGAGTCTGGTTCCTGTAGTTGGAACAAAACAACGTGCTGGGGAAAATGGCATTTGATCAAGTGACCTGCCCACTGCATTGACCTCCTTCCTTGTTACCAATTGTGACTGAGCCGATTTGTCTTACAGAAGCCAGCTTTTTAGCAAACAAGACTGTTTATTAAAAAAATCAGTTTTTAAAAATTATGTGCCATCTATAGCCATTTATAAAAATAGTTGAGAACAGCATCATTGAAAAATACCTAGGTAGTACACGCTAAGAAGTGTGTGGGGCCTGTATGAAGATTACTCTACAACATAATGAGGAATTAAAAAAAAAAGTTTGGAAGATTTAGAAACACATGCTGTGGTCCTGGATGGGAAGATTCAATATCATACAGATGTCAATCTTTATACAATGACTTTATACATTTTACGTGATTCAATGCAGTGGGTTTGATGCTGGGTATGTTCTGTCTGCCCCTCCAGAACCACTCTCTACTCTCTGATTTTAAGAAACAAATCAATAGGCTTCCACTGAGGTTTTCAGTAGATTCTACTAATGAGCATTTTGAAGAGAAATTGGGGTGGGGGGAAAGAGAGTGACCTTAGAGTATTTTTTCCTATAGTGCTCTCTGTGGATTTTGAGCTGTGTGTGTGTGTTTGTTTTTTAATCTAAGGTCCAGCTGCAATCAAGAGGTCCATTTTTTGCACTTTCTAGAAACTGTCCCCACTTCTTTGGCTAAGGATGGTCACAGTTTTATTGTTACTAGTCCTGGGTTACTGTTTACACTATCATATATACTCCTAGTTCTGTGATGTTTCCAACTGATCACACAGTTTACTAATGAAATATTTTAATGATTCCATGGGAACTTTTAGCAATTAGCAAATATTCACTGTTAGCATGATGCTGTTTCCAACTCTCCTCCACACAGATAATCTTATTTGTACCATAGGAAGTTATTACATCCATGGATTGCTTCAAACGCTACAATCACATTTGGCAAAAGGAGAAAGAAGAAAGCATTATGACGTTTATTATGAAGAACCCCTTGCTTCCTGAATTTGAATCCCAGATTCTCTATTTCCAAAACCTAGAGCAGGAGATTAATGCTGAGCCTGAATATATCTGTGTGGGTGCCATTGCTCTGTACACAGGTTGGTTCATTTTCTTTCAGACAGCCATAAAAATTCAACAGTATTGTTCTGTCTCTTTACTGAGATTAGTATTCCAGAGGGTTTTAGCTATCTTAAAGATTGACTTTCTTTATAGGCCTCAAGCTTTAAGACCAATTTGTTGACTTGTTTTTAATTCCCTTCTGCATAATTATTCATTCTGGACAATTTTGAACATTTTTCTGCTAAACCTTGAAAATAAATGCTAGTTCAGAAAAATGGGGTCTTTTATATTTGCAGTTAAATTTACCCTTTCTTGATCTTTTATCCTTTGAGATGACATGGAGGGACCTGGAAAGTATTATCCTAAGCGAAACAAGCCAAACAGGAAAGTCAAGTATCATATGATCTCACTTATCTGTGGAATATAATGAACATAACAGTCTGAGGAATGGGGTAGTCCCAGAGACATGGAAGTGGGGTACAGACTGACAATCTCCAGAAGAGGAGGGTGGGGGAGAGATAAACCACAGAACTTATATGCATGTGTGCATGAACAATGGACATGGACAACAAAGCTGGGGACAGGGCGGGGAGGGCGGAGGGGGAATCAGTGGGGGAAAAGGAGAAACATCTGTAACAAAAATAATTAATTAAACAAACTTACCCTTTCTTAAATAAATAACGGTGACAAACTTCAGGCTTACTTACCTCCAATGGTTTTGATATGTCCTTTGTTTCTTTTTTAGCATTTTGAAATGTGTTTTCAATTGCTGGAAAACAAGCTTTATGAAATAAATGAATATATAATGATTAGGAAAAACCAGTATTTTTTGAGTTTGATTTTCCACATGTTAGAGGATTTTCAGATGCAAAATATGTACTCTTGGCAAACACTTACACTGGGTCTTCTTGTCCTGGTTCAAGTTTTTCATACTGAACTGTGGACACTTGGGTTTTACAGCCGACTTGAAGTTCACCTTGACCGCTGAGACAAAGGCCTGGATGTTTGTGATCAGCCGTCACTGTAACAAAAAATACAGGAAGGAGATGGAAAACATTCTTGCACTTGTTGAAGAGTTCAGTAAGAAACTGAATCGTCCAATTAAAGACCTAGATGATATTCGGATTGCTATGGTGGCAGTGAAGGAAATCAGGGAGCAGCACATTGCCATTGACTTTCAAATAGGACCTATCGAGGTAACTGGTAATCATTTGCTCATTGTAGAATTATCTCCACATGTTGGATGAGATTAACTGAAATATTGACCAGGGCTGGACTGGAGTCACCTAAGAACAACATTTTCAGTAATGATGATGTCTAACCCTTCTAGGGTGCCTTCTGGGCTTGGTATTAGACCCTTAGGGGAAGAACCTGAGATGAGGATTTCTGTACAAGTGATTTATTGATGAGTGTTCACTGGAAAGGGGGAGTGAGGAAGACAGGAAAGGATGAGGTCAGGTTGTGGGAAACTAAGTGAAAATGTGTTCTTAACTGTAGACTGACTTTACCCTGATCCCACAACGAGCAGTGGAGCATGAATTGCACCACACAATTTTCCCACATTGAGACAAGGGGACCTCCCTTTCCTTTGTACCCCCAAGTCTATTGCTCATCGACCATAATCTCTCCATGAGAAGATTCTATTCAGATGATGACAGTTTTCTAGGAAAAGGGCAGCATGATCCCCACAGCCAACACTCCCAGCAGTTGGGGATGTGAATACCCGCTGGTAAACAGGACCTGGATGGGATGCTAACAGTGCCCATTCATTTATCATCTCTGTATTGACAAGTTTAATCCTTCCTGCAACCCCCACTTGACACACAAGGAAACTGAGGGTCAAAGAAGTTATGCAATTTGATTAGTGTTGCACATTACTTTTGCTTTTATCATACTGTCTTTTCTAGATAGAAACATTTTATCAGGAATGGGTCACTTTATTTATTCATTTAAATGAGACTAGTATAATTGTAGCATTAAAACAATTCCAGACATAAAAAACATTATTTCTTCCCACACTGCTCAAATGTCTGGACTTACACTCTGATGCTCAGGGTTATACTCTAGTCTCACATTATCTAGACCCCTCTTTGAATTTTTAGAAATTTCAAATTGCCGTGAACATGGTGCAGATGACTGCACATTTGCACCTCTGCTGTGGTGGGTCAGAGAGATCACATGATGCATTGTGCTCTTCTTGGGAATGGAAACATCAGGGCAAAGGGTCCCTGCTTTGTGTAGGACCAGGGGAATTCATGGTGTGTGAAGAGGAGGCCCAGTAATTGACAACCCTGTTTTCTCCATCTGTGAGTTAAGACAAAACTATAGTCAAGTAGCCAAGATCGAAGTACAGTCTTTATTATGGATAGAACTTATTGGGAAGATGTGATTTAGTGTATAACTCTCATATTGCCATTGTAGCCTCCACCCCCACCCTACACACACACATGGGCTTGTGAATATTAAGTCTCAGAATTGGATTCACGCATCAATCAGAGGCAGCATCGGACAGCTGCAGGCCTCTGTAACCTGCTCTAATTTATTGGCTGGGGGTGCTGATCAGAGGTATGCCTTCAAGGGGGAAGAGGGAGAGAGGCACTGGACTATGCTTGCCCAAAGCAAGAGTCTTTTCCCAAATCAGCAGTGAGATATCTATCCTACCTCTATGGGGAGGAGTAATGGTAGGAAGGGGCCAAGGATATTTAGGGACATTTTTTTCTCATGGAAACCTACCTTTGCCTCATTTTAATCTGGTCAAGAGAAGTCATCCAGGATTTTGAATTCTGAGGGTAATGACTTGACCCAGGCTCTGATTCAAGAACACCCTCTGTGTCTTACATTAGGAACCTCTTATCAGCAAGTAAAATATGACACAGATACCTTTTATTTGTATAATGATTTATAGTTTCCAAATTACTTTAAAAATTATATATATATTTTTGATATTCACAAAAACTTGTAAAGTATCCAGGAAATTTTCCCATTTCACAGGCGAGGAAATGAAGTTCAGGGGCTCAGTTGCTCACTTAAACTTTTACAGTGTGCAAATAGGGTAACTAGAACTCTGGGGGGGGGGTCTCCATCATGCTGATCTTTTACATTCTAATGCTTTAATAAGTGACTGAATGTAGATTTATGCATTGGACTGACAGAAATAACATTTTTCTTCTTTTGTGTAGGAATCTTATGCCCTTCTTAACAAATATGGGCTTCTGATAGCAAAGGAAGAATTGGATAAAGTTGATTCTCTGCGTTATGCTTGGGAGAAGCTTCAAGCACGTGCAAGCGAAGTTCAGAATGAATTAGTCTCACTGCAGCCCGGTTTCAGGAAAGAGCTTATTAGTACTGTGGCAGTCTTCCTCCAGGACTGTCAGCAGTTCTATTTGGAGTACAATTTGGTATGACTCTGTGTATTTTCAGGGAAGAGTGAATAGAGGATGAAAAGTGTGTGTGTGTGTGTGTGTGTTACATGCTGTGAGTTGGCTCTAATTCCTGGTGACCTGATGGGTGAGTGATGTCTGCAACATTCTGTCCTCAACTGCCTTGCTTGGGTTCTGTAGACTCATGCCTGTGGCTTCTTTTAGTTGTTAATCTATCTCATATCCAGTCTTCCTCTTTTCCCTCTGCTTCCTAGTTAACCCAGCATGATCATCTCAAAGAACTTTGCATTCTTGTGATGTGTCCAAAGTAGGACAGCTTCAGTTTGTCATTTTTGCCTCTAGTGGTATTTCTCTTACTTTTTTCTAGAACCCACTTGTTCATCTTTCTGGCGATGCAAGGTATCCACGGAGCTCTCTTTCAGCACTGCTTTTCAAAAGAATCCATTGTTTTCCTATCAGCCTTCTTCACTGTTCCACTTTTGCATCCATACATAGTAATTGGGAATATAAGGGTGTAGATACAAAATGTAGTTGTTTAAAGATTGTGTCAAATTTAGTTTCCTAGGAATGTAAATTATATTTTTGTGAGAGCAAAGGCATTTCCCTTTCACAATCCTTTCCTTTTGCAGTTCATCCTGAATTATTTCAATAGGAAATGGGGAATTTAAAAGTGCTATTTATGTTATATCATTGGATTGTTACCAAATTTAATTGCTTTCTAAATTTGCGTAGACAATTTTACGTATTTACGTATAGTTATAATGGTCCTCCTTCCCACAGCATTCATTAGTTTCCACAAGTACTGGAGAGCACCCAGAGGGCACCAGGCACTGTCCTTGGTGCTGACGACACAGACGTGGACAAGGCAGTGGGAGTCCATATTTTATCACACATATATGAGTGTTAGTGCAGAACCTTCCGCTGGGAACAGTTTTAGTGAATGAGACCCATTTCTATTTAATTATAATATGCTATGGAAGGGAAATATGTGGAGATAGGGTAATATTTGTTCCTATTACCTAGTAGCAAGCCAAACTACAAAGTTAATAAAGTTAGGGAATTGGACCCATGCACTAGCTTCACGGGTGAAGAAGCACAGAAATCCACATATTTAAGGTACTGTAATGTAGGAAAAAACATGATTAGGATGTTAAGATTATAGGTTACTTTACATATAGATGTTAGAATGGTTAAATCTGTGAGTTTTTTGGCATCAGTGCTTTAGTTCAAAACCAGACATTATATGTGCTTCTTATAGAGTAGTTATTAATATTTGCCTTGACACCTAAGAAATGAGTAGTGCATATTTTTAAATTTTAGAGTTTCTTGACAAATGTAAGATGTGGTATTAACTTGGAGTTAGACTTGAAAATGTCTTCGAATGAGTTACTTTCTTGAGTCTTTTAAAAATAAAAAACTGGTTCTATCATGTAGATGACATGCATGAACACCAACTTTGATCTTCAAATTCTTTCAGCTTATGAATTTGTATGCAAATACTTTATTTTATATTTGTTTTTACTTTTTGTTTCAGAATGGTCCAATGGCTAGCAATTTGAAACCCCAGGAAGCCAGTGATAGGCTTATCATGTTTCAGGTAATCTTTTTAGTTTCTCTGACTATCTAAAAAACCAAAACCTTAATGTGTTTTAAACAGATACCCCCCTCGACCCCATCCCAGTGTCATAGAAAAGCCTATTGTGGAATATGGTGTGGCCTTACATTTAAAAATTATGGTTACAATTAGAATTGGTTTTTATATAATCAATTATATGCATTTGGTATTTCTCTTTATATGTGCTCAGAGATCATACATTGATGATTTGCCAGTCTTTTTTTTTTCATTTGCATGGTTGTTTATATGTAAATTATTTTGATAAGTTTTTACTTGTGTCTTTATTAGAATCAATTTGATAATATCTATCGGAAATACATCACCTATACTGGAGGAGAGGAACTTTTTGGTCTGCCAGTTACTCAGTATCCTCAGCTTCTTGAAATAAAGAAACAGCTAAATCTTCTCCAGAAAATATACACTCTGTACAACAGTGTTATAGAAACTATAAATAGCTACCAGGATATCCTGTGGTCAGAAGTGAATATTGAAAATATCAGCAATGAACTTTTAGAGTTCCAGAACAGGTGAGAAGTTGAATGTTTAACATGCCCACAGCTATTGAACCTCAAATACTTCCTTTTTTTAAAGTTTATTTTTTATTGTTGACATTATTATAGATGTCTCTTATTTGATTGATTCTTAAGTTGTCTTTTCCCCCCATAAGTTTTGAAAACACATCATACTGCATTGCCGTTGTTTGTTAGACATTACCCTTGTCAACTGCTGTTTATTAATTGCCTGGTGTATGTATACAAGGACACAAGCAAATCCTTTAAACCTGGATGAATCTTGTCAGGGGCTTTTCTGCAGCTTGGAGGAGCTGATCTCTATTTATATTATACTTATCAAACATTCAAAGTTTATGTTAGATGATTTCCTGGAATAAAAGCAAGAGCCCCATGATTTTTTCTATGCCCTCTTAAGTATTGAACCCAATGAAAATTGAGGGTCAATTTTTGTATTTTTTTGGTTGACAGCCTGATACTCTCAGCTGTTTTTTGTACTTGGTGGGGGTATCAGGACATATTTGTAGAATTAAATTGAATCAGGATGCCCCTCTATCCTTTAAAATAATGCCTTTATCTTGTTAGTTGTTATGAGGAAATGAAAAATAGTTTTTTTCTGGATTGGGAGGAATAATTTTTATAATATAAGAGTGCATTAGCAGATATCCTCTGACTGATGATATTTAAAAATGTGATAGATATTCAAAGTGACTAGTTTTGATAGAAATAATGGCAGACAATCTTGGACTGGAGACGTCTGGGCTCAGAATTGAATTAACTTTCCTGTTGCCTTTCCTTTGCAGATGCCGGAAGCTACCCCGGGCCACAAAGGACTGGCAGGCTTTCCTGGATCTGAAGAAGACCATTGATGATTTCAGCGAGTGTTGCCCGCTGCTGGAACACATGGCTAGCAAGGCCATGATGGACAGGCACTGGCAAAGGATAACTGCTCTCACTGGGCATAGCCTGGATGTGGGGAATGAAACTTTTAAGTTAAGAAACATTATGGAGGCACCTCTTCTGAAATACAAAGAAGAAATAGAGGTACAGCTGATAGCATGCTATGGTGGGAGATTGGAAGGTTTCATGGGAATTTTTTGATAGTATTCCTACATTGTGGAATTTGCATCAGTACACCATGCCAGGACAATTAAAACTCTTTTCCTGGCATACAAGTAATACCTTCAGCAAATGTTTATGTGGCAGGTTCTGTGCTAAGTGCTGGGGATGTGAGGATGCATCCCTGCATCCCTAGTTCCTAGTTCTATTTATACAAATAAGGATGTAGTTACAAGCTGTGGCACATGCCATTGAAGGAAAAGTGTGATACTCTATGGAGTTCCTTCAATAAAGGGGCCTGACCTGTCTGGGAGGTGGGGGAGGGTGATAAAGGTAGAGACGGGCGGGGTGCATGCACATGACTGGTTGTGTGAAGGGAGCCTGCTTGTGTGTTGGGGGGCGCGAGGGACCTGGGAAGTGCAAAGGGGGTTAGAAAGTACCAAAAAGATAATGCCAGACAGAGAAAAAAGCATGTGTAAGATTACACTGCATGTGTAAATGATTTGCAGTGTGTTTGGGGGACCATAACAAGCCAGAGTGGCTGGGGTATGGGGGTGAGGGAGAGAGGAGGTAGCTGAGAAAGGGCAGGTGCAATGGGGCTAGAATGCGTTATTGATTTTAGGCTTTGGAGTAATGAGGAGCCATCTGGAAGATGCATTTTGACCAGAGGATGCCATGGGTAGATTTTCATTTTGTAAAGTTCACTCTGGTGGCTGTGTGGAGAAAGGATTGGAAGATGGCAAGGGAGATGTTGGGAAAACCAGTTAGAGGTTATAAGAATATCTAAGGCAAGAAATAATGATGTGTTGGACAAGTGGGCAATTAGTGAAGCCAGAGAGGGGAGAAAAGATTGACGAGATCTTTGGGTGGTAAAACTGGGTGGAATTTGGCGATGGAGGGAATGTGGTAGGAGGAATAAGGTGGAGAGGCTGAGGATGAATCCTAGATCTGCTGAGAGATCTAGATGGATGGTGGGCCTCATCACTGAGAGGGGGTATGTTAGAAGGGAGTCAGTTGAGTGACAAGGCACAAAGACTATGAACTTGATTTTGGGCACGAGTTTGATATTTCACAAATTGTGTTACAAATTGGGTTTACTTATATATTTAAGCAGTAGGCAAATTGGATGTGAGCCTTGCCTGGAGAGACAGAAAGTCACTGACTGCATGGGCATGGGTGAGCTCACTTGGACAGGGACTGGGGCGTGAGACGAGGATGGGGGAAGGCAGGCCACAACGAGGGGTCCAGGAGAGGATGAGGCTGCAGAGGAGACTGGGAAAGTGATCAGAGCGGAAGAAATCAGGTTCTGTTAATGCCCTCCTCTCACACTGCACTGATTTGAGTTAAATCAGAGACATTAAAATTTGAGTCTTTGATTAAAGTTTCAAAGTTTAAAAAGTTATTGTATATTGTTGATCCCAATTTAAAATTTTGATATAATTAACATATCACTTTGTGTAAGTGTAAGGTGTATAACATATTGATAAGCATTAGAACACCTCTTTTGTCACATATTTATAATTTTTTCTAGTGGTAAGGACAGGTTAGATCTAGTCTCTCAGCAAGTTTAAGGGTTATAATACACACTTGTCTAAAATCACTATGCTGTGCATGACATTTCCAGAAATTATTCATTTACTAGCTGCAAGTTTGTACACTTAAACATCTCCCATTCTCCCATCTCCTAGTTCCTGGTAACCACGAATTCACCTTTTTTTCTTTTTTTTTTTGAGTTTATTTTTTCAAATTTCATATATAAAGGATATCATATTGTATTTGTCTTTGTCTGTCTTATCTTAGTCTAATGCCCTCAAGGCCCATACGTTGTGTCACAAATGGCAGGATTTCTTTTTCTCTCATAGTTGAATAGTATTACATTGTTGCATCTCTTCTGTTGTCTTTCTGGAATAATTTGGTGGGAAATTTGTACAAATCATGGTTCTGTTATTTAGTACGGTCTATCTCCATCTCTATTCCTTAGTCTATATCTACGCACAAAAATACCATTTATTATATTGTGGTTTAGATTTGGGAATATGAGTATTTCTAGATACATGTGAAGCAAAGAGTGAAGCTAGGGCCTCTGTGAACCTAGACTGTTTGAGAGGGATGTGTGACTTCTCTGTGATAAAATGAGAGCTTGCAATTTTAATAGGACATCTGTATCAGTGCCGTGAAAGAGAGAGACATTGAGCAAAAGCTGAAGCAAGTGATTAATGAATGGAACAGCAAAACATTCACATTTGGCAGCTTTAAAACCCGTGGAGAACTCCTCTTGCGAGGAGACAGTACCTCGGAAATCATCGCCAACATGGAGGACAGCTTGATGTTGCTGGGCTCCCTACTGAGTAACAGGTAGGAACCCCTCCCCCTATCCTTTTCCTGAGATTTGAGAACCATAAGACCATGCATTTCAAGGGAAACTAATGTTTAAAAAATGCAACAGTACCCTCATACAGTTTGCTCAATATGAACAATACTGGTTTTAATTTTAGCTTCTGAGACAGCATGTGTAATACTGTTCTTATTTCATTGTCCTCTGTGGAGTGTGTCCGAGACCGGCAGTTGGACCTAGATGCAACACACAGTCAGCCCCTTGGATCTCATGGAGCATTTCAACTGGCTGCTGACAAGCTTCACCACACAGCTGACCATTCAACGGGCTCTAGAGTCCAGGGGGGAGATTGTTCTGCATGTCAAAACAGTCACTCTACCTGGAAAGCCTTTCTGTCAACAAATTTATGGTTTAGAAGTATACACACTTTAATGGTGAAGTTAGAGAGTGGATTTAATTCATAAAGAAAAGTAAACAGTGCAGATGGATACCAGTCTAACACTTCTGACAGTAACAGTGAGGCCGTCATGCTCTGGCCTTGCAAGCCATGGGCTTGTGGACTTGCATTTCCATGGTTTACTGCTTCCCTCTGCTCTTTCTGAAATAATTTTTGTTTACTAGCATCTTCTCAAATATATGGTAATTGTGTAGAATGTGGATGCCAATGAGATCCGTCATTGTTACACCACTCTTTTCTCTGTGTATATGTGTATCAACAATTTTAATGTAGGAAGTAAAAAATACATAAAAATTCTTATTCTTTCAACTTGGTACATCTAAGTGTTTGAAATAAATAATATAGAATATAAAATTAGGTCTTAGATATTTAGACCATTGGTAACATCGGGTCTGATCTACTTAGGATTGGTGAGATTTAACGAATTTGGTTATTACTCATACCCAACCAGAATGAGGGATAGATAGAAGATGATATACCCTAGGGAGGTAGAAAAAGCACACATATAAATTAAGTAAAAATGATCTATGTTAGGGATGGGGAAACTTTGCTTACCAATGGCATCAAATGCACAGACAGACTTGAGTGAGGAACACGTATTCAACATACATTTATTGAACAACTATGTGCAATGTGCTTTTAGGTGCTATGAAAAAGAGTTAATAAAACAAAGATCTCTGTTGATATGGATTTACATTCTAGTGAAAAGCATGATAAAAAACTCATAAAGTTGTGTTGAATATTAAAACAATGTGTTTACTAGTAAGAATATGGAAATTAAAATAATTAATATTTGAGAAGACTTCAAGTCCATATACTGTTGTACTGGAAAGAACAATAAAGGGAGAAGAAGGAGAAAGGGAAAACAATGAGGCAGTATAGGCAGTATAATCATTTAGGATTACCTTTGTCTGCAAATAACAGGAGCACCACATACAATATCACTTAAGCAAAACTGAAGTTTATGTTTCTCTTATGCAAAAGAAGCTCCCAGGTTGACAGTTCAGGTTGGAGTGGGGCCCTACCATGTCATTAGGGACCCAAGTTTTGTTTGACTCCCTCTTCTATCTTCTCCAGGTGTGGTCCCTCTCTCCCATACTATCCTGTACATCCAGTGCTGACACTTTTCATCTAGAAGCATGGTTCTCAGCCTTGGCTGCACACTAGGCACAACAAGGGAATTAAAAAAAATCCCACCCACTGGGCCACACCCCAGACCATTGAATCAGAGTCTCTGGGGGATGCGACGGAGGCAGGCACTAGTCATTTTTAATGTTTGTAGGGTGATTCCAATGTGCACCTAAGGTTGAAAACTACTGATGTGGAACTTAGTCCTGGAACTGCACATTGCTGCAAAGGAGACTGGGAAATTCCGTATTTTAATCAGACAGCGGTGTGTCCAGAAATTGGGTTCTATATCTAAAGAAGAAGGAGAACAAGACATTGGGAGACCACTGTCAGTTTCTGCCTCAAGAGTAAAGAAGGGAAGACAGTTAACTATAGGAGAGGCAGAAATGTAGCTGTTGGGGTACACATGTATATGTATAGAAGCCCTCACACATGTACGCATGTGGGTTGGACATGAGTGGATAGGAAATTGGAAAGAGACACAGAAGAGGGGAGGCTAAGGAGAGATTCCAAATTTTATCATATTTGTAAATGGAATTATTTGCTCTGTAATTACCCCATATTATATGAAAAACCAGGGACACCATGGAAAAGACACAGAAGCTCAGTAGCAAGAAGATGACTCTCTTGGTGGTAGCAACAATGACCAGGATTATACAAATGTGGTAGTTGGGTGGAGTCAGGTCTCATGCCTGATCTGCTCCTTAGGGGACACATCTTCCACCCCTCTATGGTCTGAATAAAAAGGGAAAAACGTTAGTTTAACGATGTCCAATAAATGGTGGTGAATTAATCACTCAGTAGCATCATTTTAAAAGCAGCAATATAATCAAAGTTGTAAAGAGATAGGTAAGAATTAGGATTTTATAAACCCCCTTAAACTTGAAAGCACAACAATAAAATGAAAGCATCAGAAAAACCGAATGCTGAATATATTTCCCATTTTAGATACAATATGCCATTCAAAGCCCAGATTCAGAAATGGGTGCAGTTACTTTCCAACTCAACAGACATCATCGAGAACTGGATGATGGTGCAAAACCTGTGGATTTACTTAGAAGCTGTCTTCGTGGGAGGAGATATTGCCAAGCAGCTTCCCAAGGTTTCACAGTTTTCTTTATGATTTCATTACATGTTCAATAAATCGTTCTTAAAAAAAAAAAAAAATTAAGTAAAAATGCAGTTCAACTCCTGTTGAGCCACCCCTCCCCCATTTTTCTGTGGTTGCTATTGAACTGTTTTTCAAAGAGAGAGTAATTATGGAAAAGGAGGGGCGTGAAAATCAGAGTAAGAACACTACAAAGCTGCAAGGTTTCATAGGAAATGGAGGGTTAAAAAAACAAAGAATGAATGCCTGCATAATTGACATACTTCTTCAGATAATTTGAAGGTAGAATTTGGAACAGCGTAGAATTATGGAGTAGTTATCTTGACAATGGTAGGATAATTTGTTCTTCTCCCACTGACAGTTTAAAATAACTCCCACTATACAATCTACCCAATTATATCTGAACTGTAAAATTGAGGGGTAGAAATCTGTAGGAAAAAAGCTTCCAAACAAAAAGGCCCCCTTCTCAAGCGTTGAGTATGCTTTTCTCATCAAATTGTAATCATCTCACTAGGTCGATATAGAGTGTATTTTGAAACATTTAAAAAAATCCACATTTTTACCAAATCTCAAGGATTCTCATCCAATTACCCTAAGTCGTTTGCAAAATTATAACATTTAAACAATATATTTGAGTCATAGAGGCACAATTATTTAGTGTTCTCTTAGGTATTCTAGCTGTCTCTTTGGTTTGTTTTCCGTTTAATTCATTTTTTGGCTACCAATGAACATATCCATACACTAAAACTAAGTATTTATTTATTTATTTATTTTTGCTTTCATATTTGGTTGAGTTGTTCTGTTTGATGGGTGGAGAAGAATCTCAAATTTTACTTAATAATGGGAATTTGCACAAACAACATTGAAGGACCTACGTGGGGCTTCTTGCTCTCATATCTGATGGTACATGCTCATTGGAAAAATACAGAAAGTTTTAGTGATGAAAATAAAAATTATTCCTACTCTCTCAAAATAATCTGCACATTTTGCATTTTTTCCTGAAAAAAATCTATTTAAAAAATTCTACAATATTAGCATTATACTAAAATTAATATTGTATCTTATTTTTAAATGATTATTTTCTGAATATACAAGAAACTGAATGCTCAGGGTAGGAAACTTGGACAATGTAAAATTCACTTCATTCAGAGATAACTAGTGGAAACAATTGGGGCTGTCCTTTCCTTCCAGATTGTCTCATATTGTACTTTTGTATCTGTTTCCTGTTTTTAGTTACCATAATGGGGGACCAGGGGTGAGCTAAAGATTGTTACTTAAGAAAGGGGTGGTAGGTGCAAAAGGCCTGAGGAGAAGTGACCTGGATCACATGACGTTTCAGTGATGTATACTGGGGTATCCAGGCTGGTTGGAAATCTGGCTTCAGTGGAAGGTATGTGAGACCCTTTGTCCTTGAGGTCACAGATGCATCCATGTATGCTTTGTCATCTCATTCTCACAGGAAGCCAAGCGCTTTTCCAATATAGATAAGTCGTGGGTGAAGATCATGAATCGGGCACATGAAATGCCAAACGTGGTTCAGTGTTGTGTTGGAGATGAAACCATGGGGCAGCTGTTACCACATTTGCTGGACCAATTAGAAATATGCCAGAAATCCCTTACAGGGTAAGTTCACTGCTGTGTAAAGACTTTTAGCACCCTAGAGATGGAAGGGGCCAGAAAGATTAGACAGAATTAGCCAGGTCAGTTTTCTGTTACTGAGACCTAATTCATGTCTAATGTTGCATGGATACAACTGATAGTTTGGATCCTTACTGTCTCTCTAAGCATTTACTAGATTTGTCCTGATGCTGGAATTACAGGACTAAAGGGAACTTCTATTACTGAGACCAGATCTTGCAAACACTCCTATATAGTCCTTACTTTATAAAATTAATACACCTATTTTTCTGATATTCTTCTTATATAAATATCTGAAGAGCCCTGGAAGTTTTGGGTCGGTGGTTAGAGCATCAGCCTGCAGACCCATGAGTAGCGGGTTCGATTCTGGTCAAGGGCACATACCTCGGTTGCGATTCGTCCTCAGTCCTGGTTGGATTGTGCGGGAGGCAACCAGTCGATGTGTCTCTCTTGCATCTATGTTTCTCTCTCTCTCTCTCTCTCTCTCTCTGTCTCTCTCTCTCTCTCTGTCTCTCTCTCTCCCCCCCCCCCCATTCTATCTGATGATAAACAGAAAAAATATCCTTGGGTGGGGATACAAAAAAAAGTAAGAATTCCTTAATATCAAATATCTAGTCAGTACTCAAATTTTTCCAACTGGCTCAAAAAGTGTTTGTTCTAATCAGGCTTTGACTAAGGTCCACACATTTCAATTGGATAATATGTCCCTTAATAAAAAAGATATATATCTGAAGAACCAAAACATTTCATTATATTCAACCAAGAACAATTTGGATAGTTTGTACTGTACACAAATAGTCAAGATTATATAGAAATAAGATCAGTATTCACAAACACATACACTCTTATGTATATGGAGGCTGAGTGAACTCTAAGAGTAATAAATATCCCCCCCTTTGGTGAGTCAAGATAAAATGATGCAAGTAGAAAAATGTTAAATAATACTATTGTAAAAAGAGTTATCTACACATGTATTTATTTGTAGAGACATAATTGACATATATTAGTTTTAAGTGTACAACTGATGATTAGATATCTTTATATATTGCAAAATGATCACAATAAGTCTGGTTAGCGTCCATATATAGTTACAATTTTTTCTTGTGAGAGAACTTTCAAGATCTACTTTTAGCAGCTTCTAAATACACAATAAATATTAACTGTAATTACCATGCTGTACATTTCATTTCCAGGACTTATTTTATAGCTGAAATATACTTGCTTTTAAATGTCTCCCCTTTAACCTGTTAATCTCCTTAGCATAGTCAGTACGTATGGAGAAATTCTGGATAAACTATTGACTATTGTATTGGTCAGGGTTCTCTAGAGAAACAGAATCAAGAGGATATGCACATATTCTCAAATTATTTTTTTCCTATTTCATTCTTTCTTTTCATTGTGGACACACTCGTGATAGTTTGTCATAATTTTATGACTCCTCAGAGAAAAAGTCTACTCTGACATTACTCAGTTTTTACTGAGCTCCCTTGGCTTTGGATCTGTTACCAAGAAAAGGTTATGAGCCTAAATCTGTGAGCCCAGTCTAAACACTTGAGCACTAATGTTTACAGAAACGACACCCTCCCACTGATGCTGAGGAGGATCTGCAGGATGGAGGGGTCTTCACAGACCAGGAATAGTTGTCTTCTCTGCTTTGACACAGTGGTTCAGTTGTCACATGCCTCCTTCCATCTGGATCTAAACAGATAGAAAATATCACCTGTTCCTGAACAGGATCTGACTAGTCTACTGTGAGGAGGGCAAGTAAGGGTTAGGAATTGGCAAGTAAGTTATTAAGAATAAAAACCAAAGTTATATAAATAGGTATTTAAAGTTATAAACAGCATATTTAAAGTGAGAAATGTGAAAAACTAATGCAAACAAAATAAAACATTGCGAGCATTAGAGCATTCAAGTAAGACTTGAAGAAAGTGAGGGAGGCTAGGAGGAGAGACCCATTGGGCAGCCCAGGCTTTTGTCCTTCCCTTTGTTTGAGGCCAGACTTGGTGCTTTTTCACATGCTCAGAGTGAATAAATCCAAATTGCCCACACAGTGGCGTGCCACGTACATTTCATAAATGTCCTGTGGGAGTGGGAGAGGGAGATTCCAGCACACACAGCGAGGCTCACCCCCTCTCATCACTTTCCTGCCCTGCCCTCCTTCCCTTCCCAAGTTCCTCACTTACCACCAGCCTCTCCTTATCTCCCTCCCTCCCTCCCTCCCTCCCTCCCTCCCTCCCTCCCTCCCTCCCTCCCTCCCTCCCTCCCTCCCTCCCTCCTTTCTTTCTTTCTTTCTTTCTTTCTTTCTTTCTTTCTTTCTTTCTTTCTTTCTTTCTTGTTCTCAAAAGTTTTATTTCACTAACTTCAGGTCAAATTTCTACAACTGTTTTCTGGTCAATTTACTATCCTTGCTTGGCTTCCCAGGAATTTAGCTCTGACCCTTACCCTGGACATCCCACTGGACAAAACAGAAGTCCAGCAGGTGACTGAATGGACTGTCGGGAGTGCCCTGTGCAGGCCCTTGGTGGTTGCCCCCTGGCTCTGGCTTCTGATCCAAGTAGTCTTTCAGTAAAAACTCTAAGAGAATTTTGCTTCTATGTAATAAAAATAATTCCCCATAGCTTTACACAGAAAACAAGAAAATAATATAAACAAATAATAATACAAATAAAATATAAGACAAATAACACAAAGTAAAGAATAGAAATAAATAAGGACAAAGTTTCAAAAGTATTTCTGGTAAGATTTCAAAAAGAAACTGCAATTAAACCTGCGTTAATTATATCAAAATGTGCTAGAAAATGAAGATACAGAGATGTAGGTATATGAATAACAGAAAAAAGGATCCATAACATAAGGAATCACCATATAATAACACGGACATAGAAATCAAAGTGCAGTTGAAGGCAGGGCAGTGATGGACACCTTGGTTGGGTTTTGCTAACTTTGGAGGCGGAGAACAGAGTGAAGGCCTTTTCATGGAGCTCATCTGTAGCTAGATTTTCCTTCCGTGATGGATTCATTGGATTTTTTTTTTTTTTTACTCCTCACCCGAGGATATGCTTTTTATTGACCTTTTTAGAGAGAGAGAGAGAGGGAGAGAGAGAAAAACATTGATATGAGAGTGAAACATCCATCAGTTGCCTCCTACATGTGCCCCAACTGGGGATGAAACCTATAACCCGGGTATGTGCCCTGGCTGGGAATTGAACCCATGACCTTTCCGTGCATGGGACAGTGCTCAACCACACTGTCCAGGGCCCACTGGATTTTTGAAGATACACCTCCACAAATGAGACATACCCTTTATCTGACAGAACTGTGATTGCAAATAAAATAAAAATGATTCTGTGTGTATTTTTCCTATTTTCTGTGAAGAAAGCACAAGATTTTTCAGATTAAGTCAAATGCATACATTATACTTGTGAAAACTGAAGAAATTCTTCCAGCAATTCTGGAAAAAGAAATTGTTTCCCCATCAGAATATGGAATGCTATTGGCAAAATCAACAACGGAACAGAACAAAAACATTGAATAGTATGTGGGAAAATCAGATTGTCTCAAGATCTTCCCCCTTTCCCATCCAGGTTAATTTGTTCCTACAGAGTCTTGCTTTGTGTGTTCATGACGTGTATATTTTCCCTCCCCACTTAGATACTTGGAGAAGAAACGACTTTGCTTTCCTCGCTTCTTCTTTGTCTCGGACCCGACTCTTCTGGAGATTCTGGGGCAGGCCTCGGATGTGCACACTATTCAAGCCCATTTGCTGAATGTGTTTGACAACATAAAAAGTGTCAAGTTCCACGAAAAGGTTTGACTAGTTGTAATTACTGGCCAGCATTTACCATATCTCGGGATCTCTGCTCTCTTTATTATATAGCTCTCTGGTACAGCATTTACAGAGGCTTACTTCCCTGGCCACTGACTCAGCCAGGGACTCAAAACAAGCTTTTGGGTCCAATATACCTTTAGAACTATGACTTTTTAATATCCAGAATGTAGATTTGAATAACAAATAGTTTAACTATCATTAAGGATTCATTGTGTGTAGCTCTCATGGCTTTACATGCTGTTTAGAAATTCAATAAATCAAAGAAACCGGTGGCTCACCCTGGCCTGCAGCCTGCCCTTGTTGAGCAGTCCAGTGTCGTGCTTGGCAATGGGAGCACACAGCATCCTTGCTCTGGTGGAGTCCACCGCCTACAGTTAGTGCGGTGGTAGAGCAATGCCACTGTAAGCAGTTAAAAGCCGGTCATTTAAGTTCAAGTCCCTGTGATGTGCCGAGCATGATGCCAGTCCTGGGGTTCCAGGGAAAAGTACATCATAAAACAGTACCGAAGTCGTTTTTATGCAGCACAGCATTCATGAGGAATTTGACAAACTATTGGTAACTTTTTGACTTGCTGTGCTAGTATTGTTGCACAAGGAGCATGACATGCTTGTTGGGGAGCCCTACCCTGGGTGGGAAGGGTGTGTGAGAAGGCTTCCTGCAGGAGAAGATGGTGTTTGAACTGCTTCTTTGAAGGTGAATGAAACATAACCAGGCAGGTGGCGAAGGGACACGTGGTCCGGTCAGAAGGAAGGGCAAGTGGAGGTGTGGACAGGACTGTGGGTGTGTGAGGGCGTGTCTTAGTTTCCCAAGGCTTTCCTGGGTTGAAACCACAGAAGTTTATTCTCTCCCAGTTCTGGAGGCTAGAATTCTGAACTGAGGTGTCGGCAGGGTTGGTCCCTACTGGAGGCTCTGAGAAAGAATGTTCCATGCCTCTCAGCTAGTTTCTGGTGGCGGTCAGAAACCCTTGGTGCTCTTTGGCTTGTAGATACATCACTTCAATTTCTGCCTTTGTCCTCACAAGACGATCTCCCCATGTGTCTGTGTCTCTGTGTCTAAATTTTCTTCTCTTTCTAAGGATACCAGTCATTGGATTAGGGTCCACCATTATCCAGGACCTCATCTTAACTCGATTGTATCTACAAAGACTCTATTTCCAAATAAGGTCTCAGGTACTGGGATTAGGACTTCAACATATAGTTTGGGAGGGGACACAATTTAACCCACAACAGAAAGTGACGAGCAAAGGGAGAAGGGGGCATGGGCCAGATTCCAAAAGGCCAAGTGCATCACGCTATGGAACTCTACTTCATTGTGAATGTGACACAAGATATGGGAGGTTTTTATGAGGATTTTATGATTTGTGTTTCAGAAAGTGTCTCTGTGTCAGTGTGGATGGTGGAGGAGAAGGGAGCATGGAAACACGTTTCCGGAAGTGACTGCAAAGTCAGGATGGAAAAGGCTGAGTTGCTACAACAAAGCCTTGACCAAGGGGGTGGGTGGAGAGGAAAGGAAAAACATGGAAATGGTTTAAATCAATGTCTACGGGATGTAAAGGTTGAAAGGGGATTGAATTACCCAGGAAGTTCTTCCTGATGTTTGTTCAAATCATTCTGCTACAAGCACTAGGATGTCATGGTGCTTGGTGAAGCTTCTCACTCTCTCATTGTACAATGAAGATCATTTAAATTTCCTCATTTTTAGCCTCTGTTCATAGCAATTACTTCTTAAAATAGCACTGATTTTTGCGTATTTCTGCTAAAAGATATCTACAACCAGCGACACATCCTGGTTTTGTGGGTCTTGAATCTTGTAAAATTATAAATACCAATTTGTATTCAGAACCTTGGAATGGGTCCATGTAAATGAGAGGCCCTGAAATTTAATACTCATTTGCTTCATTAATACAGTTCTGAATCTGAGATTTAGGATTAAATTCTAAATCTGAGGTCAAGGGGGACAATATTCCACTTACTAAAGAAGAAAAACAATACAAATTCACATTTACTTTATTGTTTGCATTATTATTATTATTTTTAAACTGGCATGAATAGCCAGGAAGGTGGGTAGAGATGTAGGGAAGACACTATTTTTAATGACTAATTTTAGGTAAGAGATTTAGTCCCAGAGACATGTCCTCCAATATTGCATGATCAGTGAATGGCAAAGCATTATTTGAACCTGTGTTTCAGAACCCCAAATACCATGCTTTTCTCATTGTGCCAAGGTGCATGAAAGTGAAGTGAAATGACGAGAGTAGGAGCTGGGTTTGAATTAGAAAACACTATGAGCAACCAAGAGCTCCTGTAAGGAGCACACTGTTTAGTACGGGATTGGAGTTACCTTGTAAGGTGTTTGCATTGATCCCATTGGCCAGGTCATTGCTAATGTCAACTTGATAAGCTTGTGGTGTCGATGACAGGCTCTTAGGGAGTTTCATTTAATTTGTGGAAAAAAGAACTAGAAATTATTTGATCAGCCCATTGGCCTTGAATATTTCCTTTAGAAAACAAGTTTTCCCCTCTCAAGTATAGACTCTTTAGAATTGATTTAGTATCTTCTTTTAGCTTTCATGGATAGCTTCTTTTTTGCTGTTTTGAAATGACTTTATGTTGTATTTTGACTTTTATGTTATAATCTGTAGCTTAGCATCTGTTGGAAGGATAACATTGACATGAGACAGTAGAGGACTTTTTTTCTTTATGCGAATATAGCTATTTTTTTTTTAATTTGGCTTCTAACATAGATCTATGATCGCATTCTGTCAATTTCCTCTCGAGAGGGCGAGACAATTGACTTGGATAAGCCTGTGATGGCAGAGGGCAATGTGGAAGTTTGGCTTAATTCCCTCTTGGAGGAATCTCAGTCTTCATTACATCATGTGATTTGCCAGGCCGCTGAAAATATTCAAGAAACAGGTTTCCAACTGATTGAATTTCTTTCTTCCTTTCCTGCTCAGGTCAGTGTATTGAAATCGGAAAGTGTGTGTGTGTGTGTATATGTGTGTGTGTGTATATATATATATATATATATTTTTCAGAATAGTCACTTTAGAGCTCATACATTTTCTATTGTAAACTACACAACTGGCTTCTGTTTAACTCTGGACCAATATTACAATTTTTATAAGAATTTGCTAAATATAGATAAGCTTAAAGATTTCAACTATAGATTATTTGGTTATATATGTATACACATATACATACATATGTGTTGTAGCGATATTTGATATATTTTGTTTAATTTAAAAGCTTTTTCTTACTGAATCTCTTTAGTACACAGATCATAAAAATGTACTGTGTGCTTTACCAGGAAAATGAGAAATATATTTCAGCGTTAAATACAGAGAACAATATTTTCTTAGTCATTGTGGTCAATAAGGATTTTGCAAGTATCTATTGTGGGTAAGCCCTGTGTCAGTTTGGGAAAAGTAGGCTTATGACATACACTTTCCCCACCAGTAACTTAAAATCTACCTGGGGAGAAATATGACTTAAAACAATACATGCCTTAAAAACTTAAGAAAAAAATTGTAGATGCATCTCGAGGCTATACATATTTAATTGCCAAGTAAACAATCTGAGTAGTGTTTTCCGAAGTTCTGATAAAACATATGAAGTTGATGTAATCAGGGATGACATAGTGGCAAATAATCACAACTATTCACTACATTGTAATTTCTATTTAAATATATTCATATGCCATATACACGCATGAAGCCCTTTTTATTTCCTTAAGGTTGGATTATTAGGAATTCAAATGATATGGACACGGGATTCAGAAGAAGCCCTTAAAAATGCCAAGTATGATAAAAAAATCATGCAGAAAACCAATCAGTCTTTCTTGGAGCTGCTGAATACATTGATAGACATCACAACCAAGGATCTGAGCTCCTTGGAACGAGTCAAATATGAGACTTTGATCACTATTCACGTGCACCAAAGGGATATCTTTGATGACTTGGTAAGTACTTTATCATTTCTGTGGCATATACAGAAAAACAAATACTAGCCACTATCTGTGTTTACCCGCTGAAGTTAGTTTGAATGAATTCAATGAAAAAATTCAGTTCAGACCAAGACTCACCTTCACAATGAGAGCTTGTTTGTCAGGTTTTCTTTTCAGTCTTTAGCTGAAATTTCAGTCATATTCCGATAGTCTTTGCTAAGATGTTATTGAGGCAAATACACTTTATTTTAAAATTCATTATATGATTATTTTAAATACTAACATGTCATGTAGCATTCTAAAGAGCATCATTTTGTCTTGTGGTTGAAGATGGCCAGCTTCTTGCCGCAGAATCGATGAGTCCCGTTGCTGGTACAGCCACTTGGTGCTTCTTCGAAGGCTTTTCAATCACATGTTTCATGAGTTTTTCTCCATTGTATGTCATTGACTGCAAATGGTCTTTGCTAATACAGTTTGTGACATTCCGGTGTCATGCAGATTTTTGCCCTTAAAAGAGAACAGGGTGGAAAAGAGTTTAGTAGCTATTGAAAACAGAAAATGTGAAAAAAAAAAAAAAAGAAATTTGTCCTTTACTATAAAATAGGACATTAGATAAGAGGTAAGAAGCTCTTATTTTCATAATAATTTTCTGGATCATGCCTCACCCCATTGTGTAAAAATGATTATGAAAGATTGGTTTTGATATATTGGAAATACAGGCAGCACATTCCAGCTGCTGTGTGCTAATCTTCTCTTAATATTTAAGCACCCTCTTTGCCTCTCTGAGAGATAAAGGGCTCAGGGTAATTTTAGGTTTCTTATTTGTCAAAGAAAATGATTAAAGTGGCTTAAAATTTTGGTTAAAAAATTCAGACTAGTGTTGCTGAGCAATAACCTGCCATTAGGTTTAGAAATTTTGGCCCTCTGCAAATCCTCGGAAGAATAATTAATGGATTTAAATCAAAGCAACAATGTACTTTGTCATAATCACAAGAGATGCCCTTTTTCCCCTCATGAGACTGTTTAGTTCTATCTTTGAATGCCAAAACATGTTTTGCATGGTCTGTATTTCATGGTTAGGACTGTGGTATTGGGCATTAAAGGGCAAACTTTAAGAAATGAATATCTTACTATTAAAATATATCATGCTGTTTCAATTGGGGAGCACAATGAGAGATTTCTCTTGAATTTTCCCGTACCCATATCTTTCAAAGTATCTTCTTTTGGATGACTGGTTTGGATAGCAATATAGCTGGCATCTCCGAACCAGCTGGGTAGTCTTCGAGTTCTCTTTGCTTCCCGTTATACATAATGCTAATGTGCGTATTTAATAAATGACTCTCATCCCAGCAGTAACCTACACCTTTTGCATTTCAGTGTCACATGCATATCAAGAGCCCTACAGACTTTGAGTGGCTGAAACAGTGCAGATTTTATTTCAACGAAGATTCTGACAAAATGATGATTCACATCACAGATGTAGCTTTCATATACCAGAATGAATTTTTAGGCTGCACTGACAGGCTTGTCATAACTCCACTCACAGACAGGTAATGGAAGGATTCTGTGATTCCACAACCTCATTCCCCCTTTCCCCCCACCCCGCCCTGACAGTTTTATTCTCTGGAGTTGCTCAGGGGATTCATAAGCTTTTATACCAAAGTCTTTGAAATGCAGTATTCTTCTTAGCTTTACATGTGTGTGTTCACATGGGGTTTGAAACAGGCTTTGCTTCCCTTGCCTTCACTCTTACAGAGGCCAAGTTTAAATGACCTCTGTGGACCTCAAAATGGGCAAGAAAGGGAATTAATTGCCATGTGTGAATAGGTGCAAATCACATGGGCCTGAGGGCTGCTTTGGGAATTGTGACACCTGTTGTCGATACAGAGACAATTAAGATGGTTTTTTAGCAGGAAGGAAATTGAATGTCAGTGCAGGTGAAGTGTGATGGGGAGAACGTTGCTCTACACACCTGGAGTTCTTAGTTCTACCTTCTGCCTGTTATTGACCAGCAGGGTTAGCTACAGCTGCTGTGCAAGTTCCCTGGCCTCAGTTTCCTCATCTGTACGATGAACTAGGCCATCTCTAAGGGCCCTTCCATGGCTAATACTCTGTAATTCACTTAGTCTAATTTGAACTTGGTGGCGTCAGCCACTTGCATATGCTTTGTTCAGAGATACACTGAATACTAATTTTGGACACTGGCTGTGCATTAAAATGAATATTTGGCCTAAGTAGAAGCTGACGTTGAGTATCAGCCATTTTCAAAGAATGAGCCTTTAGGCTATAAGATCGCAAATATTATCAGACAAAACATAAAAGTGTGACATAGCATCAGTCACCTGCTAGACTATTCCTTCAATTAATTCATGATGGTAAATGAAATGCTCACTTTCAACTGAGAATGGAGGATTAGCAAGAGATTTTATTGTTTTTAATAAGTTTTTAGTCTTGTGAGTCATTTTCCTCTAGAATTTTCTTATCTTCCTAACCCGTTGTATTCCTTCTTACATCTGGATTGAAGATGATTTGTACAGGATGCGGCTAGACATGCTTTTGGAGTTTTAGCTCTTTGATTTGAAGTAGAGAGATGGATGACCCCCAAATGTGAAGAATTCCTTGACATACCTGAGGCTTATACTCTTCTCATCTCCTCTCTTTTCAAACCTCCAGCATTCCCACCCTCTTCCTCTTTCTCTACTGAAGACCTCAGTTCCTATTTTATTGAAAAGATAGATGCTGGTGTAGGAGAGAACATGCCCTCATTTCCCACTATCACATCTGCTGACGAAGGCACCTGACCTCAGCTGTCGGCTTCCTCTCCTGGTTCCTGCGTACAGTTTGCACTGCCATCCAGAGGCGACACCTCAGATCGATGGCGATTTCTTCTCTGGGAGCATCACCAGCTTTCACTTCCTACTGGATCATTCTCATCAACCGATAAACATGCTGCCATTGCTTCCAGAAAGAAAATTCTACTGTGAACCCTCCAGTTTCCTTCTCATTTCTGGGCTCCCATCAAACTCCTGATGCGTGTGCCATCATTGCCTTAGGAAGATTTATAGCATTTTAGAATCAATGTTCTTGAAGAATAGGAACCAAAAGCACTTCTGTTGACGTGATGAAACGCATTTAGAGTGAGATGAATACTTAATACTAATGTTGCTGATGGATTTTGCTACATTGCGTGTTAGTGAGCTCTGGGCCAGAGGGTGGGTCATTGTTTATTTGGTGCTGTGGTCACTTTCTTCATCTCTATTCCAGTAACTATTGGGATGGCAGGAGCCAGATAGAGTGCATGAATGGTGGGACTGGCACACGCCATTTATTCAACAAATGTGTTTTACAGAGTACTAGGTACCAGGGTCAGGCAAGTAGCTGGGATGCAAGTGTGCACCAGACCCAGTGCCTGATAGCAGAGAGTTTACAGCTGTCTGGTGGGGAGGCAGAAAGCTCTAGTAGACCTGTGAAAGGGCCACTACATCCCATAAATGTTCAAATCCCATTAATGAGTGATCACATTTTGAAAGCAGCAAAGAGACTGGAAAGAAAGGCAGAGAAAGGATGGAGCAAGGTCCACATACATGTGCGATGTTCTGGGGAGAGTATGTATACGTATGTGAACATATACATGAAGACGCTCCGACAGATCTGTGCTTGTCTCTAGAGGGCACACCGTAGAGATTTAGTCCTTGTATAAGCTCCCAGAAATGGATTGAAGGTGTGATCATTTAGCAATGTGTGATTAAATTTCATGTGACCATTGGCTTCTAATACATCAAGTTATGAACTCTCAGATTCAAAAAGGGGTTGATCTACTTTAATGGTTTCTAATGTTTCCTGGAATCCTATTTTTAGATGTGGTAGATTTCTGTGAAGATGTTGCAAAATTAGTTTTGGAATTGCTAGGTACTTTTTTTTATACTTGGAGATATTCTCTCAAGATACATTATCATAAGAAAGGCTGTTTAGAGTTTTCAAATGTATCTGACCATAGATCACCCTCTTCTTTTTCCTTAACACATGTTGATATCTATAAGGATAAGTGTATTTTAGAAGACAGTCTTGGAAATGTTATGTAGGGACAATGGCATGCATCTTCGAGTTTTTAATCTTGCGCGGGTTTCATTTCACTGCGATGTTTCTGAAGCATGTTCTAGATCCTGGTGCTTTGGTTCCAGTGATGTCTCTATCCCTCAAGGTGTTATATCACATTGGCTCAGGCTCTGGGGATGAGCCTGGGAGGAGCCCCCGCTGGCCCTGCAGGAACAGGCAAAACAGAGACTACCAAAGATATGGGACGATGTCTTGGGAAGTATGTTGTGGTTTTCAATTGTTCAGACCAGATGGATTTCCGAGGGCTTGGACGGATTTTTAAAGGTGAGAGTTATGTTTTCTTATTTGATGAGGTATTTCAGTTAAGGTGGAATAGTATCTTTTTAAGATTTATTTTTCAATAATTGGCTACATTTTAGGGTCATTGTTCAACTTTGTAAAACTTTTTGGACAATCTGACTCTTCGCAGTGTTGGGTGGATCAAACGTCAGTGTTACTGGCCTTTTGTGATGTTTCTTTATCTCTGCAGGTTGGGTGTTTGCAGAATAAGTGCCACGTTGTGAGCTATTTTGGGGGCACTCTATCCATGATCTATTTGTTCCACTTTATTTTGAACCAGCTTATCTCTGACTGTCTTGGTAGCTGCGTAATGTCCTTTTCCTTGGCTTTCCAAAATTACATACTAATTGAATTTTCTATTTTATTTCCTTGCTAAGGACTGGCACAGTCTGGATCCTGGGGTTGTTTTGATGAATTTAACCGTATTGATCTACCAGTCCTCTCAGTTGCAGCCCAGCAAATTTCCATTATTTTGACATGTAAAAAGGAGCGTAAAAAATCTTTTATTTTTACTGATGGAGATAAAGTGACTATGAACCCTGAATTTGGACTTTTTTTAACCATGGTAAGGAAGATCTACTGAATTTCTGCCTATCATCACAGTTTTCGTGTATCTCCTTGGTCATAGGTCACCTGCTTTCTATGAATAGGAAATTGAGATTGTAATTTTGAAAGCCTTTGGTGTTAAAGCTCATATTAATAACTTACCAGTTCATCTCTTCAATGAAAAGGAGAGGGAGATAGGTAAACGAATTCTCTGGTTGTCATTCCAGATTTGTGGTGTGTACACAGTGGATCTTTTAACCTCATGCTGATGTGTGCTTGTTGATATCAATGATCATAGCATTATCCTTGGGCTTTATTTTGTGTAGAATCCTGGCTATGCTGGGCGGCAGGAACTCCCTGAAAACTTGAAGATTAACTTCCGCTCTGTGGCCATGATGGTCCCTGACCGTCAGATTATCATAAGAGTGAAGTTGGCCAGCTGTGGCTTCATTGACAACATTGTTTTGGCCAGGAAGTTTTTCACGCTCTACAAGCTCTGTGAAGAGCAGCTTTCTAAGCAGGTGGGACGTTCTGAAGGTTTCTGTGTGTGCATGTTTCATTTTTCTGTTCAATGAAATGTTTTCATTTTGAAAAATTATAGACTGGGGTTGTTGACAGATACCTTATTGATGCAAAGTAGAAAGTTGTATCATTACAAAAATAACTTTATATGAAAAATCTTATGAAGAAGGACTTTTAAAGAAATTATTGTTTATGGCATAGAAATGAAGTGAAAACTATCTGGACTGATTTAAGAGCCAAAGTGTTATGGATGTTAATATTGTCTCTATCCCACCTGTACATTTATCATATGTGTTATGTGTTCTTATGTTTGTCAGGAACCTCTCTCATCCTTTATTCTTCTCACTTCCAAGCATGTTCAAGTATTTGGCCAACCTTTGCTATTTGTCTCTCTTGTCTGTTGTAACTTCTTTGCCAATTTTCTGCACTGTTTGGAGTAGCAGGTTCTGACTTCATGGGATTTCAGAGTTAAGAGGCACAAAATTAATCATTTATTACTTCTGTATTAGTTATCTATTGCTGGGTAATAATGCCACCACAAAATTTCTAACTGAAAACAGTACATATTTACTATCCCACAGTTTCTGTGGGTGAGGAGTCCTTGGGTCTTCTGCTTAGAGTCTAACAAGGTTGAATCAAGTGTTGGCTGGGGCTGTGGTTTCATCTGATGCATGACTGGGGAAAGATCTACTCCCAGGCTCACTCATGCTGTTGGCAGAATTATTTTCCTTGAGGTCCTAAGACTGAGGGATTCAGTTTCTTTCTGGCTGTCAGCTGGAGGAAGCCCCCTTCAGTTCCCACAGGCTGTGTGCCATTCTTTGCTACCTGGGTTTCTCTAACATGGCCATTTGCTTTCTCAAAGTCACCAAGGGAAAGAGGTTCCAGCAAGATGATTGCTACAATCTTGTATCAATCAGGATTCTTCATAGAAGCAGAACAAAGAGGGTTTATATGTATATATGTAAAGAGATTTATTATAAGGTATTGCTTCATGAAGTTATGGAAGCTGATGAGCCCCATGATATGCTGTCTACAAGCTGGAAACCCAGGAAGGCTGGAGGTGTAGTTTGAAGTGTTGATGGTGGAGATTCCAGCCCCAGGCTGAAGGCCAGAAAGCTAGGAGTACTGAGGGCAGGAGATCAATATTCCAGTTCAGCAGTCAGGCAGAGAGGGCAAATCCAACCTTCCTTGTCCTCAATGGGTTGATGGTGCCCACCTACACTGCGGAGAGCCACCTGCTTTACCTAGTCTATCAGTTCAAATGCTAATCGCTTTCAGAAACACCGCCACCAGAAATAATGTTTAATCAGCTCTCGGAGCATTTCATGGCCCAGTCAAGTTGACACATAAAATTAACCATCACAAATCTTATGTAATGTGACCACATAATTATGTACATGTAACCATATAAAATCTATCATCTTTGCTGTATTCTACTGGTTAGGTCCTGCCGTGCTCAGGGGGTAAGATCATATATAACGTTTCAAAGACCAGGAGGCAGGGATCATGTCACACATCTGTAGAATATACAAATAAAAATTAAAACAAGCATATGCTAAATAACTATATATTATAATGAACATAAAGTAAAATGTGAATAACACTTCTTACATATATATCACTTTGATCCCTCTCCTCACTCTGGCCTCTGTTCCAAACTGTTTTGATTCTATTTGTTATTACCCACAGGTTCAGCTAACTTACATTCTCACTCACACATTCTCTCCTGTGAGTGTTCATTCACAGACAGAGCCTTCTGACCCTGACAATTGAGTTTTCCTGGTTAATCTCACGCTATTTTTGCCACCACCATTCTTGTTTTTTTCTGCTTATATCAGGCTTGACTCACTCATTCTTGTCTTTTCTCTGCCAAAGAAATATTTTTTACTACATAGAAAAATCCCCCATCACTGACTCCTGCTGTCTTCTCAGTATTTCAGTCTTTCTTCACTCCTACAGCCTTTACTCCATTATTTACTCATCTTCCAAATGATTAGTACTGAGTGATACACCCCTCTCCCAGGTACCTAGCAGACAATTGTTTGTTTTTCTATAGATATTACTTTTTTGTGGTAAAAACATGTAACATTAAACTTACCATCTTAACCATTTTAAGTGTACCGTTCGGTAGTATTGGGTATATTCATAAAGCTTTGAAGCTGATCTCCAGAGCCTTTTCATCTAGTAAAACTGAAACTCTATGCTCATTAAACAGCTCCTCTCTTTCCCTGTCCCAGCCCTAGTAACCACCATTCTACTTTCTGTGTGTATGCATTTGACTACTATCGTACCTCATCTAAGGGAATCCACACAGTGCCTGTCTTTTGTGCCTAGTTTATTTTACTCAGCATAATGTCCTTAGGGCTCATCCATGGTGTGGCATGTGACAGGATTTACTTTCTTTTTATGGCTGAATAACATTCCAGTGTATGTGTATACCACATTTTCTTTATCCATTCATCACTCGATTGGTACTTGGGTTGCTCCCACCTCTTGGCTCTTGTGAATAGTGTTGCTATGAACATGGGTGTACACATAGCAATTTGAGACCCTGCTTTCAATTCTTCTGGATATATACCTAGAAGTGGGATTACTGGATAATACGGTAGTTCTATTTTTAGGTTTTTGAGGAACTGCCATGGTATCCATAGTGATTAGAAAATTGGTTTTTAATTATTCACTTTATATATGCTAAAATTTGGCATGATTGAGTTTTTGTTAATGTATATTAAGGTAATAACAAAGGTGGGGCCTTAGCTTCTGATTTGTTCTTATTCTTCCCCCCTCCAGGTAATCTCATTACCTCTGCCTGTTTGCTTATATATATGATGGTCATGACTGAGGTCTCAGTTTAATTCTGGCTCAGAATTTTAGCTTTAGAGATATGAGGCCACGTTCTTATGGATGATTGATTAAGAAGAAGCTCAAGGGGACATGTGTACTCCAAGAGGAAATTTATTTCTTCTTTCTCTCTGTCAAGATATATCTATTAATACTGATCTAAGGGGTTAAATTAATGATGGTATGGGAAAGGACTCTTGTGGGTATTCTCTAGTTGGTCAAAAATATCTTGATAAAAATTTTATTGCTCTACTAACTGATTGTACACATTTTCTAAAGGATAATCAGCACTTCTTCATTACTGTGGTCAAACTGGTATAGTTTCCATGTGTAAGTTCATATTGAAAATAAGCCTGGTGTACTCAAATTTTTCAGGTACATTATGACTTTGGTCTGCGTAACATTCTGTCAGTTCTGCGAACATTGGGAGCAGCCAAAAGAGCCAGCCCCACAGACACCGAATCCACGATCGTCATGCGTGTCCTGCGAGACATGAATCTTTCTAAACTGGTGAGATTCACAGACGGAGATGTTCCACTTGCTTAATATCAGTCCAGCTAACTAAGCTCAAATGAGATGTAGAAATATTTATTTAATATGCTCAATTTAAAATGCCTAATTATCAAAGAAAATGATGGAGAACATAACTTGCAATTACACTTTTTCAGTGCTTTTTGTAGTGACTCATGTCTAGGCTAACATGTGCTGTTCTAATAGAATTCAAATGGATTTGAAAAAATCCACACATTAAGTTTTCAAATACTTCGAATCACTTTTTTGTTTTAGAGTTAAAATCTCAATTTCTTTAAAGTCTGTAGAGCCTGGCCTGAAATATGTAAATTTTCCAATGTATAATAATTTTGTATTCTTTCATTTCATGGTAGAGACTGATAATCAATAGTCCAGTCTCAGTGGACCTGTATACAGAATGATGTACTTTTATTTAAAAATAAAAGTATATACAAAAGAAATTGAAGATGTAAATCAAAACTCTCCTAGCAAACAAAAGCCCAGGCCCTGATGGCTTCATGGGGGAATTTTACCAAACATTCAAAGAACTAATATTCATTCTCCTCAGATTATTTCAAAAAATTCAAGAAGAAGGAAGACTTCCAAACTTGTTTTATGAGGCTAGCATAATTCTAATTCCAGAATCAGAAAAAGACACTACAAAGAAAGAAAACTACAGACCAATATTCCTGATGAACATAGATCCCAAAATCGTGGACAAAATACCAGCAAATCAGATCCAGCAATACATCAAAAAAATTACTAACCATGACCAAGTGGGATTCATCCCAGGGATGCAAGCCTGGTACAATATTTGCAAATCAATGTGATACACCACATAAACAAAATGAAAGATAAAAATCATATGATCATATCAGTAGACGCTGAAAAAGCATTGGGCAAAATCTAGCACCCATTTCTGATAAAAACGCTTAGCAATCTGGGAATAGAGGGATCATATCTCGACATAATAAAGGCCATATATGTAAAAATTAAAAGCATTTCCCTTAAGAATAGGAACAAGACAAGGATGCCCACTTTTGCCACTCTTATTTAACATAATACTGGAAATCTTAGCCACAGCAATTAGACAGGGAAAAAAAGAATAAAAGGGATCCAAATTGGAAAGGAGAAAGTGAAACTGTCATTATTTGCAGATGACATGATACTATACATAGAAAACCCCAAAGACTCCATCAAAAATTTACTAGACTTGCCCTGGCCGGTTTGGCTCAGCGGTTAGAGCGTCGGCCTGCGGTCCTGAGAGACCCGGGTTCGGTTCCCGCTAAGGGCGCGTACCTCGGTTGCAGTTTGTCCCCGGCCCTGGTCGGTTGTGCGGGTGGCAGCCACTCGATGTGTTCCTTTCACGTCGATGTTTCTCTCTCTCTCTCTCTCTCTCTCTCTCTTTGTTCCTCTCTCTCCCTCCCACTCTACCTGAACAACAAAAGGAAAAATGTCCTCGGGTGAGGATAAAAAAAAAAAAATTTACTAGACTTAATAAATGAATTTGGCAAAGTGGCAGGATACAAAATTAAGATCAAGAAATCAATGGCATTCTTATACACCAATGATGAACTCACAGAAAGAGACACTAAGAAAACAATCCCATTTACCATTGTGGCAAAAAAAATTAAGATACCTAGGAATAAACTTAACCAAAGAAACAAAGGACCTATTTGCAGAAAACTACAGGTCATTGAAAAAAGAAATAGAGGAGGATATAAAAAAGTGGAAGCACATACCTCTTTCATGAATTGGAAGAACTAACATCATTAAAATGTCTATACTACCCAAAGCAATCTATAGATTCAATGCAATCCCCATCAAAATACCAGACATACTTCACAGAACTAGAACAAATACTTCAAAAGTTCATATGGAACCAAAAAAGATCCCGAATAGCCACAGCAATCTTGAAAAAGAAGAACAAAGTTGGAGGGATCACATTACCAGATTTCAGGTTATACTACAAAGCCACTGAAATCAAAACAGCCTGGTACTGGCACAAGAACAGGCATATAGACCAGTGGAACAGAACAGATTACCCAGAAATGGACCCAAGGCAATATGCTCAATTAATATTTGACAAAGGTGGCAAGAGCATACAGTGGAGTAAAGACAGTCTCTTTAATAAATGGTGTTGGGAAAATTGGACAGCTATATGCAAAAAAATGAAACTAGACCATCAGCTTACACCATACACAAGAATAAACTCAAAATGGATAAAAGACTTAAATGTGACTCATGAATTCATAAAAATTCTAGAAGAAAATGTAGGCAACAAAATTTCAGACATCATATGTAGCAGAATTTTCACTGATACATCACATAATGCAACTGAAATAAAGGAAAAAATGAACACATGGGACTACATCAAACTAAAAAGTTTCTGCAGAGCAAAAGATACAATCATCAAAATGGAAAGGCAACCCACCGTTTGTGGGAGCATAATTGCCAATGATGTGTCAGATAAGGGGTTAATTTCCAATATCTATAGAGTGCTCATACAGCTCAACAAAAGGAAGAAAAAGAACCCAATTAAAAAATGGGCAGAGGAACTAAATAGACACCTCTCCAAACAGGACATACAAATGACCAAGAGATATATGAAGAAATGCTCAACATCACTCATCATCAGAGAGATGCAAATTGAAACAACAATGAGGTATCACCTCACACCTGTCAGAATGGCCGCCATCAACAAATCATCAAACAAGTGTTGGCGAGGGTGTGGAGAAAAGGGGACTCTAGTACACTGCTGGTGGGAATGCAGACTGGTGCAGCCACTATGGAAAACACTATGGTGTTACCTCAAAAAATTAAAAATTGAACTTCCATTTGACCCAGTGATCCCACTTATAGGAATATACCCTAAGAAGCCTGAAACACCAATCAGAAAAAATATATGTACCTCCATGTTTGTAGCAGCACTATTTACAATAGCTAAGATCTGGAAACAGCCCAAATGTCCATCAGTAGACAAATGGATAAAAAAGCAGTGGTACATATGCACAATGGAATACTATGCAGCTATAAGAAAGAAAGATGACATGGAGGGACCTGGAAAGTATTATCCTAAGCAAAATAAGCCAAACAGAGAAAGACAAGTATCATATGATCTCGCTTATTTATGGAATATAATGAACATAACAGTCTGAGGAATGGGGTAGTCCCAGAGACGTGGATGTGGGGTACAGACTGACAATCCCCAGGAGAGGGGGTGGTGGGGTAGATAAACCACAGAACTTATATGCATGTATGCATGAATAATGGACATGGACAACAAAGCTGGGGAGAGGACGGGGAGGAAGAAGAAGGGGGGAGTCAGTGGGGGGAAAAAGAGAAACATCTGTAACAAAAATAAATTAATTAATTAAAAAAAATAAAAGTATGAACCAAATTTCAATTAATGAATTTTCTACTATCTCTCATTAAGATTTGTTTAAAAATTTAAATTAGAAATTTTAGACTATGTAGCGATACCACAAGCTGGTTATTTCATAGAAAGGTTGTCATGTAGACAATATTTAATATCCTTCCATTTTCTCTTTTTGCTCCCTTTCCCCTCTTCCTTTATTAAAAATAATTTTTAATTTATGGGAAACATTTCTTAATTTCAAAGAAGGTGTTATTTAATTATTAGTCGTTGTGATAAAATGATCTGGGCTGTGTTAAGCATCATCAGTTTACCTGGACATCACTATGATTATGCCAAAACAGTCGGTCTCATTTCTCTTTCTTTTGTTTTTGAGATTGATGAGGATGAACCCTTATTTTTGAGTTTGATTGAAGATCTCTTCCCAAATATTATTCTGGACAAGGCAGGCTACCCTGAACTGGAGGTGGCAATTAGTACACAGGTAATACATTTCACAGGGCAGGAACACTGTGCCTGCTTCACCTGCATTTCATGGGAAGGAAGGAGCTAGCGCAGTGCGCATCTGTGTATTCCAGGATGACACCCGAGGCTGGGACTGCTGTTTTTATTTATGATCAGAGTATATTTTAATATATTATTGCTAATGAATACAATAACTTGTGGAATAAATACATTATATTTCAATAAAAATTGCTGTATAATTTGCACAATAGTGATTTCTGCTATTTATATCCAAGGATTACTTTATTAGTTTTCCAGGGAATGTAGTAAAACAAACCTCAGAATGTTTAAATTCTATTATGTGCTGGCCTAGGACCTAGTTGGCTGTGGCTCTTGTTTCAGGAGAGGCTGCTGCACTCTAGTGATAGAGCTCTTCCTGCCGATTGGCCACGTGCTGGTGGCCCTGTTGCTTATGGAAACCAGATTCCAAAGAGAAACGCGAAGGGCCAGTGGGCTGGCGGGCTCTGTGGGCCGCCTGCCCCAGGTCCGGTGTGGCTCTGTCAGAGTGCCATTGGCGGTGACCTTGTGGGACTCCTCAGCTGTCATTTCTTTCCCTCATGATCTCTTTTTTTTATCCTCACATGAGGACATTTTTTATTTTTTGTTCAGATAGAGTGGGAGGGAGGGAGAGGAAGAGAGAGAGAGAGAGAGAGAGAGAGAAACATCGATGTGAAAGGGACACATCGAGTGGTTGCCACCCACACGACCCAACCAGGGCAGGGGACAAACTGCAACCGAAGTACATGTCCTTTGCAGGAACCAAACCGGGGTCTCTGGACCGCAGGCCGACGCTCTAACCGCTGAGCCAAACTGGCCAGGGCTCCCTCATGATCTCTTAATGATTCCTTTGTCAGGCTCTGGGGGAATCTGCACGTGTCCACACCATGAGGTGTCTGGATTTCCTGTGATACTTGGTGCAGCTTTAACTTTTTATAGTCTCCTAGGAATGGAAATGAATTATGCACACCTTGTGCCTCAATTTCCTTTCCGATGCAGAAGAGCTGGGGGGAAATGTTTCATAGAAATGGTGATTAGCTCATATTTGTAAAATACATTTCAGTTCCTTGAAGATATTTATAATACAAATCAAATATGGTAGTATTAAATAGATAATTTGGTTTTAAAAATATAGTGTCTAAAAGTCTTAATCTTTTTTTTTATCAAGTAAGAATGATAATTCATTTTGTAAATGGTTTCTTTATCAAATGGCCCACTTAACTGTAACATTACCTAAAAAGCTAAATATAAAGTAATTTATAAGGTGAGTTACATTAGAAATTTGTAGCATGTGAAAAATCTGAAGAGTATATACATAGTGTAAAGTGATACATGATTATTATCCAAAATTATTTAAGTAAAAATAAAAGCACCATTTATAATGCGTTTAAACATAGTATACTAGTTAAGAGTATGGACCATGGAGCTTAATTTCTTGGGCTCAAATCCCCACCTCAGCCCAGCTGGTGTGGCTCAGTGGTTGAGCATCAACCCATGCACCAAGAGGTCGCTGGTTCAATTCCTAGTCAGGCCATCTGCCCAGGTTGTGGGCCAAATCCCCGGTGGAGGGCATGCAGGAAGCCGCCAATCAACATTCTCTCTCACTGATGCTTCTATCTCTCTCTCTCCCTCTCCTTTCCTTTCTCTCTAAAATCAATAAAGAAATACAAAATCCCTACCTCATGTCTTTACAAGGTTTAATCTTGGCCAAATTACTTAGTCTCACTGTGCCTTAGTTTCCTTATCTGTTAAACGAAGATATCAATAGAACCAATCTTATAGTGTTGTTATAAACTTGGGATAGTTTGGCACAGAGTAACAGCCATATGTATCTGATAGATAAAAATCTAGTGTATCGCCCTGGCTTGTTTGGTTCAGCGGTTAGAGCATTGGCCTGTGGTCCCGAGAGACCTGGGTTTGTTTGGTTCCCGCTAAGGGCACGTACCTCGGTTGCAGTTTGTCCCTGGCCCTGGTTGGGTCGTGCGGGTGGCAACCACTCGATATGTCCCTTTCATGTCGATGTTTCTCTCTCTCTCTCCCCCTCCTGCTCTATCTGAACAAAAAATGGAAAAATGTCCTCGAGTAAGGATAAAAAACAGAAAACAAAACAAAAAAACCCTAGTGTATTTATAAAGAGCTTGAAGTCTACATGGAATTTCAGATAACCTGGTATGCTAGAAATTTTTTGTTATTAAATGTCATCTTTTATTTTTAAAAAATATGTTTTATTGATTTTTTTTTTAAGGAAGAGAGAAAGGGGAGAGAGAGAGAGAGAGAGAGAGAGAGAGAGAGAGAGAGAGAGAGAAGCATTGATCAGCTGCCTCCTGCATGCCCCCTACTGGGAAATGAGCCCACAACCCAGGCAAGTACCCTAACCAGGAATCATATCCAGGACCTCTCAGTCCGTGGGACAATGCTCAATCCACTGAGCCACACCAGCCAGGCTAAATGTCATCTTTTAAATTAAACATTTAAAATACAGATGATACTTGAATCTTTATCCTTTAGTTGCTCTTACAATGTACATTCAATAAAATGTTAATATAAATGCATTCAATTCCCAAAGACAAATGCAGATGTTTCTTATTAGCTTGACATACATTTGATTATGTTTAGCCTCCTTTTTGCCTATATATATGTTTTATGCAATATATATATATTTTTTTTTTTTTCCCACATCTTTATTGTTGGATGTAAAATGTATTACAGATGTTCCACATTTTTACCCCATTGACCCCCTCCTCCCCACTCCCGCCCCCCTCCCACCTTTTCCCATACTATTGTCCGTGTCCATTGGTTATGCATATAAGTTCTTTGGTTTATTTCTTCCCACCCCCCCAACCCCTTTCCCTTTGAGGTTTGTCAGTCTAGCAATGAATTTGTGCTTCTTAATCCCTTCACCTTTTTCATCCATTCCCCCAACCCCTTTCCCAACTGGCAACCAACAAAATATTCTCTGTATCTATGAGAATGTTCCTGTTCTTCCTGTTCATTTTGTTTGTAGATTCCATTGTTGATAGATATGTATTCTTGCCATTTTGTTTGTTCCTACATTTTATCTTTTTCTTTAAAAAGACCCTTCATCATTTCATATAATAACGGTTTGGTAGTGATGAACTCCTTTAATTTTTTCTTGTCTGGGAAAGTTTTTATATGTCCATCGATTCTAAATGACAGCTTTGCAGGATAGAGTAATTTTGGTTGTAGGTTCTTGGTTTTCATCACTCTGAATATTTCTTGCCACTCCCTTCTGGCCTGCAAAGTTTCTTTTGAGAAATCAGCTGACAGCCTAATGGGAACTCCCTTGTAGGTAACTAGCTGCCTTTCTCTTGCTGCTTTTAGGATTCTCTCTTTGTCTTGAACCTTTTGCATTTTGATGATGATGTGTCTTGGTGTGGGCCTCTTGGGGTTCATCTTGTTTGGGACTCTCTGTGCTTCCTGGACTTGTATGTCTGTTTCCTTCACCAAGTTAGGAAAGTTTTCTGCCATTATTGTTTCAAACAGGTTTTCGATTTCTTGTTCTCTCTCTTCTCCTTCCGGCACCCCCAAGATGCGAATGTTGGCACGCTTGAAGTTGTCCCAGAGGCTCCTTACACTATCCTCATTTTTTTGGATTCTTTTTTCTTTTTGCTGTTCTGGTTGGGCGTTTTTTGCTTCCTTATATTCCAAATCGATGGTTTGCTCCTTGGATTTACGTACTCTATTATTGAAGCTATGTAAATTATTCTTTATTTCAGTTAAAGCCTCCTTCGTTTCTAACTGTGCAGCGATCGTTTCTGACTGGTACTTTTTTATGCTCTTGAGGCCCTCACTGAGTTCATTGAGCATCCTTATAAGCAGTATTTTGAACTCAGCATCTGTTAGGTTGCTTATCTCCATTTCGCTTAGTTCTTTTCTTGGGGTTTTGTTCTGTTCTTTCATTTGGGACCTGTTTCATTGTCTCCTCATTTTGCTGCCTCCCTGTGTTTGTTTCTGTGTATTACTTAATGAGAGGTATGGGGCTCGCTGAGACCCGATGCTGCTCGTTTGAAAGAATTTAGGAAAAACCTGAAGCAGGATCCAAGACAGGCCAATCCTATGGTTAAGCAAGTAGCAACAGCTTGGGTGGGCCTGAAAGTTGGGTGGGGCGGGGCCTCAGGGAGTCAGCAGGGCGGGGCTACCAGTGTGAGCCAGGTTGCTGGAGTCCCAGATATGGCGACTGTCTGCCGCTCCAGGGAAGGGCTCACCAAAGGAACAAAGGCCTCTGACAGCACGTTTGTCCCCGAGAAAGCCCCCTCTCCAGCCCTCGCTCCAGTGCCAAACAGCTCAGTTCCTCCCTGTATTTCTCTGGTGCCCCTGGAGCTGCCTCCCCTCCGAGCTTAGAGGGAGAGAGTCCGACCAGTCTGTGCGCGGGCCCTTTAGGGAGCTGCCTGTGGCTCCAGCCAGGTCAGCTTCCCTGAGCCTCAGTTTCTGCTGGTTTTTCCAGCCAGAAGTTATGGGGACTTCTCTTCCTGGTACTGGAAACCTGAGCGGGGCACCTGGTGTGGGACGGGGACCCCTCAGTCCTCAGGAAGGACCTTCCCAGCCTCGGGAGCCTCCTGATTTTTATCCGCCACACTTGGGTGTGGGACCAGACCGTCGCGCCGCCGCCGTGCCGCTGCCGCCACCCCTCGCGCCGCCACCCCTCCTACCAGTCTGGATGTAGCTGCCTTTTTTTTAAATTCCGTAGTTGTAGGACTTCCATTCAGCTTGATTTCAGGCGGTTTTGGATGATGGTTGTTCTGTAGTTTTGTTGTAACTTGGATGTGGTTGTGGGAGAACGCGATACTGCGTTTCCCTACGTCGCCATCTTGACCGGAAGTCGCAATATATATTTTTATTGTGGTAAAATATATAATATAAAACTTACAATTTTCATCATTTTAAATGGACAGTTTAATGTCAGTAAGTACAGTCTCATTATTGTGGAAACATCACCACCATCCAACTCCAAAACTTTTTTTCATTTTCCTAGACTGAAACTCCATAACCTGTTAAAAATAACTCCCCATCCCTCTACCCCCTGCTCCATGTCTGTGCTTATTTTGAGCACAGGGATAAGTCCAGCTCGCTGCTTATGTGGCCCAATGTAAGGGGTTTGTTATGTTTTCAGGTGGAAGAAGCTGGTTTAATCAACCATCCTCCTTGGAAACTGAAAGTCATCCAGCTGTTTGAAACACAGAGAGTTCGGCATGGAATGATGACCCTGGGGCCCAGTGGAGCAGGGAAAACCACCTGTATCCACACCTTGATGAAAGCCATGACAGGTAAGGGGCAGCCAAGCTTTCATTGCTCTGGGTGACACATTTTAATAGTTGTGACACATTTGAATGCCCCAAAAGGAAACAGAAGTAGATACATGAATATATTTTTATAGGAGGGAATGCTGCTTTACGGATAATTGGGTACATTTTAGAGAGATCATATCACATTAATAGACTATAGGGGAAAACATTTCTTTCCATTTTCCCTGCTTCTGTGACCAGCTCAACAATGTGCCCTTCATTGACTCCTCTCCTTGCCCATCTTACTCTCTCTTTTCCCCGACTTTCAACCAACCCTAGCACCCACATTCTTGTCCCTGGCTTTGCTTTTGGGGAAATTCAAATTAGTACAGTAGGTGTGGCATGAAGAGTTTTGTAAGTCATGCTAAATATCTAGGTCTTATTCTATAGGTGATGCGAAGCTATTGAGCTGGGGAGTGGGAGGATGGTATGGTCAACCCTGTGGTACAAGACCATCTGATGGCCATGTAGAGAACAGACTGACAGGCAGGCGGTGGTCTGGCATCAGTAAGAAGGTGACAGCAACAAAAGGGTGCCTACTCCAAGGCAGAGTCCATGGAGTGATCGGGACACTCAAGAAATGCCTAACAGGAGAATTTAGAGGAATTACTTTAACCAACATTTTGAAAATCAAGTATTTTTTTCCTTACAGTGCTTTCATAAAAATGTTGTGGCATTCTACATGAAAACGATACAAGTCTACCTATTACCATAATGAAATAATTTTTGATAGTTCCTCTGAATAACAGACCAAGTCCAGGTCTCACCTGTGATTCCCTCATACACTTGAAGAGTTTGCTGGCCTTTTGTAAAGGGTAATTTGATTGAAAAATAAAAAAAAGTGTTGCCAGTTTATGGATATCATTTATTGAAAAAGCTGAAAAGTGACTAAGTTGAATTTCAGCACCATAAACTACTGCAAATAATTACCTTGATTCCTTGTGTGATTTTGAAAAAGAGAACTCTGGTCTAATCTTCTAAGTTGGTGTGAAGGTAACTCCTTTTCTAATGTACATATGTGCCTGTGTCAATCTCCACACAGGATGTAACATTTTAGTATTTGTTTTTGTGTTTTCTACTTTAAACCTTTTTTGTAACTTTTCTGCTTATTAACCACAGTCCCTTATGTATAGAATCCAGCACATTTAAGAATAGTTTTAGGGTTTGAAAGATTCAAATACCTTTTTTGAGGTTGGCTACAAAAGAAAGTTCTTGGTTCCCACAATCTATTAGTTTGGCTTATTTTTTCCAAATGAGCAGGAACACATCCCAGCAAATCAAAATGGGTAATGGAGAGATTGAGGCATCTGCTAGGTGATATTTCAGATATAAATTTTAATCTAGTACACCATAAACAAAAGGTTTTTGAGCTATGAAATTTGAAGAATTTTCAGATTGCATGAATTCCTTTGTCAATTTCAACACGGTACCTTTTTTCTCCCATTACGTAATATGCAGTTTTCTTTTACAGAAGATAAAAACAAACGTGCTTTAGTCATGAAGATATGAGGCTAATTAGGACAACTTGGAAATGCAGTAAGATGTATATTTTCAATGAGACTTTGCATTTTCATATTTTGAACACCTGCTGACTCTCCACCGAAAATTAGTGCAATGTTGCATAATGATGGTTCACTCTATACCTGAGTTGTTTAAAATTTGGGTTTACTTGGTACAGATTGTGGAAAACCACACCGGGAAATGAGGATGAATCCCAAAGCGATTACAGCCCCACAGATGTTTGGTCGGCTGGACGTGGCCACAAATGACTGGACAGATGGGATATTTTCTACTCTTTGGAGGAAAACATTGAGGGCAAAGAAAGGTAGAAGATGAATCATAAGTGCTATTTTTGACATGTACTTCTAAGTAAAATCCTTGGTGGCTCTTTAAAATTAGTAGAAAAACTGTATTTTTCATATAAGACTAAGAAGTTGTAAATCAGTATATTTGTGAATATTGAATTACTAAAATTATTGATTAGTGTATTTAAAACCTTTTTCACCATCCCCCTTTTATTTTTTGGTTAACAAGGGAATTATTTTTTTTTGAAAAATGTTTCTGTATTCTTCTGATATCTTAGAATAGATAGAAAAAGCTGTTAAGGAAAATTGATAGTATTTACTGAAGTGATTTTATCATAACTATTTTCAATGAATATTTTAGAAATGTTGTTCTTAGTTAAGTATAGCCTATTAACAAAATAAAATTATTTTCCTATAAAATTACCAGAAGTGGACTTCTTCAGAAAAAAAAAAATTGTATATATAAAAAATGAAGTCTATATTGAACTAATAATAAGTTATTCAGTTTAGATATACACTGGTGTTTGGTGGTTGTTTAAAGAAACTCATTAAGGGCTACATTTGTGTATATATACTTTCTCCCTCTGCTTTTGCTTGTATATTCTAGGGGAGCATATCTGGATAGTCCTTGATGGTCCAGTAGATGCCATCTGGATTGAAAATCTGAACTCTGTTTTGGATGATAACAAAACTCTAACCCTTGCCAATGGCGATCGAATTCCCATGGCTCCAAACTGCAAGATTATTTTTGAGCCTCATAACATTGACAATGCTTCTCCTGCTACCGTCTCAAGGAATGGAATGGTTTTCATGAGCTCTTCTATCCTGGACTGGAGTCCGATTCTGGAGGTATGATTGGAAATTTTCTTTTGTGTACTTAAAGAGGAAAACAGATTCTTTAGTATTCCTTTAGAGTGCCTACTGATTCTTCTGCACACCTGCAGGGTGTAATTGCATTTTAATGCTAATGTGTATGGAAGATCCTTGACTGCTCTGGGACATTCAAACCCTGATTGGCCCTCACAGGTTTCTTCTGTGCTCTTCTAATCACATTAGATCTGTGATTTCCAACCTTTAGATTGTGGTGTAATTGCAAGGCCAGAGTGAATCAGTAACCCCACCAGAATGTGACTGAATAAATAAAATTTAATTTTATTGCTTTGGGGATTCATGACATTTTAAAAAGGCAGTCATTTGCATAAAGTTTGGGAGCAACCATCTTAGAATATTAACCCGAAGAAGACAATTTATTAAAATTGCCTATAAGGGATTTTTATTAGATTTGGTAGTTATATTAGTTTTAAGTTTTACTTGGAAATAATGTTTCAGATATATCTCTTCAATTCATGATGATTCAATTATTTTATTACCACCAATATACTCTAGATTGTGTAAGGCAGAATGCTTATTAGATAAGCCATCCGTGAAACCTTTTTTGACATAGATTATTTTCATTTACATAGGTTTTTTTAAGAGATGATTTTGATAAAAAACTTGTGAATTTGTAATTTGGATGAAGTAGATATTTATTTTATATTGCCATTACATTTTTATGCTTCTGTTTGTGTATGGGTATAACTTAACTTATAATAATGCATTTTCAGAATTTACACAATTCTGAATTTTGAAAGGGTTTAGATTTGGTAAACTATGAAGATGTGAAGGAGGAGATTATATGGCAAAATGATACAGCATATAGTTAGATATGTAACTAAAAATGCTTCTAAAGATTTCAGATTTCACAATTCATTCATTAAGGAGAATACAGAGCAAATGTTCTCAACCCTGGTTTTGTAAAATAATCACCAATGACAGTTCTCATAACACAGATGATTGGGTCACACCCCAAGCCTACCCAAATTAGAATCTCTGAGGAGGGTGGGTTGCAGAAGTTTTTTTCTAATTTTTTTTATTTTAAAGCACCATACTAGATTTAGGCTTGGTAACTACAGATACCAAAAACTCCCAAAATATATTTATTTATGCAGTTTCCCCCAAATACTGCCAATTCACAAAGGCTTTAATAAAACTATGCTTATGCTACTAGTTAATGAATAGTTAAAGTTTGCTATTTATTAAATAAGCTTCTATTATACCTTGTCCATATTGAGACTGAATGGGGTATTTACATTAACGGCAGACAAACCTAATATTTTTATATGCTTTTATTTTTAAATTTTTTTTATTAATTAATTAATTTATTTATTTTTGTTACAGATGTTTCTACTTTTTCCCCCACTGATTCCCCCCCCCCCTGCCCTGTCCTCAGCTTTGTTGTCCATGTCCATTGTTCATGCAAACATGCATATAAGTTCTATGGTTTATCTCTCCCCTACCACCCCCTCTTCTGGGGATTATCAGTCTGTACCCCACTTCCATGTCTCTGCGACTACCCCATTCCTCAGACTGTTATGTTCATTATATTACACAAATAAGTGAGATCATATGATACTTGTCTTTCTCTGTTTGGCTTGTTTTCTTAGGATAATACTTTCCAGGTCCATCCATGTCGTATCAAAGGATAAGAGATCTTTCTTTCTTACAGCTGCATAGTACTCCATTGTGTATATGTACCACTGCTTTTTTATCTATTCGTCTACTGATGGACACTTGGGCTGCTTCCAGATCTTAGCTATTGTAAATAGTGCTGCTACAAATAATGCAGTTTCTTCTTACAAATGAGTAGGAAGAAGCAAGACTCACAACACTCAGGCTGGACGTGTTTAGAGCAGTGCAAAGCCGCACAGAGAGTTATGAGGGGGCAGAGCAGAGGGGAGGGTATCCATGGGACTGTCAGCTCCAGGGAGCCGAGCTGACTACTGGCCCTGTGTGTGATGTTTTTGGTTCTATCAAATCAAAAGTGCTATGTTTTTGCTTTTGTTGATATGAAACCATGGTACATTCATGAATCGATGAATAATTTGTAAACAATATTTTATTGCTTCTGTTTGGAGTCTCTAAGAATGAGCTGATGTCTTAATGCCAAGGGAACTTTCTTCACCATAACAAAATACTGTTTTGTGTTAAGTGGTATTTTGTTATGAATATCATGTACTTTCCTAATATTGGGGTCCACAAATGACTAAATTCTCTATTTTTTTGAGAAGACTTAGATATTTTTCTACATTGGCTATTAATTAAATTAGGAAAAAAAAGGAAACAGCTTTTTATGAAGATCTTTGTTTCTCATTTTGTAAAACCCGGGTGTCGATTTCCTTCCTTCATGTTTTATTCTGTTTTCTTTTTAATTAATTTATTCATTTTTGTTACAGATGTTTCTCCTTTTCTCCCCACTGATACTTGTTTTCTTGTTAAAAATTATTTCCATAAATTTGCCCCCTCATTTCCTTCTGGCATAGTATAATCAAGAGTAAGCCTTTTCTCCGTCTTCGCTTAGGCCTTGAGAACATGTGTAGTGAAGTAGATGAAAGTGTCCATGCCTGGGTGTGAGTTCTGGCCTTGCCACCTACCAGCTGTGGGATCCTGGGCCTGTTACTTAAATTCCGTAGGCTTCAGTTTCTTCACACCTAAACGGAGGATAACAGTAACTCTTCCCTCATAGGGTTGTTCTGAGCATTAAATAAGTTCATACATGAAAGAATTTATAGCAACGCCTGGCCCATTGTAAGTGCAGTATGATCATTAGATATTGTTATTAACCAATCATTTAAAAGCTTTTGTCCCCAAAATGGCCATTTTCCTGATGTACTAACACGTTGAATTAATCTGTAAACCGACAGGGTTTTCTGAAAAAACGCTCACCTCAAGAAGCTGAAATTCTTCGACAGCTCTACACCAGCTCTTTCCCCGACCTGTATCACTTCAGTATTCAGAATTTAGAACACAAGATGGAGACGCTGGAGGCCTTCGTGATCGTGCAAAGCATTCACATGCTTCAGGGTCTGATCCCCCCGAAGGCAAGTGGCTCAGTTTTCTGGGGAGTTTCTCTCTTATTAGCGGAGTCACGCTGTGCAGAGAGCGCAATACTTGAAATTGATTTTGTTAGAGCTGTGGGGAGGGGTGATGTTTCAAACATGGACCTGCATATTTTGTCATTTTTTTCTTTTCACAAAGCAAACCGTGGTTCTGTCATTTAGCTGCAGGTTCAGTCATCCAGTAAGCATTCTGGATTTATTTTGCAAACCAGCTTGGTTGATGTTCCCTGAGACCAGTGCTGCATTTGTTCCCCAGACTTATTTATCTTTTCTCTGTTCTCATTTTTTTGGGGAAAACTGTTGACCTTTTTATATCTTTGCTATTTTCATTATAACCTCAAAGCAAAGCTTCGGTTTGTGAATTAAGTAATTAAAATTCTTTCGTTCGGTTCAGGAGCAAGGTGTAGAGGTCACGCCAGAGCACCTGGGGAGGCTGTACGTCTTCTCCCTGATGTGGAGCGTGGGCGCCCTGCTGGAGCTGGACGGTCGGCGCCGGCTAGAGCACTGGCTGCGGTCCCGGGAGACGCTCACCTTGGATCTGCCGCCTCTGGCGGGGACTGAGGACACCATGTTTGACTATTATGTCACATCTGATGGTGAGGATGCTAGCTTCCATTCATATATATATTTCTAAAGGGTAATTAAAACTCTTGGCTGTAAAATTAAAATGAAAATTTTCATGTGAGAAGAAAACTAATTGTTTCTTTTTCAAATATTTAGTTCAGTTCTGTTCCAAATGCACACTTTCCTCTTGTTAAACATTTTGTGTACTGAACTCTTTAAAAAATATGGTTTTATTTATTTATTTATTTTTAGAGAGAGAGGAAGGGGGAGAGAGATGAAAACATTGATGTGAGAGAGAAACATCAACCAACTGCCTCCTGCACACCCCGCATTGGGGATCAAGCCTGAAACCCTGGCATGTGCCCGGAGGATGGAACTGGGACCTCTCAGTCCATTGAGCTGATGCTCAATCCACTGAGCCACATGGGCCGGGCATGTACTGAACTTTTAATGAATTAAAAACAAAATTTAAAAATCCCCCGAGATCAAATATTTTTCAGCTGTTCATTTGATGCAGTCAGCAATTTATATAAAAATTACAAAGCGTAAAGTATATTTTTTTACTAATTTTGTGTGTATACATCTATATCTATGTACTTTAAGTATTTATATGTGCAAACATATATAAAGCACATATATACACAAATATAAAATACATACACAATATTTATATATGGTATCCTGTGGTCTTTAATTTTGGGTCTTACAGTTAAGGAAGTAAGTAATGAAAAGGTTGTGAGATTAAACATTAAAAAATGATTTTAGGTACATACCACTGTCATAGTGTTCTATAGTTTTATATTCACTTTATGTCATTGAAAACCTACATATTTAAACAGAAAATTTCAGGATACTTTGAAATATTTCTTAATAGTACCAATTTGGAATAGTTCCCAGGGAAATTTTGACTCAGCTAACACATATTTAAATAGTACTTAGATCTCTGATTTTAATGGTCTTTATTTTATGAGGAGTTTTTGGAAGATGTCTTCATGAGGTGTCAAGGACGCCTGCTCATTACGGCTAGTTAAATTATTAATAGGAATGAATATGAAGAGGAGAATATTCTTTGTCTACCTCAGGGAAATGGATGCACTGGAACTCACGTACTGAGGAGTATGAGTATCCATCTAATGAGACCCCAGAATATGGCTCCATCCTGGTGCCAAATGTTGACAATGTGAGGACTGACTTCCTAATTAAAACCATTGCTAAGCAGGGCAAGGTATGGCTCTTTAACTTTTATTAAAAATCACATATTTTAAAATGTCACTTGAGAACACGAAGCAGCTAGCCTTTATTTTAGAATGTTTTATTTTGCTGTTTAGAATTAATGTAAATTTACCCAAATTAATATACTTCTTTTTAAATAATTTTTAAAATTACTTTTATTTATTGATTGATTTTTAGAGAAAGAGGAGGGGGGAGAGAGAGGGAGAGGGAAAGAAACATTGATTTGTTGTTCTACTTACTTATGCATTCATTGGTTCATTCTTGTATGTGCCCTGATTGGGGAACGAACCCACAACCTTGGCATCTTGGGATGGGATAACACGATAACCATCTGAGCTATCTGGCTAGGGCCAGTATACTCCTTTTATTATTCTCTGAGAAAAATATCAGTGTTGAATAGCTCTATTTCATAATTAGTTAATTCTCATGAGTGAAAGTGAGTTTTAACTTGTTATTCTGAAGAGAAATACTTCTCTTTGGATTATTGTATTGCTTTGCTGGGCTGACATAACAAAATACCACAAACTGCATGGTTTCAACAAGAGACATTTTTTAATTTTATTTTTTGACAGTTCTTGAGGCTTGAAGTTCAAGATTAAGGTGTCAGCAGGTTCAGGTTTTTTTTTTTTTTTTTTTTTTTTTTTTTAAGTCTCTCTCCTTGGCTCACAGATGGCTGGCTGTCCTCTGACTGTGTCCTCCCCTGATCTTTACCTGTGTGCAAGCATCCCTGCTGTTTCTTTGTGTATACAAATTTCCTCCTTTTATAAGGATGAGAATTAGATTGAACAAGGACCTACCTTAATAGCCTCATTTTAACTTAACTATCTCTTTAAAGACACTTTCTCCAAATATAGTCACCTTCTATGGTACTCAGGGTCAAGGCTTCAACATGACTTGGCGGGGAGGACACTCTTCAGCCCGTGACGATCATCTCATTGCATTTCTTTGATTTCTTTCTCAATTCCTATTGTAGGCTGTGCTGTTAATTGGTGAGCAAGGAACAGCCAAAACGGTCATAATCAAAGGATTTATGTCAAAATACGATCCTGAAACTCACATGATCAAGAGTCTGAACTTTTCTTCTGCAACCAGCCCACTAATATTTCAGGTACTGGTCCTTTGGGTTTGCTCCTGCAGCCCAGGTCTGTGATAAGCTGGAGGCTAATCTCACCACTGTTCCGCGGTGCCCACGGAGCTGCTGCTCCCCTCTCCCAGGGGGTAGATCCCCTCCGTGTCTTCCATCACCTCTGTTATTCGAGGGCAAGAGAGTTTCTCCCTAATCAGATTAAAATAATAGAACACCTTAAATCGTGGAGAAACAAAAAGCTTATGTAAGTTGTAAAAGGCCTTAATCCTGTTAAAAATAACGATGTAGAAAAGCCAGTTAACATGCAAAATCCAAAACTGACTGAAAGAAATGTCATTATTCCTCCACCTCAACATACTTCCTCCTCTCCTTACTGTTACACCAAACCCCAGTCCATCTGCCTGCATGAACTGGCTCAAAAAAGTCACCAGCAGGAGTTTGCCATGGAGAAAGGAAGTCCTTTATTATTACAGGGTTGGCCAACCTAGAGTGCAGGCGAGCTTGTGCTCTTAAAGACCCGATTCCTTCATGGTGTGTAGGTTACAGAATATGCAGGGTAAAATCACAAGACGCTGTGGGTGCTTTAGGGGTTTGGGATTGTGTTAGAGGCTGACTGGTTGGAGAGTAATACACCATCTCTTCAGGTCTGAAGGACAGCTCTGAGGTCTGCTCTGGACTCCCCTCTGTCTGGTCTCGTGGAGAAGTAGCCAGGGGGGTCATTCCACCTTAGGGCTCAGAAACTGACACATAATTTAGGTCAATGTGTTGTTTTAAGTCGACCAGGAGTACGGACTTGCTACCATTAGTCAGGTTTTGGCTATTGTCTTCTGCTGCCACAGAGGTTAAGTATTATCGGGGGAAAGGCTAGGTCTGTAAAAGGGAGAGAGAGAAAAAAAGTATTTCTAAAACTATAGTCACAAATCAAATAAAATAATTAGGTCCCTGTTTCACTACCTGCTTTTCTCTGGGTGTCACTATTATTCTAGCCTTTAGGCTAGATACATTGGAGTCATCTTTGATAGATCACTTTTGAATCAAGGGCTGTTACTGTATCTAAAGAAATACTTTTCACATTCTTTTCTTTTTCTTCATTCTCCCTGTCTCCCTCTATGTAATCTACTTCTTCATGATTCCACACCAGGGTAGTAGCATGAAGGAATCCCCAGCTGATCTTTGTTCAAGTCTATTTGTTTTTTTTACAGTCTACCTTTTATTCTCCTTCTAATCTCTAGTTCTTGTATTGTCACTTTAATCTATTATTCCCTGACTAAACATCTCACAATAGCACCCTTTATCAATTGCAACAGGGAATGAAATCTTAGACTCTTAACATACTAAAGATGTTACTCTATCATATCATTGAAGAGTAACAGAAAAAACCCTCATATTTGCATTGCTTTTGTCAATGAAACTGCCAAGAATGACCTGGGTTTGTAGTGGCTGGTTGGTTGTTTTCTCCTGTTCCTACGTTATTTAACACCTTATTGAAATGGGAGAGTAAATCATAAATGTCAGTTTATGCTTGAATTGTTATTAAATCATCTCTCACATCTGTATTAGAACAAATAATGAATCAATAAAAAGACACATTCAATAAATTGAGAATGGAGGGAAAGTTTTTAGGAAAATCCAAATCTTAAGAAGTTTGCTTTTGATGAACTTTGTTGTTCTTTAGTTGTCAGAATGAAAATATCAAAGAGCAATGAAAACTATTAAGAGCAGAGCTAAATCATGGCATTTTCTCTCTTAATGTAACTAGTGACTGCAGAATGCCAATAAACTAAGACCATCGATTACGTTTCTAAATAAGACTGTCAACTATATAATGCTCGTCTTTTGGCATTTTCAATATCGGCTTGCCTTCAATCAAATGACTACCATTTACGTAGTGTTGTGATGGGAAGGTCTGCGTGGAGAGTCATCCCCAAACTGCAGTGACCCAGCAGCGGTATTTTGTGTTTGGGGAACAGCATGTTAAATTATTCTAGGCTGGCAAGATGCTAACATTATACACATTCCTTGATATTGTTTTACATTTAAAGAATTTATATTTTTTACTTTAGGAGGATATTCTCTTTAAAAGTTATAATTGTGATTCTACTTGAGGATGCAGATTTTAAAACATTAAATCAAAGTGTGATTTTTTTTTTTCCATTATGTTGGGTAATTATCTAGCTATTCACATTTCTTGAGACTGGATTAAATCTTCAGGGCTGCAGTGCAATTCTGACAGTAACTACATGGAGTCGCCAAAGACTTTACAAATAAAGGGCTAAGTCTCCCACAGGACTTCCCTCACTTCAGATAACCTTAAGCTTGGGTTCCAGCCCACCAACACTTGTGGACAACTGGCTACAAATTCAGAGGTTTCCTGTGACCCTCTCAATTTTGATTGTTCACTAGAGTGACTCACAGAATTTAGGAAAGTGCTGTGCTTATGGCTGTGGTAGTAATATAAAAGATATGAATCGAGATAAGCCAGCCCAAGAGATGATTGAGGCAAAGTTCGGGAGGCTCTCAAATGCTAACCTCCTCTGTCCTCAGAATTTGTTACCCTCCAGCCACATGGTGTTTATTACCAACCAGAAAGCTCACCTGAAGTACAGTGTCCAGAGTTTTTATTGGGGTTTCATTACATAGGCAGGATTCGTGGGCTACGTGATGGAACTCAGTCTCCAAGACTTCTCCTGTCCAAGGAGATAAGCTGATAACTAGTACTTCAAGGCCGTAACCCTCACATGGTTTTCCTACCACTGTGAATAATAAAGACATTCCTATTACTTACGAAATTCCATGGGTTTCAAGGCTCTCTTCTAGGAGCCAGGGAGAAGGCCAGCCACATTTTTGGTATAGAATAGGACCTTGTCACTGAATTTTTGTTAGTAACTCTTGGTGATATTTACCCCTTTAAGGTGGTAAAGATCTGTGGTCTATGTCTCTTATATGTATCCACATTGGGGTGGAACCTACAACCTTGGTGTACATCTCTTTAACATGAGATATTTATTTCCTGGAAAAAAGGCATACATTATCTAGAAAGCAACCCCTTCGTTGATATACAAATTCATAAACTATATAATAAGTGTCTAGCAATGGTACCATGTTGAAGTATGATAATTAGAAGAATTACAAAGCAGGATTTTAAAACATAAAATTTATATTCTTTCAAGTCTCGTTACCTGATTCACAACTACTTTAAACCAGTTCCCTCCTGCCCTTCAGTGTGAAGGTGGCTTCCAGAATTTATTATTTCTATTTCTGTTCAGAAGCATCACGGGATCATCTACTCTGTTTAGTGCCTGTTTTGACTGCTGAGCATCTGAGCTTTCAATTAAGTTAGTCATTAGTTTTAGAAAGCTTTCAATTAGCCAAACTGCTGTAATTAAGTTTCTCACTGTAATTTTCAGCCTTTTATGCTAAACAAGGGCTGATGGAACTGAGCATTTGTCTCTGTATCTCCCACTTATCTGGATCCAAACCAATTCTAGGTGAGAAAATAGATTTCGTCCAGTCATCCTGTGTTACCATGATAGCACACAGCACATTCAGGGACACACATCTGTTACTTGACAGGTTTTCATCAGGGTTTCCTTCATGTTCACTGTGGTATCGTTTTCATGTCTTTTATCAGTAAAAGGACTGGCTTTATGCCCTTCTTTGCCTGGGACAGTCTAGTTTACTTCCATTGTCTGAAATTAATAATTAATGGCATCCCCTGTCACTATCAAAAGTGTGTGCTTTGGGCAAAAACTTTTATGATCACCCTATTCTTTGGTGAAGTGAATCAGCTGGTCTTTTAAAAGAGATGTCTCATTTATTTCCAAAACAAATATTGTTTTAATGTATTTTTTCTATTTTGAAAGTAATCCATACTTATCTTTTCAAAATTTAAACAATATGGGTAGATAGGAGGAAAGAAAAAGTTTCCGAAGAGAATTTCTGAATTCTGGCTTTCTCTCTTCTAAAAATAATTGTAAAGAGTTTTGAATGATACAGTATTATAAGTACTTGCATAGCAATAGTTTTTATTAAAATGAGAATCATATAACTGGGAAGGAAACTCCACATTTTTTCCTTAGAAACAGAACTGTGGTTTCAAATAAAATTTTATGCAGAAAACTAAGCTGCAAAGCAAGGAGCCAAGGATTTGCTCTGGTGCATCAGAGCTGGGCTCCTGAAACCTTCCTGTCTCGTCCTTGCTTCCTGCAGGGGTCCGTGCAATTGCAGAACATTATTTTGACTCTTTGGAGCACAGTTGGGAGACTCGTTTACAGAAGAGAATCACAAGAGATTCTGTGAAAGTATTTTTTCATGGTAAAGTTTTCTAAAAATGTCAGGTTTTACTGTGAATATTAAGGCACTCAGGTGGAGGGAGATTAAAGTACTTGAGTTCACACTGTTAGTTGGTGGCAGAAACTGAGTGAGAAACCAGGTTCCCACGTCTTCCATGATGCTTTCCTAGTTCACCCATATGCTTTCTTCCAATGGCTTTTCTTTTTCTTTTTTTTCCAAATCTTTATTTTTGGATGTAAAATGTATTACAGATGTTCCTCATTTTTCCCCCATTGACCCCCTCCTCCCCACTCCCGCCCCTCTCCCACCTTTTCCCACACTATTGTCTGTGTCCATTGGTTATGCATATAAGTTCTTTGGTATATTTCTTCCCCCCCCCCTTTCCCTTTGAGGTTTGTCAGTCTAGCAATGAATTTGTGCTTCTTAATTCCTTCACCTTTTTCACCCATTCCCCCAACCCCCTTCCCAACTGGCAACCAACAAAATGTTCTATGTATCTATGAGAATGTTTCTGTTCTTCCTGTTCATTTTGTTTGTAGATTCCATTGTTGATAGATATGTATCCATTGCCATTTTGTTTGTTCATACATTTTATCTTTTTCTTCAAAAAGACCCTTCATCATTTCATATAATAACGGTTTGGTAGTGATGAACTCCTTTAACTTTTTCTTGTCTGGGAAAGTTTTTATATGTCCGTCAATTCTAAATGACAGCTTTGCAGGATAGAG